GTCTCCGGCGTCCATCCCGGTGTGGCGGAGTGATGGAGGAGCTGCCGGCGAGAGAAGGAGGTGAAGGAGTACTCCTGCCGGCGGGAGAAAACGAATGTGGTTAGTAGTTAGTGGGTCTCAACGTTGGTGGGCATGGTGGGGTCGACCAAGTGGGGAGGTGAGACTTCAGCTGCGTCCCGCGGGGTTTCTTCTTCCTCTTCTTTTTTGATCAACCTCTACCTCCTCTTTCTTCTATATGTGCTCTCCTCTCAACCCGCCGCCAGCCTGGAGGGGTGTTGGCAAAGGAGCCGTCTACAAGCCCGGACTGTGCGCTGACCGCCTCCTCCTCATCCGCCGCTCTGAGCACTATCACTAACATCTTTTGCGCAGACAGTCCAAGACCGTCGGGCTACGTCTAGGTCCACCAAGGTGGCTCCCAGTGTCGTCAAGAACCCATCCCCAGCAGAAATCTCGGCTGCGCAAGTGACATCCTGTGAAGCTGTGGCTCGTTCGCTCGTTTTGCTCCTACGGTACCTACCTGTCATCGCGATCATCGCCGCAAACAATCTCGCTTGTTCCCCATGGTACCTTGAAAGCCTCCCCCCGTCGTGCGTCACTCCAGTACAGATATCACTAACCAGCATGAGGAGGTTGCTAATATTGAACTGCAACGCCCAGGCTATAGCCACGTTAGCCATGTTTGCGGCGCTCATAGGTAGCCAATGACTACTCAAAGATGCCCGATCGCATTATCGGTCTTCTTCTCAAGGACACATGCATTACGATAGTTCCCAAAAGGCCTCACTGTTAGTATTATATATGGACACGATGGGATGGACCGTCCCCAACGTCCAGGCTCAGAAAGAGAGAGAGAGAGATCTTCCTGTTTTATTTCGCATGCAGCCTATCTAGACTATGGCGCGCCCACGACCTCCGTTTCCTGTCCGCCCTGGCCAGTCGAGGTGAAAGCCCCGGTACTGACCAGTCCGATGCGGCGCCCCACTTCCCCTGCCCATCCGCCTCGGGCCGACACAAGCAAAAAGTGTATTGACAGTAAAGACTGGTATGGGCCCACATGCCCGCTCCTCCTGCTGCCCCCCGCCTCTCTCCCTGTCTTCCGCCTTTTCCGCTCCAAGAAGATATCACCGCATATCGTCATCTCCTACTTCCTGGCACCGGCCGCAGACACAGTACCCTGCTGGGCACTCTTGCTCTGCCCCCGATGCGATGCTTGCCTCCCCCTCATCCTCGGCCAGGTCTGCTGGAGCTTTCCTCCTTACATCCGTCGTTCCCAGAAACTCTAGGATTGCCTCACTGCACTGCTCGTCGGCGAACATACGCATACATCACTAAAAGCGCAGAGGATTGAGAAACACAACACGGATTGGCAGTCTCGGTATCCTGCGCGCCAAACAAGTCTACATATTCATGGCCCCGTCAGGCTACAGTTTGGACGAGATTTGGTAACGGTATGTACGCCGGTGCCTCAGCTTTGGCTGTAGCCAAACAGCATGGCCGTGTATTTACCGAATCCCACAGCCGCTAGGCGGTGTGTAGGCAGCAACTCATGCAACCAGAAATTACGTATGGACCACGCATCATGAAATCTTGCTCGTCATGGAGAATTACTATCATCCCAACAATGTTGTCATTCCACGTTGATCGATATCCCGGTGGATTTGTGGGTGTGCTGTAAGTTCAGCACGATCGCGAAAGGTACTTGTCACTCTTCATCCATCGATAGGACTTGTTCGCTGATCTCATAATGGCCTTCGGTACGGCACGGCGTTTCCAGCTCGGCATTCTACAGCGCCAGCCATGTCGACGTCAATCACCGTGCAGAACTTCAGAGTCGGAGTTGACAGCCTACAGGCCCTCTTTACTTTTCGGCGGGACTACTCTTTAGGATACCTAGTACGGGTGCACAGCAGCCCTCCAAATGTACATTCACCTGAGAATAATACTAAATAGCACGACGGGTATCATAGATGCCAGAGCTTTACCCGCGAAGACACCATTCCGGGGGTGCGTGGTACATCAAAGAGGTACCTATGGTGCCCGTCACTCGAAAACCCAAGTCGAACATTCGAGGAGCCTCGCTAGGCCAGTTCACGTTCTAACTTCTCAGCCTGAAAAGGAATTGCATTAGTAGGTACGAGCACTAGTATAATCCTGAATTTGCTAACCAGTGACGACGATGGCGCCGGACCGGGAGACCTAGGTATGGACTGTAGGTACCTGTTGATCATGGCAGTCGGGTTTTCTCTGCCCGCATTCCTGGGCTACCAGGGTAGCAAAGAGCCGGAATGTCGTCGGCGGGACGGTGGACTCTGGAGTAGGCGTTAAGGCCAGACAAAAAAGATCCAAATTCTAGCCGTTTTACTAACCACGAGCAGACGTACAAATTCCTGCGCCATCGATGCCGAGTGACTGGGAACAATCTTTGAGCCTGCGGCTTGACTGATGGGGCTTTGGGATCTTAGCAGGAATGCTGATGGCGTCACAACACATCACTCTTTGCACACAGTGATGAGCTGCTCTTGCCAGAAATGTTGATGCCATCAGGACACATCACTCTTTGAACACGACGGCGAGCTACTCTCGACGCTTGGAGGTGGTGCTTCCTACCCTCTACATGTAGGTATGTATCTCCGAGGAAAGGCCAGGGCGGCGGGAAGGGGACGCCGCGTCTGGCCGGCTGATGGAAGTTGGGTTGAACAGTGGACAAGCAGACGGAGTGTGTGAGTACATTGTCATGATCTGATGGGGCGCAAGCACTCGCTGATCAAACCAAAACAGGCGGCGGTGTATCCACCAATGCGAAAATTTGCACATACATATCCCATCCAAGCTCAGCACACTCCCAAATCAGTGCATAAGAAGAGAAGTATTCTATGTACATTGTATGTACATGATTGAATCTCCTAATAGCTTGTCAGCACTCGGTCCCAGCCGTCCAGACTCCACATGCAGGATTCGTCACCGCAGCCCCATCTCCGCAGTGGCGTTACTGGCACCGGCTTTTCCGCGGTTGTTCATATGTAAGCCGCAGTCTGGGCCAACACGACCATCCAGCCGTCCGTGGGGAGGTTACCACTTACGTATCAGACCTGCACTCACAATCAGCCTTGCGCAGCCGCAGCCACCTATAGCGGAGCCCCCGTGGCCACTACTCGCTAGATACCCACTACCCACTGACAAGCGACTCCACACATCGGAGACTCTCGTTCCAACCAGCCATTGCCTCGGGCCTCCTCCTCCTCACTCCTCTCAGGCACCCGTTCAAGCACGTGCATAGAGTGGCGTGCCCCGCCGCCTGCAGCTACACGCATAAGGCATCACTCTGGCGGCTGGCGGCCGTGTTCCGCTGCACGAAGACTCTGCCTGCAGCCCAGCCTGCTGTCTGCTATCTGCTGTCTGCCCGGATCCGCAGATGATTTGGCAGTGTGGGGTTCTGGCCTAGATGGAGGGCAAAGTAAGTATTAGCAAATTCCAGCACCATCACCACCACCGCCATCATCATAACCAGCGACACCGCAACATCAACATCGCCAGCACCGGCACAGCACCTTGGCTAGACGCGCGTTCTCACGTACAACACGAGATATCGAGACAACAAGATTCGAGGATTCGGAAGCCCAGCCAGACGGAGCCATTTTCGTCTCTCAGCCTTTTTATTTCCCAGGAGCATTCACACTTCACAGCCAAGGCGGGATTGAGGGAGGGAGTCGCTGCTGATCGGTCGCGCCATAGCAATCGAAGTTGGACGCTGCGCTCGACTACCTACTCTAGAGTAGCCAACTATCGCGCTCACGGATCAGCTTAGCCATCCGGCCAGGCCAGGCCGCTTCCGGGCAGGATCGGAGGTGTCTACGGTGCCACTCAGCGAACATCTCGACGCCTCCCACCACAAGTACTTGAGCGAGTATATTGTCAGGGTCCAGATCGTTGTGTTTTTTTTGTGGTTGTGGGCTGCTAACCAACTTATTGTGGGCCGAAGCAAGTTTCCGTTTCCGCTGGCCTCGATACGATCATACAGCCTGAGTTGAGCGAGCTCGAAGCAACTCTGTCTCGAAGCGACGCCGCCGCCGAGTGGTGTCGCACCAGGTGCTGAATCGAAAGATGCACCACATTCTCCCTTCCCTGCTACGTAAGAGTAATGCTGCGACTCCTTGTGGTGGTGGTGATGGTGGCGTGTACAAAAAACGAATTCCTGTCTTACCAGCCCGCCCCCCCTCTCTCTTTCTCTCGCTCTCCCCCCGATTCGGGTTTTTCGAAATTATTATCGCAGTCGAGTTTGACATTTCCCAGTCCATTTGGGAATATTATTGATATTATTGAGTTCATGGCCGACAGACGATCCAGGGTCCGATCGACACAGCCGATCACTCAACTTCCAGGGCTTTTCGAGCTCACACAACACACAACACACACGTTCATCTCACCGCCCTAGATCGGCAGGTTTTGGGGGCGGGACGCTGGTACGTAGGATCGCCTGCTGGTCCGTCGACGATCTCCCAGAGCCAAGGGAATCAGAGTGGCCCGAGTCCGGCTTTTTCTGCGCCGCCATGTCACCGACCGCATCTATGTAAGGGTCGACGTTCAGGGTGTGTGCCGAAGTCGGCGGCGCCGGCTGGAGAGTGGAAAGTCGATCAAGAAAGAAAAAAACAATGCGTGCCAATGGATACCGGCAGACTGGGCTGGAAAGTGCAATGTCCAAGCTGGTGGTCGACGGCGGTGGGCGGTCGGTGGGCGGTGGGCGCGTCATGGCGGTCGTCATGGCTGACTATCGCTATCGGGATCTACGGCAACAGCAGAAAGCTCAGGAATAGAGTATGTATAATACCTATTCCGCATGCATACGGACCTCCGAGGTTTACGCTTTCATGTCTTACAAGAGTGGATCCCGACGACGCCTTCCTTATCCCTCGATTTCTTGCCACGATTTTTTTGACTTTTTTAGGTATGTGCAAAGCCGGTTAGCACGACATCCGCATTGATGCGCACATGGTCATGGAATCTCACTCAAAAATCAGCCGTTTCCCGTCAAGCGTTCCTCCCCGCTGATCTCCCGTTCGTCCTGCGCGATCAACGAGCTCATCTATGAACTAACCTTCAAGCAGGTTTTTGTTCGTTGCACCAGTTCTGACCGGATCTGTCGCTTAACCTCGATCGGGATCGAGTGGCCGTTGAGACTCGACCGTCGCTCCGGCTCGGCGTTGTACGTAAAAAGTGGCTTTACGCTCCTTACCCCGGCCTACGATGGATGTGTTGTCACGCACTGCTGGTCACTCGACGGAGAACGGACACGGACACGAATTGCGGATCGTCACGGAAATCGATTGTACTCCTCCGGAAGCAGTAGCGGACTGTACCGGTTTGGTTTGGTTTGATCCGGTCACGATCGATCTGTCCCTATGGTATCCCGTTCCGTCCACGGACGCCCGTCCTGCGAGCGATAGACGACAGACGACATCGATCTCCTCAAAAGCGGCAATGTTTTTCGATCCCGTCGTCAGGCATGCAAAGGCGGCGGCGAATTGGGCAACGTCCGTAGGAATCGATGCGAACGGAACGGACAATCCGACAAGCATCCCACTCATCCCATCCGTCCATCCATCAATCCATCCAGTTCGGAGTCCACCGCATCACCGCCTCCCACTCGACGCATCACTCCATCCCATCCCCACACGCATGCATACATGCACCCATTCCTTTTCGCTCAGCCCTCCGCGCCTCATTCCGGCCCCCGGCCCGCCCCTTCCCAGCTGTCCAGCCTTCTTCCCTTCACCCCATGTCACCAGTCCGCCAACCCCACCCGTCCCAAAAAAAACACCGATCTTCCCCGTTCCCACCGGAGTCGACCACCGCCAGACCAGGAAAGGAATCCGTGTCCACGATGGCACAAGACGGGGGCTTCTGAGTCGGGGGATTCCGGGCGCAGAACGGCCGAGTGAGTCTCCGTGTGCAGGGTCAGGATATCTTTCCATCATGTCATGTGGGGGAGGGGTGGCGGCGGCGGCATCTATCGGAACGGTCGGAACATATCGGCATGGTGGCGGGTCCGGACCAGGCTGGGCTGGGTTGTGGGTTGTGTGTGGGTGGGCTGATATCCGGCAGCGATTTTCACAGCGATCCTGCTTCTCTCTCAGGAACGTTTTGCGCGAGAGGAAGAGAGAAGAAAGAAACATTTCAAACCGGGCGATGAACCACTGGTATTCTTATAGGCACACCCTCGGTCCCTCCCATTTCAGCTCTATACCCCCTTTCCCTCCGTCCCTCCGTCGCTCCGTCCGCGGGCCCAACGTCATTACAGCCCTCGAAGACCTTTTGAGGGTTTCGGTCCTGGCGAGGGGAATCGAGGATTCCTATAGACATCGCGGGATCGGGGAGAGTGATCGAGTAGATGGCCCACCTCCACCACCCACCACCGTCTTTTTCCCGAGATGTGATGTGATGTGATGAGATGAGCACTGCCTGCTGGCCTCACCGCATAAAATGAAAAGTGATGAAATGAAACGAAACGGCACATGGTGCTGTGCTGTGCCTCCCGGCGCTAGAAGAACACGTGAATTTCCGCTCCGTCCATCGCGAGCGAGCGAGCGAGTATTCATCTCCGTAAAGCTCGAGCCGTTCTCATCGTCAAGCCGAATCGCAAGTACTCTACTCTACTTTACTGCTGCTGTATGACACTCCCATTTGGCTTCAACTTCCACTTCGTTTACCGCCCCATCGACAGAGCGAGATCTTATTTCCCCGCCCCCGTGTCGTATCACATCACATCACATCTCGTCTTTTCGCGGAGCCGGATACTTCTCCACACCCCCAGACATACACCGCCCCAGACATATATCCATACATCCATACAGCCAAACAGCCGTACAGCCATACATCCGCCCTGCCCTATGTTTGGTAGGTAGTGTAAGTACCGTAGTGGATGTATCGGCAATTCACCAGCGATATCACGCAAGCACCTACACGGCAGCTGAGTGGTCAAGCGGGCAAGTGGGCAAGTGGGCCAGTCTCTACTTCATGTATGTATGATACATATATCGGAGTAGTGGGTAGGTCTCAGACTCTCGGTCAGTCAGGAGGAAGGAGGGGCTGCAAACGAAACTGAACGAAATTGAACGGAACGGAAAACGACAACGAAAACGAAAAGGAAAGAAGAAAGCGCAAGAAAGCGGAAGAGAAAAAAAGAGAAAAAAAAAACAGTACGTGCGTACGTATCTGGTGGATGGAGGGATGCGTGGAGGAGGGGATGGGGGAGGGATGCGTGGATGGGGGAAGCATGATACTCTATATCCCTCCCACCTGGGCGGCAGTGCGGTGTGAGCAGAGATAACAGCAAACGACTGGATCTGCTAGATACTAGAGTAGCTACTAGTCATCCATCGCCAGTCATCATTCGCCAGTTACTCCGGGGACGGGGGCGAGCTAAGACCAGCCCCACGGGGAGCCGGAGTGCAGAGTGCGGAGTGCGGAGTGCGGAGGGATGAGCATCGAGTGACTGCAGTGGCGGATGCGGTGGCTGCGTGGTGCTGCTGGTGATGCGAGAACAGATACCGGTATATACCGGTACTCGTGTCGTATGTAAGCTGCAAGCGTGCTGGGGGTGGAATATCTAGTATCTACATACATGGTGGTATGTAGTGGTCTACATAGGTACATCCGTCCGTCCACTTTCTAGACTCTACTGTCTAATGTCACTGGCGCACCACCGCCGCCGAAAATAGTAGTGCGCCCTACATACACATACACACATGCTTCATACACTCACATACACATACACACATACATAACTACATGACTACATACCTACATAAAATTGGTACATAGGTACATACAGAAGTATCTATGCACAGGTCCTCCATATCCTCCATATCCTCCATATCCTCCATATCCTCAACAACAGTAGTTTCAACCCGTAGTTACAAGTTTCACCTGTCAGACTCAGCACTCCGCTCCGGTAGCACCCGAGAATCAAGATAGCGGTGGCGGGCCTAGAGTTACATAGATATCTACATATAGTAGTACTCTACTCAATGTAGAGTATTGTACTCTGTCCGGCCAGCCAGCCGGCCGGTGGTTCTCATTCGCTCTCCCGTTCGCTCGTTCGCGCAACGAAAAGAAAGCAAAGAAAAGAAAACAAGCAAGCACGCCAGCAACGAGTCATCGTCGTCGGCGTCGTCAAAGTATGTAGACTGAGGCTTCGACCCGTAGTGCTCGTCCAAGAATCGCGATAGAGATAGCGCTGCGCTGCCGCGATACGGCGCTGGCGTTTGGTTGGTACTATTTCAACCAGATACGTACTCGCACACGGTGAAAGGGAGGGGACGATTGATTAGCGCAGGGATTCGATTCTGTGCATAGCTGCTAGTACTAATAGTATCTAGTATGTGCATACGGTGAGATGATATCGACAGGTGATCATAAGATATCACCCGCTCGGATCAGGGTCAGGGCTGGGATGCGGTGTCAGCTGTGGTTTGTATGTACAACACGCCGCACGCCGCAGGCGGGTGGGAGGTTGGTTGGGTGGTGGCTGGACGGCGAAGTTCCCTTTCTTTCTCTACACTCCGTTGTGGTGGTGGTGGTGGTGATGCCATGCGCCATTCATGATTCGATTCGATTAATAATACAACCGGTAATACATAAAACAATACCAAGAATTGATGTCGTGATATCGAATGTCGAATATCGGAAGTCTATATTATTATTTTGCGCGTGATCGAATGTGTGTAGATATCGCCCGAAGCGATGATGAGGATGATGATGATGAGCTGAGCAGGTGCGAGCATGCAATGCAATCTACTCTATTCGGCGCAAATCCACTTCCCCCTCTATCTACCATACCCAGGCAGATGCCAGATATTTCGACCGCGCGCGCGATTACATGCCCGCCGCCGCGGCCGAGCGAGCGAGGGAAACGAACGCAACAAATGCAACAAATGCAAGAACGAACGAAGGAAGGAACAACGAACCAATAACGGATATCTCCTCCCTGCTCTATCATAGCAGTTAGAGAGTTAGAGTGTACAGCGCGCCGATAGCAACTTCAAATAAATGATTTCCAGTTTTTTTTTTCCTTCTTTCTTTCTTTCTTTTTGTTTTGTTTTCTTTTCCTTCCGTTCACGGCAGCTTCGCTTTTCTTTTCCTGCGACGGAACGGCGGCGCATCCTTATCATTGGCCCGCTTGTTTCGTTTCGCTGACAGGATCTGGATATTGCGTCCACACCACCACCACCGTCACCACCACCTCCACCTCCATATCCACCATAATCACCGCGCACATGCAAAGAAACCAAACGGAATAAATCCCCAGACGGACGCCATAGATAGATAGATAGATAAGTATATCCATCCAGTCAGTCAGTCAGCCAGCCAGCCAGCCTACTAGGTATAGGTATCGCCATCTGATACGAGTGGCAGGCGATATCATGAAATCATGATGGCCAGACCGGGCCTCCGGGGGGCCTGGGGGATGATGGACACTGCATCCGTGGTTGGTTACCAGAGCCGTCCATCCATCCATCCATCCATCGCGGAGAGACGTGAAGAGCTGCGAGCTGCGTCTTTCGGTTTCCCCGCACTGCTGCTGCTGCTGCACTCCTCACGGTTCTGTGCTGGACCGGGGGTCAGGGGGCGGGGCGGGGGATGGAGATGGTTGACGCACATGTGTACGGTACACTATACATACGCCTCCTTGATAGGTACGTCTACGTCCTCGGACACGAGCAAAACGCATGGCACGGCATGGCATGGCCGGCATGGCATGGCGCTGCAGCATGTACAGTACATGCGTACATACATATGTACGTACGTTTTTTTGCTTTGCGGGGCACGGCGGGGCGGGGGGCGGGTGGAGGGGCCTGCGGGACGCGGTGGGAAGAGAAGAGGTATCGCACTTCCTCCCACACCCACCGTGATGGGTGGATTGGCTGGTTTGAATGGATGAGTGGGTGGATGATGCTTCTGGTCCTCCCTGCAGGACTGGCAGGACTGGCAGGCAGGACTGGCTGTCCACTCATTCATCCCACCCCGTCCTCGTCCCCCTCCCTCTCCTCACTCGTGGTTCGCGAAGCAGGATGCAATATGTACACTGTACTATGTACAGCGCAGCGTAAAATAGTATCTGTAGAAAGGTGAAGATGAATGCTCATCGTCATCGCGCTGCACGCAGTACGCATATAGCACGTCGCTGGCTGGCGAAAGATGAATCCTGATTCCGGGGACGAATCCAGACGTGCGGGAATGATCGAGAAGACTTTTGCCCTGCTGCTAAGCCCAAGCCCAAGCCCAAGCCACCCGCCGACCCCCCGGCCGCGTTGGGAGGGCGAGCTTCCGCTCCCGGTCTCGGTCCTGGTCCTGGTCGTGGTCCTGGTCGTGGTCCTGGTCGTGGTCCTGATCGCTTCGCGCTGCTTCCTGCTTCCTGCCTCTGCCTGCGGTCCCGGCGTGTTCTCAGGGTCGGTCGGCCGATACCTACATACCTATCGCAAACCGGAAACAGCAACGGAAACGGAAATGGAAACATGGAGAAACGGCCGGATCTCGACACACGCCCACTCACACCACACTCACACACCCACACACGCCCACTCACACATATGCAAGCACGCAACTCGCATGCAACACACTCGCAACACACTCGCAACACGTAAGCGCACCCAGGAGCCTGTACGGGGGCCTAGGGGCTGCGGTGGGCGGTGGGCGGTGGAGAGATAGACAATGCCATGTATGCAAGTATGCATGGTACATAATGGATAGCGAAATCAACCCTGTCTCTGCCGCCCAGTCAGCCCCGTCATTCATTCAGTCGCCTATCTTGCTTTCCTCTGCCCGCCCTGCCCTGCCCTGCCCTGCCCTGCCCTGCCCTGCCCTGCTTTGGGGGCGGGGGCGGGGGCGGGGCGGGGCGGGGCGGGCAGAATCCAGATGGACGCTCGGACTCGAGATCTCCCGGGAGTAGCGTCAGGAGACGGGTACCTAGAGCAGAGCTGTCGTCGTGACAGACAGATAGACATATCTTGATTCTTGCCCAAGCGGCATGTACATATCATACACGATGGACATGCAGCCAGCAGCAGTGGTTCCATGCGTGCACGCATCAGTCACCCCTCCTCCCTCGCCAGCCCCCCGCCAGCCCCAGCCGTAGTCAGAGGAACCGCGACGATAAAGCGCCCTCGATGGCGGGGTAAGAATCTGGAGGTGGTGATAATGGTGATGGTGCACCGGGGGGGCATAGTATCTCCGTATTTGCAAAGCGGCGGATAAGGAATGGACCGCTCGGTGTGTATGTACATATGGGATATGTACATACTCCATAGTATGTAACGATTAGCAAGCCAACCAACTAGCGGTGGAGTCGAGTAGAGTACCTACCATACCTACCACTTGGGTACGCGTTCGGCTGTGCTCACCTCTGTTTGCAACTCTGCAGCGGCAGCAGACGCTGTAGATAGATTATCATGTAGATATGTAGTTATCGGGTATCTTGAAACATCCCACCCACCCACCCACCCGCCCACCGTAGAGTAGAGTACGGTACCATTGTCTCGACTTGAGGCCCAATATACCAATATACCAATATACTCAATCTCCCACCCCGGCGGACGGAGTAGGTAGGTAGGTAGGAGGAACCCTCTTCGGCGCCGCCGGCGACAGACAGACGAAGGGTGAGAAACCAGCTGCACGCCATCCATTCATCCCCCAGACCCCGTATGCACGCCATCCATCCATCCATCCATCCATCCCAGCGCAAACAGAACAGAACCGAAACGGAAATGGCAATAGCAATACCTAGCAATAGCAATGACAATGGTGATTCGAGCCTGCCCCGCCGCGTCCAGAACAAAAGTAATAAATCAATTAAAAAAAAACACCGCAAACAGGTAGCGTCCACCAGAAGTTTGAAGTCTGAAGTACCTAGCAAAGTTAGTAAGTAGCAATACTTCCAATGCCACACTGATCTCCTGCAGGGACCAGACCACGACACGAACGGACGGGGGACTTTCCTGATCCACCAGTACCCGCTTTCTTTTGCGCGCGCGCGCGCCCTTCCCTTCCCTCCCTCCCCATCCACCCACCCGCCCGCCCCCCCCAGGGCTCCCAGGGCCCCCAGAACAAGGCCCAGCCCAGCCGTTCCCTTCCCAGAATGCAGATATCGAATGCAGGGAGGATTAGACGAGCTGGCAGAGATTTTCACTTTTCCGCCACAGCGCTCCCTAGCAGAGTAGCGAAGCAAGTAGCTAGCTAGCAGCCGTTCCGTTCGTCCCGTTTTCTGACAGCGCCTCTTCGCAGTGCAGTCCGGGGGGGCGTTTTTTTGTGGTCTGTTTGGTGGTTAGCACAGAATTAAGCGAGTGATCTCCGGTGAACTCACATGTCAGGTCATGTCTCCACCACCACCACCACCACCACCACTATCACCATCCCGGCACCACCAGTTCGCACCAGTTCGCAGTTCGCAGTTCGCACGCACACCCCTTATCGTAGAGTACATGCAGCGCGCTAGGTATTCCACAGATCTAGAGTACATATTATATGTACATACATACTCTACAGAGGTGTCAAATCTCCACCCCCCATCCCTCCCTCCCTCGCAACCGCTCCGCCTCGCCCCACCGGTTGCCGGTCAGAACGGGGGAGATGAATATATTGCACCCGTAATGTACTCTCTTCCTTAGGTAGAGTAGAGTAGGTAAGGCCGAGCCCCACTCCGAATTCCCGTTTCGTTCGTGCCTGCATCCGAGGAGGAGGAGGAGGGGAGCGCCGTCCGCATTATTGTTTAATTATCTCTGTATTCATGTAGGTACCTACCGCAACAAAAGCTGGCGCGGGCGCCGAGAGGGGGTGGGGGGGGAGCGGAGTGAGAAAAAATATTTTTGTTGATATCTTTTGTGGCGTTTGTAATGATAGCGAGGAAAAACATCGAAAAAAAACATGTGATTGTGTTTCGTTTCGGATAGGGGACGGGATCTTTTGCGGGGAACGGGAAGATGAAGAGGAGAGAGAAATCGCAGAGTGCAGAGATTCGAGAGAGAAACGAGAAACGAATGGGAAGCTGTGGGGCTGCATCCGGGCGAACCATGGCCACTCATCAGCGTATGTAGGTGTGTATGTAGAGTACGGATGGTAAATCCGTTCCTTTGTGCGTCCAGACTCCAGGGTCACCTACATACCAACCACGGCGCGCCCGCGGTCGTATTGGTACCTTCTTATATGCAGAGAACTCTAAGATGCGAAACCTATCATAGGCAAATCCCATGACACGAGCGAGCGACCATCCGTGCATACAGATGATGGATGTGCACCTCGGAACCATCCAAGCCCCCCAGCCTCCAGCCCCATCCCAGCCCTGTCTCTCGCAGCACAGACCACGATGACAGTGGCGCACGGACGTGGAGAGGGCAAATCGTGACATCACTGTATCACAACGCAACATCATGCTCTGTGCACGTGCCCGCCAGCCATACCGTAACTCTCCGCATCACCACCAGCCCCATGTTCCGGGGACTTTTTTCCTTTCTTTCCTTTTTTGCGTGTTGGGTACGTGATGGGTTGTTTGCACGAACGTACGAACGCTCAGACCTTCCCCCATCACCAAACCCACCCCCCTCCCTTCCCTGTCCTGTCCTGCTGCTTGCCGAAACCCAGATCTGAAGACGACTCGACCATGGCCACGAAAATGAGACATGTTGCACGCATCTGAGACCTCACCAACCCGTATCCCCCTCCCACGCCCCCAGGTGCTCCCCCACATGCGCTCGACGCGGCAATGGCGGTGGAGGTGGGGGAGGGGGTGAGGGGGTGAGGGGAGGGGGCCTGCTTCGTCGTCACCTGACCCGTACCTGGAAGTGAACGCTGGTACGGTACATGGTGAGGTACGTCGAGTGGCACAAGGCGCAAGACGGAGGAGATCACCATGCTGCCGCATGCTGCCCCTGCCCCGTCTTCTTCATTCTGTTCGGTTCCTCCACTAAGAGCAGACTCTCAAGAGGCTTGGGTGGGTTCCGATTCACCGCTCTCGCGCGCGGGGTCGACTGGTCACTGGTCAGTTGCGGATCTCGAATTCGAACTTCTGCGCGTTCCTGGCGACAAAGCAAAAGCTCCCCTCACCCCTCTCATCCTTGTGTGTAACTGCGGAGGGTAATAAAAAAATAAAAAAAAAATAACCCATATCCCCGAGCTGAAAAAAGGAAAGAAAATGTAAGCGTCAGTGACCCTTTTTGTTTTTTCGCTTCGCACGGGGATGAGGGGAGAGACGAACAAACGAAACGAAACGAAACGAAATGCCAATGGATTCGGATGACTGCGGTGCGATACTAGAGCACGGCGGGGTATAGCCTAGGAATGCGATGGATGAAGAAGATGGGCACGCGGCCCATGACCAGTGTCCATCGCACTCCCGCCGCGGGGGCGGAAAAAGAAGCAGCGCCGGAGGAGAAATAGCGATGGGATCAAGTGAAGGGGGGCACGCGAGAGGTACAGGAATGGGAAAAGACGTCTCCCATTCCTACGCCGCGGCCACTACCACCGCCAAAAGCAAAGAGCTGCGAATCCGTGTGTAACTGAAAACCCCACACTTCACTGCTGGTGCCTTGCTCCCCTTCCCCTTCAGGTGATCTCAGCTCCGCGGTGACGATGCTCCATGAAGTTGGTACGTACTGTACGTACCGCCCCGCGGGGCCGGCGACTGCTGACTGCTGAACTGCTGACTTCCGCTGCTGCTGCTCGCCCTGTGGAGATTTTAGTGGAAAGGATGCAAGTTAGAAGGAGCAAGTACGTACGTACCGAATTTCCGATGACCGAAACCCCACGGCGTATGAAACTGTGTGGGATGTCCACGTCCGTCTAAGGCCTGGCCCAACAAAAAAAGATGGCCCCCGACTGATAGGCAACATCAGCTCCTCAACATCAACGTCTCGACGTCCCGTTCGTTCGTGTTCGAGATGGTTCGGACAGCCGGGCGGACAGACAGAAAGACAGACAGATGGACAGACAGCCAGACGTCGGTAGAAGGAGAAAAGGTGCCGGTTGAGGGATTGTGCAGGACCGGCAAGTTTAATGTGTTGCAAACAGAGCCCAGAAGCACCAAAAGGGCAGTCCTACGGTGGAAGCACAGGCCCACGTACGTACGGCGGGCACAGCATGTAGAGTGGGCACATGTGGACGACGAGCACACACCACGTCTCCGCGTCCGGTGTCGGGGGCCGCATCCATCCACTCAGCACACCTAGGTAGCTCACCCCGCGCTGTCGTGTACGGTGGGACGGGGGGGACGTAGATAGTGGGCAGGTACTAGCATGTACCTGCCTGCCGAACATCCCATGACATCCTCATCCCACATCTCGTCGCCGGCCAACCAGGTATCAGCAACACAGCAGCAGCAGTAGCAGGAGTACCGGCAGCAGCAGCAGCAGTAGGGATTCTGGGAACGAAGAAGCAAAAAAAAATCCCCATCACCAGGCCGCCACGCCGCCGCCACGCCTCCCTCCCTTCGTTCGTTCCTTCCTCTTCTTCTTTAACCTCATCATCATCATCAACATCAGCAGCAGCAGCAGCAGCAGCAGCAGCAGCATCACCGTTCGTAGTCGCAGCCGGGTCGGGAAGTATATTGAGCTTTAGCGCAGGACGTTCACGACCAGTCGCATCGCCGAAAAGGAGAGCAAGCAACCAGGCAAGCAAGCAACCAAGCAACCAAGCAACCAAAAAAAAAATAGCAAACCCACGCTCAAGAGCTCGCAGAAAAGAAGGAAGGAAGAAAAAAAAACAGCAACCCAGTCCTCAACAACCATCTTTACAAGTATCCCATACCTGATACCTGTTCGCCGCCGGACGCGCCCAATGAAAAATACCTAAGATACCACACACACACACACACATCCCCCCCGGCCCGCACTGCGCAGCAGCAGCAGTCGGTCGGTCGCCCCAAACGTCTTACGTCTGTCGACACGGGAATAGTTAACTAAATCCTCTAACTAAGTACTCCTCTCTGTCGGTCTTGCATGTCGGCGCTTTTTTTTCTTTCTTTCTCTCTCTACAAAGGGTAGCTGGGACAGACGGGGGGCCGAGGGGGCAGGACAAAAAAGAAAGAAAGAAAGAAGGGAGCGGAGGTATCTGGAGTACCGACCTGGGTACTCCATACCGTATCATGCATACCATAAGAAGTAAGGACGTAGGTATACTTACGTGACCCATGAGGCGCAACAAAGTTTATCCTGCAGATTCATGTTTGCTTTTCGGGGTCGTTGCCATCCGTACCGCACCGTACGGCCCCGTACCATGCCATACCATACGATGCCATACCGTTCCGTCCGGGGAGTACAGTAGGTATCGTATCTACCATACCGTACCATACTGCTTCGTCCGTACCGTACCATACAGTCCGTATCATGCCATACAATGCCATTCCGTACCATACCGTCTCTACCGTCCGTCCCCATACGTAGAGTAGAGTACGACTGCGCAGCGCATCGCCCGGGTTTCGGCGAGGATCGAGTACATACAGTACTTTACCTACATGCACGCATAGTTACCAGGGGGGCAGCGTTTCGACCGCCTCAAAGACGCGGGCAGAAAACAGGAGCAGGAACTGCGAACGTCAAGGACGTATCTTCCCCCTACTCTACTGATTGAATTAGGTGGGAGATAACCTTCCCTAGTCGTTTCGAACAAAAGAAAAGAACATTTTATCTTGGCCCTCGCTCGCCGAGATATCTCTCTCTCTGGCGACATGAGGAGCTCGCATATGGATATAGGAGGAGTAGCTCGGATGGACCCTGCCGCATGTACTCATACCTATACCTAGCATAGGTGTATAGCGTATGATACCGTCCGGGACTTCAGGTACCGGTACCTGAATGTAAATTAAACAAGCCAAAGAGCCGTTCGGACGTGAGTATACTGTGGTTAGTACTGTGTTTATGTACCGTACATAGGGACGGCCTCATTACCGCTGCGCCAACTTCCGTACCGAAACAAGTCGGGTCTCCACTTCATTTTACTCGGCATTACTTTCAGTTGTAGTACTGTAGGTAGTAGTACTGTAGTTTTACTGTAGTGTGTAGCGAAGAAGAGCCATTTTCTCGTCTCGGTTTTGTACCATAGGTATGCCCCCTGGCCTCCTTGCCCCCGAGCAAATCAGTATGGCTGGGTGGCTGGCTATCCTGCATCAGTCTGCAATTCGATTGCTTCGGGTTCGAACTTCGTTGTCCATCAGTATCAGTGCATACATACGGTATCTTGAATTGCAGAAGTACTCTATAGGCATGGCCACAGTATACCTACGCTCACCCGCTCGTTCGGTTGCAGTGACAGCGCCGCAGCGGCTGTGGATGAGCTGAGCTGAGGAAATTCCAGGAAAAAGAAGCAAAAACCCTCCTACCTTCCCACCCTGCAGTATCTACATACGGTAGGAATAATTTCCAGACTTCCAGCCCAAACCTCCTTCAGGCTTCAGTTCGCGCGGCGTGAGAGTCGGACAGTCCTCCAGCTTCCAGCAGGCTCCGAGCAGAGTAATCATGCATCCCCACCACCACCAAGCAGGCAGGCAGGCAGGCAGGCAGGCAGGCAGGCAGGCAGGCAGGCAGGCAGGCAGGCAGGCAGGCAGGCAGGCAGCAGCAAGATCCATATCTGTGGGGAAAAGCAAAGCAAAGCAAAGCAACAAGTCCCTTGAACCCTCCCGTCGAGTCGGCCATTGGCGCAAGAGATTGTGGAGTGTGGAGTGCATTAGAGTACCCAGAGCACTACATACAGACCCCCCATCGGATACAGATACAGATACAGATATCTAGGAATATCTAGGAATCTATGCATTCGCCATCACTCGTGACTAGTTGCTTATGTAAGCATCTATCTCACCGAACTCGGCACTCGCTGCCGCGCGCTGTCCAGTGGCCAGTAGCCAGTGATCACAAAGACTAGACCATGTAGATATATCGACCCCCCTGCCCGCACTGCGCGCCCGGTTGGGTGGGTGGGTGGGCTCGCTCCCACCCAGCGGGGCTGTGGCCGAACGAACGAACGGAACGAACGCAATCCCAAACGCCAATCGCGAATCCCAATGCCATAGGGCGGCGCGGCGTGGCCCCATCTCGACCTCCCGCGCTGAAACGTTTTCGCATCGCACAGCCCGAAGCGGATACGCACCACCACCACCACCACCACCACCACCACGGTGATGCACACGCCATGAACTTGAGCATTGAGGATCAGTCATAACACAACAGCCCGTCGGGACTCAGAGCGGGATAAAAAAAACCGTTGAATCATTGAAATTTGAATGGGCTGCGGACACTGGACTACTGTGGTCAGCGCTTAATAATAGGTTATGTACTCACACGCAGTATGTAGGTAAATTGGTACTCGGGTACTGGGGCGCGGGCGGTCCGTATGTACGCGGACGAGGACGGGGATTCGCTATCGTTTCGTTTCGGATGGCTTCCTGTATCGAGATGGCGTTGCAGGAATTTTCTCTCTCTCGTCTGTGGTTTTGGTTTGGTTTGTGTGTGTTGAAAGCGAGAGCGCACTCTCGGTAGAGCTCTTAGTGCTAGCAGCTAACGAAAACTAGTAGCCTTTAGAGGATTTTCTTCGCGGACCGAACGAAGACAAGCCTTTCTGCGCTGCGTTATGTATGCCCAGTAGTTACACCCCGGCCCCCGGCCCCCGAGGCTGGCTGGGGGTGCGATGGTTGGAGTATCTTTCTAGGTAGAGCAGATATGTAGAGTCGATATCTTTGAGCAACTCGAGGAGAAGCGTGAACGGGGGGTGCGCCTCCCTCCCAGCTGGGCTCCCACCCTGTGCCCTGCCACCGGCCGTTATCAGTGGAGTGGGAGTGGCGGTTACCTGCCGCGGCGGGGTGGCAGTGTGCAGCATGACTTACTTACTTACGTGAAGCCGAGCGAGCGCACCGCTTCGATACCCCCCTTCCCTTTTTTTTCTTTCTTACAGATGATGTGGCTTGACGAGACAGGCAGCAGCACCAGCAGCAGCGGTGCCCGGACGTTCACCTACATACCTAGACGGAATACGGAATACGGAAGTGATGATCGTCAGTCAGTGTGGGGTCCGAGGGATAGAGTGGGTACTCTACATATGGTGGTTATGCGTGTACCCACATAGCATAGCCAGAGCATGCATAGCATAGCCAGAGCATGCATAGCATAGCCAGAGAGTATTAAAAATCCGGGGTATCTACATATGGAGGAGGAGGAGGAAGGCACTCGCAAGTGCGTGCGTGCCAGCGAGCGAGCGAGCGAGAGAAGGGATAGGGATAGGGATAGGGATCGGGCATTACGCAGTAACTCCCGGGGGATCCCCCCGGTCTACGTATTTATTCGGCGTCGTGGACCATGACCCTCGCCGCGCCGGCGCCGGATTGCAATGCCGCCCGCACAGCGCCGCACGGAATCTGCATGGGCCGCGCCGCGCACAGCACCATGGCGTGTGTGAACGCTCACTGCATACTCTACATATCACACATACGGTATTCTCGCGAGCCGCGAGAGAGAGAGGAGTGTTTCGGCTTTTGGGAAGGGGGGTCCTCGAGTCGCCGGTGGCGGAGACGAGACGAGGGGATGGGAGACGAGGGGATGTGATGTGATGCGCGGAGAAAGAAGACATGCAATGGAGGGCGATCCGTCGCGTTAGCTACATGTCTAGCTCGACTTGCTTCCGTCGTTGGGTGCCAGAGTAGCCACAGTAGGTGGTGCGTACTCTACACAGACGACTTTGCAATTCGGAATCGACGCCGCGGGCTGCGCTGCGAGGCGTGCCTGATTCTCGCTGCGTGGCTCGCTCGCTCGCGCGTGTCTCCGTGGGTGGAAGGTGGATGGATGTGAGGGGTGGCAGTGGCAGTGGCAGTGGTGGTGGTGGTGGTGGTGGTGGTGGTGGTGGTGGTGGTGGTGGTGGCCGATGCGATGGGCATTGGGGCGTCACCGTGTCGCCGTGTCACCTTGCGTAGAGTACCGGCACCGTGCTCTACCGTGCTCCATGTAATGTAGGCACTAGATACCTGTGATGATGCGTGCAGCGTACAGATGCTGAAACGAAACGAGACGAGACGAGAACGAGCCATCACAATCACAATCACCGTGCTCTACAGGTACTCTACAGGTACGGGTACAGGTAACTACGGGTACCGAGTTTCCCAGCCAGCCAGTCGACCAGCCCGCCAGCGAGCGTTTCGTTTCCTGCGTGCTCACTGTCTACTTCCTTCCATCTCAAATACCGTATGATGGTTAACGAACGCCATCATCGCGGGCTTGTCTGTCCGTCTGTTCAGTTAATGGTACCAACCTCGCACCTAGTAGCGTATCGAGCACCGCAGCAACCAACCGGAGTGCAACTTCGCCGAACAACAATGTAGGTAACATACGGCCTTGGCCGCCGCCGAGAGCCCACTGCCCAATAGCCACTGAGTCTGCACCTCCCATGGCCCTCTCTTTTGCTCTTTGCTTTTTCCCTCTCGAGCTCGAGAGAAAAAAAACGCCAGAACGTCACCTCGCACCTCGCACCACATGGGCTGAGCAATGAGCAAAGAGCAATGAGCATGACTGTTACATGCACACAAACTTATGCAATTGCAGCCCCATTCCCCCCCCCCCCCCCCGGCCCCTCCCGGTATCCAATCTCACGCTGTTGTGAGGCCGTGGCTGGCTGGCAGGCTGGCGGGAATCAGACCTCGAACGGGAACGTTCAACGAGATGATGTAGTACCGTAGCACCGTACCGGTAGTACCTTGTATGATAGTAGAAGAGGAGGAAGAAAAAGAAGAAAGAAGCAAATACCAAACACACTCCCACGCAAGCTGTTACATACAATGTTACCTTGTTACCTTGTTACCACATCGCTCGTACGCTCGTACGTACTCGAGGCCGGCGGGATTTGTGGGCTTTACGGGCTTGGTAGGCTTTACGGGCTTTGTAGGCTTTGTATGTAGGCTCAGTAGGCGAGGGCCGGGGGGCGAACAGTGGATAGTGGACAGTGAACAGTCATGCGATTGAGCAGCCTTGGGCGGACAGGACACTGGGGGCTAGACAGGACAGGACAGGCCGCACGGCGTCTTCAGACTTCAAAGTTACTTCTCGGCGGAAGCTTCTCGGCGGAAGATTCCAGAGTTCAAGTCTGCGTCTATGTAGAATTCCAGTCCGAGTTCGACTCCAGTGTCCAGAGTCCAGACCCGGCCAGCAGACTCGGCAGAGCGGCAGAGCGGCAGAGCGGCAATCCTCATTCCTGAGCCTCAATCCTGCTCCTGATCCTGCTCCTGATCCTGAAGCCGGCTGGCCGACCTAACCGACCGATGCACGAGGTTTCCAGCGAGATCGAGACCCGCTGCACCGCTGCACCGCTGCACCGTGCCCGGCCCTGTTTCTGTCTTGTCTCTGTCTGCGCAGTTTCCACGCCAACCCTCCATGCCAACCATATTCTACCGTACTCTACATGCCGAAACCTCCCATTCGTTCAACGTTGAGCCGGGGGGGGAGGGCCGGGGACCCAATGATTCGGCCAACCCCGCGAAGCCTCCGCCCTCCATCGTCGCCCTCCATCACTCCGCCATCGCGCATGCACACAGCACCCCACAGCCCACAACCCAACCCACAATCGTCTGCTATGCTCGATGCTCGATGTTGGATGTTGGTCCGGATCTGTATTCTCCACCACCACCACCATTCTGCTCCACCACCACCACCATTCTGCTCCACCACCGCTGCACTCCACTCTGCGCCCCTTCTCCGGGATCGGGCACGGACTGGGCAAGGATCGGGTACGGAGCGAGACGAATCCCCCTCATCCCCCAATTTATCCATCCCCTCCTCATCCATACATCGGCGTGACGAGATCGTGTGCTCATAGAATACTAGAGTAGAGTACGTCGTGGAATGAACGGGCAGTTGGTTCGCTTGGCTGGCCAGTTATCGGTGAGCAGTCATCGGTGGTGAAAACATGTGCACGGGTACGAGTATCTACAAGGCTGCGAGGTGATGTAGGTATGTAGGTTTGGTAGGTATGGTACTTGGAATCTGCACTCCGCTTCCATGTAATGCCATGTACAGTACTCTACCTAGTGTACATTACCCACATACAGTACTATTTACATACATGTGCGCACTGCGAGTCTGCGAGCTCTACATACTTCCAGAAAATCCGGGGAAAGGCAAAAATAACTAAGCTCCAATGGCAACCACGGTCCAACACATATCAGAACCGGCGACGGCGACGGCGACCACACACATTTATCCAATCCAAGCATCATTGTCGTCGTCGTCGTCAGGGTCATGCCCTTCAAGTTCGTATGTAGTCAAGTATGAACCCAGACCCTTAGTCCCAGTCCCAAGCACTCCTCGAGTCCGAGACTCGAGTTGCTCCATCCCCCCAGAACATTCAATTCACCACAGCACCAGCAGTAGCAGTAGCAGTAGCAGCAATACAGCCCCATTTCCATTTCCATTCCCCCATCCTCATCCCCATTTCCCCAGGCAATAGTTCATAGTTCATAGCCCGTAAACCAAAAAAGCAAGCAAAGCGCGACACGAATCGAATCGGCAGGCGCACCTCACGCATCTCCGATGGCCAGGCAAATCCCCGATGAACCAGGTGTGTACGGTGTACTCCCTATGGGAGCCGGAGATTTCGCCCAGCGCGCCCCAGACCGGCCATGCGGGCCATGCGGGCCATGCGGGCCATTCGGTCGCCGCGGAGTCTTGGACCTGGACTCTTGAGGTTGGACTCTTGGGGTTGGGTTGAATTGAGTAACTTGGGTTGCAAACTTGAAATCGCCACTGCAGCCCTGCGCAAAGAGCGGTTGTCCCCCGTCCAATCCACCCCCCTCCCCTACCCTCCCGCATGCCGCGGCGCCAGGAATATGAGGGAAACCATCTAGAGTAGTAGTATACTAGCATAGTCGAAACATCGAAACATCGAGAAACAGAAACAGAAGCAATAACAATAGCGGACCGATGGATAGATACCTAGGCAGGTAGTGTAGATAGGAGATGGAAGGTGGGAGTGCGGTCCCAAAGAAGGAAGATTGTGGATGTGGAAATCCCCCACAGCGACAGACACCAGCAAGCGATTCTCGCGATCCCAGCAGTAATTCTCGATCAGGAACGCAACCGCCTGGATGATTCGGGCATTGGGGGAGAGGGGTGGTGTTGCTTGTTTCCTGCGCGTCGCATGCTGTGTTCTGGACAATAATCCATCCATAACGTTCTGACGTGCGGCTAATTCCAGTCGCCATCACCAAAAGGAAGGAAGGACCAATGCTATATAGTAATTATACGTAAGAGCTTATTGATTGATTGCAAGGCTTCCTGCCCTCTCTGCTGCGGAGGATCCAGAGGAGGAGGTGGTGATGATGATGGAGGAGGTGGTAGTGATGGTGGTGGTGGTGAAAGTTAGAGGGAGGGGGCGGTCTACTGGCGGGCGTTACAGATACCGAGGGAAAATGGTCTCGCCGCAGTCGCCACATACATGCAATCATGGCGTTTCCGACCGGCTACGGGTGTCCACGGTGGAGCTTCTTCTTCTCCTCCTCATTATATCCGTCCCGTCCAGCCGTGGAAGGCTATGCCAGCCGGATTTGCCGATCCCTCTGATAGGCCGCCTTGCCACCCTCCCCCGCGATCATGTGTTTGAGCCGGATAGAAAGGATACTTCTTATCAGTTCCCTTCGTTCGGCCTCGTCGAAGCCAGGGCCGGCGGAGGGTGAGGGGTGTCTCTGTGCGACTGTCTCTGTGTGTGTGCGCAAGAGTGTGGTGACAGGACATGTGTGTGTATCCATGTATATGCATCTCGAACTCGAAGCACTCCACTTTTGCTGCTGCAGCAAATTGTATGGCCGGCCCAAAACCTCGAATTCCCTTGATGATACACACACCCATCTGCCCGAACCACGCACACCCTTCCCACCCACCACACACACTACAGACAACCAGCCCCTTCTTTCCTTCCTTCCAAGGTTGTGGAGATATATCTTTGACCTGTGTACCTAGATGTAGAGCGCGGTATGTTGGTGTTGATCATCCATCCATCCATTCCGAAAGGAGCACTGGCAGCAGCAGGAGCAGCAGTGGAGGACGGATGGTAAAACAGAACGGTACCCATCTTTTCTGCGGGCCGTACATAAAACGGATGGGATGGTGTGAGATGAAGCAGCAGCCAGCCAGCTTCGGGGCCCCCCTTCCCACGCCTTTGGCCAAGGCAAACGTTTGCCGCTCCTTTGCCATGCCCAACCCACCACCACCACCACCACCACTTCCACAACCCTTCCGCACAACAGAAAGGAGGGAGGGCAAAGTGCAATTTGTCGACCGGACACAGCATTTCCCATCATGCCATGCCATGCCAGGATGAGGCGTGCCGCCCAGAATTGTCGGGCTTTCACTGTGGGGGATGGGTGGGTGGGCTGGACTGGGCTGGGGAGGGTACGGGGGGCGTGGTGGGTGGTGATGGGAGGAGGAGGCAGGATGGATGGATGGATGGAGGGATAGGATAGGATAAGCTGTAAGATTTAGACATCGGACGGTGTGTCAACCGGATAGCTGGGGGAGGGGAGTGGCACCGCTGGATGGGTATGGCTCGAAGCGGTGTGTCGTGACACACAAAGGCATAACATACTCTATGCGCGGCCTAAATGGATTTTCTTGAGGCGTCTTGCATAAAAAATTTCTTCTTTTTTTTTCTTTCCCTTTCTTTCTTTCTTTTTTCGGCCACACCCTGTGTATGCGTGGGAAATGAAGAAGCAAAAAGGGCAGATATGAGGAGGGAGGCTGCGATAGAGAACGAGTGTAGATATCGAGAACTCGAAGATGGTCCCGGAAGCGAGAGGTTAGGGGGGTGCGCGCTTCCTTTCGATAAGGAAAGTTTAGAAACGGGCCGCCGAGTATTCTCGTGTGATTTGTATCCGGCGGCGTATGCGGGCGCCTGGGGGAACGGTAAGGTATAGCTGAGCGGATCCGAGCAGAGCATGGTGAGCTTCTTCTTGATCCGGACGGAGCAGCCGAGCGAGGAAGGAACCAGAGGCGGAGGAGGAACAGAAGGAGGAGGAGGAAGAGGAGGAGGAAGAGGGGGATCGGAAGGGGGAGAGGGGAGTGGAGGGTTACTTTACGGTTTGAAACAGATTGCGGGAGGGTAGAGTTCGACGGGGGGCGGCAAGGAGGAGAGATACATACAAGAGTGGTACGCATACGCGGATTAGATATAACGATTTTCAGGTGAAGATGTTATTTTTACCGTGGGATCGGAAGGGAAGGGAAGGGAAGGGATTCAAGGGAAGGGGGGACGGGGGGGGGCAATTCGTTAGACAAGTGTAGTGGCTTCGGTTCCAGAATTATGGATCATCGGTGGGTGTGCGACACTGCGACGGACAGGGAACCGAAATAGCAGTTTGTGCTGATTCGGACGTTCGCGGATTTTCCCCATACATACCGTAGATATCGCTCATCGAAGTCTGAATGCTACATATCGTATCTCAATGCTGTCCGACCGAGCCCGTTTGGAGTAATCCGTTCGGGTCTCAGATGAGCAGGCATGTGTGTAGTGGGGCTGAGGCACCACGACGAGGCGTCCAACGCACGATGCTCGATGTGGCCCCGGCGCGATACTCTAGAGGAGATTGTGGCGCGCGTTCGTCCGTGCTGAGGCCGTCTAAGCCTCAGAGTCGGCTGGGAGGGGGGGAACGGCGATCGGGCATTCTTCAGCTCGGAGATTTCCGAGGTTGGACCGCAAAACAACAACAACACAGCCTCGAACTCCAACTCCAACACGCCGACGCCATTGACCCCTACCATCCGATCCCATTCAGTGTGATGTCGGCCGTGGTGGCCCCGCTTTCCCCCCCCCCTTTGCCCCAGAGAAGTGCAAATAGTTCTGCGGGGAGAACAGAACGCTCCGATTCGTTCGAGGCGGGCATGTACGGGGGAGAAGGGGACGCGGTCTGTGTGCTTGCGTCTGTGTGGGGGAGAGAGCAGGATGGGATGCATCCGCCGTGATGATTATGCAGGCAGGCAAGGGACTGCACTTTGCTCGCTGTCGCCCTCACCTCATATCACCTCACCTCACCTCCCTCCACCCCCCTTCACCTCGCCTCACTTCCCGTCCACCTCTGGGCTGTCTCGGTGATCCTCAGGGAAGCGGGGATTGTCAGATCGATCGGACTCGAACGCGGGCGCGGACGCGCAAGTAGAGTAGAGTAGAGTGCTTGGCCATCACCCTGTGGATAGTACTCTACCTGCTCTAGTACTATGGTACTCTATCCAGTAACTACGAGAGGGAGAGACAGACTGGCACCGCTTCCGGGGGGCCCTGCGGGGGATCTGCTATGTATGCTCGTGTCGTCTGCTGTCGCTCGCTCGCTCGCATCGATATCCACACGTCTCGAAGGTATGTAGATTGCATTATTGGATTCGCGTTGCCGCAGCGAGCCGGGCGATTCGAAGTCATCGATTATCGTGGTGGTGGTGGCGTTAGCCTGCTGCCAATCATAGTCGGTCGATCACTGCTGTTAGCACCGTAGCTCTACCAGGTATGGTGGTTAGCTCGCTAAGTACCGTAGGGTCGCGACTCGCGCATACATACGCTCGGAGAACGGCGGCGGCGGCCGTCGAACCATCGCAGAAACGAGGCGACTGTGCCGGCGGTCGAAAGTCGAAACCATCGCAGAAACGAGGTGACTGCGCCGACGGCCAATCGCAGCCATACGACTCAGCATCCACGATCGCTCGACGCTCGCATCGCTGTCCACTGTCCACCCCCTCACCGGAGCCCGGCGCGGAGCCATGGCGGGCCGTGGAGCAGAGCTAGCGAGCATCGCCACACACGTTTCTCCGAAGCGTGCGATGCGGCTGAGGCACCCTAGGGTATATGATGATGTGCCATGTAAGTAAGCACTTCCTTCTCACCTATGTACATATGCGGTCGATTCGATTCCCTATCTCGTGTATGTACGTGATGTATGTGTGTGATGTGTGTGAAGTGTGCGTTTCACCAACGCTCGCCGCTAACCCCCTCCGAGCGCTAGGTACTAGGTAGCAGTTAGTTCGATCCGCCAGGCGACAGCCCACTCCCACTCGCACACGCACATGCGGTGCGGCGTGCGGCGTGCGCATCGTCACCTCTCACTACGCCCACGCCCTTCTCCTCACCTCTTTGGGGAATCACGAATGGAAGCCGTAAAGAATGCGCTCTACTCTATTTTACCTTTCCGCTTCCCCTCGGCCTCTACACTAGGTTTGTACATTACCGTATGTACTCTACACATCGCCCAGTGCCCACAATCAATCAATCAATCAATCAATCAATCAATCAATCAATCAATCCCAATCCAATCCACGGGGGAGGGGGAGGGGGGAAACGAAACTTTGCTCCTCCTCCCCCTTCCCCCCGTCTGCGCCCGGTGTTGGTCGACGTGTCGTGCGCACCCCGGTAGGTGATAGTTGCTACGCATTAGCACTTACATAGCATCAATCGGCCACGGCACGAACCTCACGATCGATTCCGTCATCGTCATACACACATACACACATACATATTCCTAGAGTATTACGATGACGTCGATCCTTTTCGTTCGTGCGGCGGCGCCGCGTTTCCCCTCTCCTCCCCGCGCCGCGCCGCCCAAACAACGTCACAGGGAGCGGAGCTGCCATGTATGTCGTATGTAGATGTGGTATGTACTACATCGTACATTTCGCAGTCAGATTCGCGATAGAGTACATTCGCTGGGAATTGAGGCGTGCGGCGCGCGCCTTTGTAGTTTTGCGCGTACAGGACAAGACACGAGATACGGTACATACAAGACGCACCCCCTCATTGACAACTGTGCTGTGCTGTTGGCTATCCTCTACATACATCTTAGGTACATAGAGTACTTAGAGTACATTGATGAATCGAAAGATAGGCAGATGAGATTCTGGACCGTCCTTTACATGCCTATCGCTGAGGGGGAGATCGTAATCGACTTCGACTTCGACCTCGACTCTCCGCCGCGCCGCGCCGAGCCGCAGAGTCGCAGCCTTCTCCTAGCGAGCGGCGAAACCAACCGAAGCGTGAGCAGATCGCGATTTCGAAACGGTTTCTCGGAGCCTGAGTGTCTGGGTGGAGGAAAAGGAGTGGCCTAGTGGGTCTAGTGGTCTAGTGGTTTACCCAGTACCCAGTACCCAGTCACGGTAGTTAGTTGCCCAGTCACGGTTTTTATCTAGTACCCAGCAACCAGCACCGAGCACCGGCACCAGCGTCCAGCATCCAGCATCCAGCATCCAGCATCCAGCATCTAGTACTGGGAATATGTATGTAGAACAGAGGGCTCTTCTCTTCTTCTCTTCTCTTCCACTCCAGCATCTAGGACCAAGACAACTACAACAACGACAAGGGGAGAAGGGACAAGGGAAGATGGGACGAAGGCTGTCCCAGTACCTAGCAGTATCTACAACACGGTACTGTAGATTCTCAAGATTACCATGCAGCCGAGCGAGCGGCAGGTTATTAGTCAAGTACCGCCGAGTACGTACTCCCCGTGCTCTCTCCAAGTAAGCCGCGCTGCCTCGCTTCCCACGAAAATACGAAAGAAACAGCGAGAAAAAAACCCCAGCCTACCTGGACAGCCTAGTTAAAAAGTAGAGCAGATAGAGTAATTAGTCGCCTACCTAGCCGTCAATCAACCGCTTACCGGAAGGGAGGGAGCGAAGGAGCAAGATTCAGAGTGGCTGCTGGCTGGCTGTCCTTGCAAGTCCTTGCAAGTCCCAAGCGGGAATAGGGATGGGCATGTCAGCAGTGAGCACTCCCGGGTCGGGTGGGTTTTTGTTTTCGTTTTATCTCCATCTTTATCTCCCTCTTCAAGAGTTCAAAGTTTCACGCTTCACGCTTCACGCTCGGGATCCGGAACGGAAGCTACCATACGTAGTACTCTGCGGAATGGAGCATAGTTTCCGGAATACAAGCGAAGGGCGAAAAGCCTACTCTACAAACTACTACTCCATACTAGTAAACTCTGCACGCAGTGGCAGTGGCAGTGCGCACATGTTCCCATCCATCCATCTACGGGCTTCAAGGGCACAGCTACATACCCATCCTATCCGACCCAAGCGATGCGATACGCAACCCACGCAACCCGGCGCCGCGCAGAACAAAATACTACTCAACCCTTTTTTTTTTGACTTTGGGGAAGCCGGAACGGAAGGGTGGAAGGAAGGAAGGGTGGAAGGGTGGAAGGTACATAACCGCCAGCGAACGGACGAGTGTGGCGGACCAATCGGCCAAGCAACCTGGCTGGCTGGTTGGCCAGTTGGCTGGCCGCTGGCGGGGTGGCGTAACTCCATACCATGGCGTTCGATACTGTGATAGGTAGAGTAGAAGACTCAGTTTTCGTCGAGGCAATGCATGCACCGTCGCACACGACTCAACGCCTCAGCGAACGAACAGCATGTGGAAAAACATGCGGCGGACGGGGCGGCGGCTTGGGTTTGTACAGTACGGTATCTACATGGACTCATGGAGGTGATGAGGGATAGAGTAGAGGAGAGCAGAGTAGAGCACAGTAGAGGAGATCGCAGTAGAATAGACAAGAGCTGGTCAGGATAGGCAATACGACTTCCGCATCGAACGAGCGCAGCGAACCGGTTCGGGGACGGGAGGTGCTGGATGGGGAAGAGGTGGGCGGGTATGGCATGGTAGGTACCGTATGCGATACGGGGGGGAGGGGGAGTGCTCGTGCTGCGGAGTTTGTAGGCGGCGGGTTCAATCAGTCCTCGGATTAGGGAGAGGAGGAGGTAGGAGAAGGAGGAAGAGGATAGCTGAGGGATGGCGAGGAGCAGAGGAGCAGAGGATGGGGGAAGTGCGGCGGCGGTGGTGGATGTGGATGTGGTGGTGGATGTGGTGGTGGTGGTAGGTGGTGTTGGTGGTGGTGCTACAAGGGTTCATTCCCTTCTGAGCGCATCGACTTTCTGCATTGCAATAATGCCAAAGAACAATAATTTGGGTATGTGGCATGTATGTACAGTACGGTATGCTATGTATGCGAGGCCACCAGCAAGACGCGCTGGATCCAGATGAAGGTGCTGTCGAGACGAGTCGAGGCAGAGCATGAGTGAGTGAGTGTCAGTCAGTCAGGGCCAAGCCCCGGTGGTGCTTCGTCTCTGCTTGCTTGCCTTCTTGCCTGCCTGCCAATCTGAAGACACAGCAAGGTGTGAGAGAGAGAAAAAAAAGGAAAGAAAAAGGAAAGAAAGAATGAGAAGAAAAAAAGACAGAGAGAGACACAGAGAGAGGTGCAGAACGGGTTTGACAGGGGGGTGCGGCAACCTTGTACTCTAGGCGAGGGAGGAGTGAGAAGTGGGGTGAGGAATCGCTGCTGGGGTATTTTAGTTCGGTTGTGTATCGAGTCGAGTCGTCGCGAGTGGGTGGATGGGTTGGGTGGGTTTGGGTGTGTGTGTGGCAGCGGTGCTGATGGTAGTGGTGTGGTGTGGGTACGATTATCATTATCATTATCATTATTATTTCCTGTCGTTACAAAGTATTATATTATATTTTTCTTTTCTTTTCCCTTCTTCTTCTTTTCGCTTTTTCCTTGTTCGAACCACCACCACCGCAACGCAAGCACGCCCGGCCGGCCGGTGTGGTGGTGGTGTGTATGGATGATGGATGGATACTCTACATATAGTAGGTACAAAGTAGGGCATGTTGTGTTGAGCAACGGGTTTGGCGAGAGTTGCGAGTTGCGTGGCAGCCAGCCAGAACAGAGCAGGTACATGGCCAGCTACAAATGGCATCCGGGGCCCTGGCTGGCCTGCTGGTCGATACATACCATACATACACGAGCCAGGCAGGCAGGCAGGTACTCTAAAAAATCCAAACACAGCCAGCCCCATACGCGGAAGCGAAGCTGGAAGGTGGTGGGTGGGTGCTGGGTAAGTTGGTGGGTGTGCGGTGAATGGCGAATGACGGATAGGAAGAGTAGATGCGATTGCGGATTGTGCGTGCGGGCGGGATTGATTGATGACAGGTTCAAGACGGACAGGACAGGACAGGAAGGGGAACAAAAAAGGAAAAAGGAAAAAAGAAAAAGAAAAGAAACGCAAGAAAAAAGAAAAGAAAGAAAGAAAAAAACCGGAGTCAGAAAGAAACCCATCGGCACGGCGGCGGAGGAGGGCGGAGAGCGGAGAGCGGAGAGCGGGCAGAAGAACGAGGGAAGAGAATGTGGTGGAAAAAGGGATCTTCGGCGAAAGAAAGAAGAAGAAGAAGAAGAAGAAGAAGAAGAAGCAGAAGAAGAAGGAAAAATAAACGGTGGATGGTGGCTGGTGGATGGTGCACACATTCCGCTCTATGTATGAACTGTACATACACATACGTGTGCGTGCGTGTAGACCGGTGGATGTCTACTACCGAGAACTACTACTGCTACTGCTACTGAGAACTACTACTACTACCCAAACGGTATGCTGATGAGCCCCCGAGCTGAGCTGAGCTGCGAGCCGATTTGCTTGATATCCCACCCATGCCTGTCTGGCCCCTTCTCGCTGGGCCTGCTTTCTTGCTTGCGGGCCGTCGGATGGCGAAGTTGACGACTACGACTACGACTACCACGGCGGCGGCGGCGGGCGGTACATACTATACATACATGTGCCTTTGTCCGCTGGTCATCCATCTCGTCCATGTCCAAGACAGGTACAGTACATCCAGTACATCCAGCCAGCGATTGCAGCAGGGACAAGACCGGTTCCGATTGAGATTTTTTTTGGAATTTTCCGCGCATCTCACTTTTTTCTTTCTTTCTTTCTTCAGCTTCCAATCCTTCCTTCCTTTCGTTCCTTCTTTCCAACTGGCCACTGCTGTTCTTCCCACTGCTGCTGCTGCTCTACTCCTCATCGAGGTACGGACCGAAGAAAGTTTGCTGGGGGCGGCGAGGGGGGCTGGGATGAGGTGTGCCAGTTCATTGTCGAGCGATTGCTTTCAAGGTCGGTCAAGGAGCGGTGAGGGCAATGACTGGGCGGCGAGGGCAATGCCAGGGCGGTGAACGGGTAGGAATCAGCAAGAGAGGAAGCGATGGGGGGGGATGGGCGGAATCCGGTGTCCACGGCGAGGTGGTGGAGTCAGCGGCCGCCATGATTCTTGGAACCGCGGGTGCCTCTGACTTGTATTTCTCAGGGTAGGTACGTGTAGATGTGTCCAAAGACGTGCGTGGAGGTGTCGGTGGCGGCGGCATGGCCACAGACAGGATGGAGTTCTCGGCCAGATAGCTAGGTGGCTACGGTATGTCCAGTATGTATGTAGGTTCTCGGACACGATGATGATGATCTGTGCACGGCACCCGTTGGGCCACTCGCACGACCGTGGCCATTCCACTGAACGGTAGTAGTTACATACAACCTGTAACCATTCGACTCCGCTAACGATGTACCTCCCTAGGCCGCCTCACTGAGTCCCAACGAGAGTGAGTGCGTGCTCGTGGCCGCTCCACTCGTGTCGTTCTGTAGACTGTCCGTCCACGATATCGGGATCAGCTAAGTGCACAGGAGCCACTACCCGCCGGACGTGTACCGCGACTACTGCAGCAGCAACAGCAGCAGCAGCAGTAGGTAGCAGTACATAGCAGCAGGAGCATCGTCCGTTCGTATGTATCATGTGTAGCAGAAGCCACAAGTGCATGTCAAGTCAAGTCAGTCGAGCCAAGCCGCAGGACGAGTATGAGTGGTATTCGGTAGTGCGGGCGGCGGCGGGTTTGGATTAGGTCAGGTAAGTAGGCGACGGACGGCGGTGGTGGTAGCCATGCCCTCCTCGTGGAGACCGATTGTGGGAACTACGTTTTTTTTTGGTGATACATGAGCATTCGTCCTCCTCCTGGTCTGATTGATAAGTTCGGCTCTAGCGTTGAATGTAACAATAGAAAAGCAGGGGGGCAATGTAGGGGTTGAGGAGCACAGGGGGGGAGGCGAAGGCGGGGGGCATTGTGAAGATGATGGCATGGCATGGGGGGTGGGACGAGCGAGGATCAGGACGACAAGGGCAGTCAAGGAACGAAGCTGTGGGATAGACAGGCAAGCAGGCAAGCAACAAGCAGGCAGGCAGGCAGTAGGCGGGCAAGCAGGCATTTTAGAGTAGGTAGCAGAGCAAGCCGGACAGCCAGACGAACGGAACGGGGGAGGGAGGGAACGAACGGGATGGGAGCGAGGAGGAGGGAAGGAGTGGATGGCGAACGGACAGATAGACACAGCATCGTTCGTGTGTGCCGCGCACTTCCACTCCGCACTGTATACTTTGCGTGTTGATTTGTGTTGATGATGATGATGATGATGATGCTGCTGGTGCTGCTACTGCTGCTGGTTCTGCTTGGTTTAGTCTGAATGAGTACCCGCCTGCTTGGTGCTGCGGAGCTTTGCTATGGTAAGAAGCAGAAGCAGCAGCAGCAGCAGCAGCAGCAGCAGCAAGCAGCAGCGGAGAAAGCAGCGCACCCACCACCACCACCGACTCTTCAAAGATTGCACTCTGCAGCAAGCTGCTGCACTGCTGCATCCACACTCACATCCTCACACACACCACGTCCACATCCCCATCCACAATTCACACCTCCCCCAAAATAATAATAATACCATTCCATCCATACATCCAACCTGCACTAGTACCTCTCAACCTCGCCTTCCACCCCCCCCCCCCCCCCCCCCCCCAAAATTCATCCTCCTCCTCCACCCCCCCACCCCTGTAAATCCCGTTTCTCTTTTCTCTCCTCCCACCCCCCCATCGGCCTTTTTGTTCTCCCCGTCAATCCATACAAGATACTCCTCTCCTCCAAACATCTTCCTCCTCCTCCCTCCATCAACAACCCTTCCCCTCCCGCCACCCCACAGAAGGCCTTAGTCCGCCTCTCCCTCCACCCCCCGTCAATCCTTTGGGTACTCTCTTCCCTCTGCGATATAACTACCCTCGACCACCCACCCCCGACTCCAACCTTCTCTCCTCCCCACAGGCACGAGCACCTCGAAGAAAAGGTCTCGCCAAACATCACCAAAGGAGTCTACGCCATCCACAGCTCCTCCAACGACTACCTCCCCCCACACACTACCCACCACACTCCAATCCGACCTCAAGGGATTCGGTTCTTCTGTACGCCTCTTTTTTCCTCGATATAGTTTTCAAGCGCCATAGTAGGCTCTTAGAAATCTAGCGAGAAGAAATCAGTGCTCGAGGATTTCGGCTTCGGATTACTATAATCGACCACCGCTTACGTAGTTGGTACGTGCACGCGCGAGAGAACGAGAGAAAAAAATTACTCGAAAAACCCTCGGACCTTCCCACGGAAATTGGCGGCTGATAACGTTGTTCGCTCCGATTTAGATTTCTTGTTTCGAGTCTACGTACCACAACAGAACTCAGCCCGGAAAAGAAGGAAAGAAAAAAAGAAAAAAACACCAGCACCTCGAAAGAAAAAACCCACTCGCCCCGGAACCCCCCGACAATCGAGCGAATGCCATACACACCCCCCGTCCAGACCCCTAGTGCGTCTCCGTGTTCGAGCCGGTCCTCCTCCTTCTCCAACCATGACCCACAAAGCCGCTCGACCTTAAACTTCCTCCAATCCTCAAACCCTCCCCGTTCCGCCACATATCTTCACAAGCAACGCAGGTCATCGTCCGGCTCGCTACCCATCCCACTACTCTCCACCCCCCAGTCCCCATCGACGAAGGAACAGCAGCCGTCTACAGATCCCCGAATGAGCGGCAGCGTGCACCAGTCGCCACCTCCCGTCGACAACGGTCTGTCGGTTATGCCCGCAGGCGCGATTATGTCGCCACCCGACTCGACCCAGAATTCGAGCGACGAGGAGGATGGTGGTTTGAGGCGTGGCAGGGATTTGGGCAAGCTAGAAGACGAGCTGAAGGAAGCCATCATGAGGATCCCCCAGCGACGATTCCCTTCGCCTGAACGGACAGCAGCTTCGGTCGAGATCGCAGCAGCCACCGCAGCAGCAGCCGCCGCAGCTCTCTCTCCCCGGGCACGCAACCAGCATTCGCACCACTACCGATCACGATCGGATACCTCCTCCATGCTCATCGATATCGCCGCAACCCGTCCCCGGAGCGGCTCCAACAGCGGAAGCGTCAGTGACTTTGAGGACGACTACCGGATAGCACCGCCCATGGTCCGCAAGAAGAGCGGTGAGGTCGTCAAGTCATCCTTGAAGTCCCCCAGCCGTTCGCGACCTTGCAGTGTCCCGGCCACTCCTACCTTCCCCAAGAACGTCCACTTTGACGCCCGCATCGAGCACGTCCGCCACTTCCTCCATTCCGAGAAGCCTTCGGCCGTCAGTGTCGGATCGTCCCCGGTCGAGGGTGTCTACGACGGCGAATCCGAGTACCCGTTCGGCTACGATGACGACGAACCCCAGTGGGAGATCGGCCTGCCCAACTTCCCCAAGGATCACGAGTCGAGGAAGGCCCTTCCCGTTCGGTTGGAGAAGCTGTGCCTGTCGACGGACAAGAAGAACCTGATCGGCACCGTCGCCGTCTCGAACCTGTCCTTCCAGAAGCACGTTGTGGCTCGCTTCACTTTCGACTACTGGCAGACGGTATCGGAGGTCAGCGCTGACTACAGCAGCGATGTCAGGCGTCGGGAACGGGAGGACGGCATCGACCGCTTCATCTTCAAGATCAAGCTGGCCGAGCAGGCTAACCTGGAGAAGAAGATCCTCTTCTTCTGCATCCGATACGTTGCGAACGGTCAGGAGCACTGGGACAACAACGGCGGCGTCAACTTCCAGGTCGACTTCAAGAAGGCCTTCCCCACTCGCCCCCACGCTGGCCACCAAGCCTCAGCCCTGCCCCGGTCGTCGAAGCCATCCACCCCGTCGTCACGTCCTCGGACCATCCCTCACATGGATGACTTCGAGCTCCTGGATGACGCATTCTTCGCCAAGGTCAACAAGCTCGATCGCCCTCGGTCGAAGAAGTCTAAGCCCGTGACCGTCGACCAGGAGACCGAGCTGCCCAGTCGTCGAGCGAATCCGACCGGCAACGCTTTCGGAAACCGATACGACTTCCGGGCCTCGTTGAACCAGACGATCAAGATGACCAGCTCCGCGTCGGCACCCGGCTTGGTGCGCACCGACAAGGTTTCCTTCGCCGAAGCCGATACCACTCCTCCCCGGATGGACAACTCGTACTTCAACCTCCCCATGCAGAGGCTCTCCAGCGAGCTTCCGTCCACCACCACCCCGTTGGACAGTCCGTCCATCAGTGGTGCTGGCCCTCCGGAGATCTTCAACACCGATAACTTTTGGACGCACGAGGATAAGCCCTCGATCGAGTCTCCATCTTATCGGGAGCTCCTCGACAACTACTGTTTCGTAAGTTTGATCTCGTCTCCAAACCCGTCCTACTCATCCGATTACTAACGGTCGTCTACAGTTTGGCTCCGCTAAGGCAACTAAATTGCCTCTGAGCAAGCCCGAGCCTCCGAAGAAGTCTGAGTCGAAACCTAAGGAGTCGGTTCAGATTGTTCTCCCAACCGGTGAGAAGCGGTCCGTCAGCCCACCCCAGTACATGGCGAGCCCTCTCAACGGTACGAGCATCACGCCTCCTTCGCTCTCGGTCGCTCAACAGAAGTCGACTGGGAATGCGTCGCCTATCCCTGCCAACTACGCCGGCTATCATCACCGCCGACGTGGATCAGGGGCTTTTAGGTTCGACACTTCGACGCAGACACCAGCCATCTGCTAGATTGTCTCTTGGAATTTTCTGAGGAGAGGGGGAGAGGGTCTTGTTTGGTTCCAACGACGAAACGACGGAAACGGTCAACTTCAACGTTGGAGGTGTACAGTCAGACAGACATCTCAACGGGTCTGTTGATGCCTGTCACCTTCCTGGTCGTCCCACCTTACCATTCAAGTGTCACATATTGGGACGTTTGTACACATGCGAGGCGCACCTTTGCTCGGGCCCTGGCCGTTCGTGTTCTGTCGGTTTTCCCTATCCTGCTTACGGCTGTCTATCGATTCGATTCTTGCATTGTTTTTTTATACTTGGGACTTTTTTTTCCATCCTCGATATGCACATGCAGTTTGCACCTTGCGATGTGGCGTCTATTCTCTTACTTTCTTCTTCTTGTATCTGCTTTATCTAGGCGATTCTTTGTGCTTGGGTTATTGTTTCTGCTTTTCTGTCTTGCGTTGCTCTTGTTTCCTTGCGGGTATCGGGTTGGGCTTTTTTTCCTTTTCTTTGGACTGTTTTTTGACGCATCTCATCTGCTTGCATTTGTTTACATCTTACTTTTCTTTGACTGCTATCAACACTGGGGAGTTATCGTTCCGGGGACATCCGAGAGGGAATATGGAGGTGGGAGGACGGCAAGGATGGGCATGGCACGGCAGGAATGGTACGAGGAAGGGTGGAAGGAAAGGAACACTGGTTTGGGACTGACGGCACCTTTGGCTGCGGGGCGAGCGCACAGTGAAGGAGGGTATGGGGCTTGGGCTGGATTACGGGGGATGTTGGGAGGCCAAATTCGGGAATGGACAAAAAAAAAAGCTAACGGATTCTCTTCAATTCCTTGTTACAAAAGGCAGGGATTATCTTCTCTTTTGGGTTTCTTTTCTTTCCTTTCTTCACGCATTACGGGTTCACGGATGGTTTCTTCTCTTCTTTTCTATGTTTTTCCTTTCGCGTTGTCTTTTCGTTCTCTCCTCTTTTGCGCAATTGCTGGAAGCGATCAAATGATGGATGGTTTAGGGAATCGGGGCGGGTAGGATAGGATATTGGGGAACTCTTGGGAGGGTGGATGGTTTCTTCGCACTCAATAAACGGGTTCAATGAGGCAACTTTTGGGGTGTTTTTTTATTTTTATGATACATGATGCTGTGCAGTTCATGAATATGTTCGAATCTCGTTTCATTTTTGGTTGCCTCCCGTCACTTTGGTCTTTTTTTTTGCTTCCTGTCGTGACTTTTTTATTTGTTTTTAGCGATCGAGCGAGCGTGGGGTGTGCGATAATATTGTATCAGTCACTATGTGAATGAGGTTTTTATTTTCTCTTCCTTCTCTTTCCTTTCCTTTTCTTTTTTCCGCCTCATTCCTTCTTCCTGTTTCTGTTTGTCTACCTACTCTATCTTCCCTCTGTGTCGGATGAAAAAAAGCGTTTTTATTATCTTTGTACTTCATGTATTACTATAGAAGTACTCTAGTTTTCTCTTCAAATATTCGCAGTTGTGCAGTCAGTCAGTCGGTCGGTCAGTCTCACCTCACTCTCTGTGCTGTGCTGTACCTACTGTGCGTTGCGTTGGTGGATATTATTGATTAATTGAGCGATTGCGGGCTTGCAGATCTATCTATCATGTAGAGGATCCCTATCTTTCCCGTCTATCTATGTAGGGTAGAGGTGGGTAAGGTATGGTGGGTAAGGTATGGTGGGTAAGGTATGGTGGGTAAGGTATGGTGGGTATGGTGTATAGGTGTATCTTTAGTTGGTGGATGGGCTGACTGGCTTGCTGGACTTGCTGGGCTGACTGATCGACTCCAAGCACTTGCTTGCTTACTCTACCTTCCACAGGAGGACAGCTTTGAGCTTTGAACTTCGGGCCGTTTATTATTCTTTTATCCTTTATCTTTTTTCTTTCGCTTTTTATCCCTTCCTTTCTCCCCCCTTCCCCTTCTCTCACATCATGGATAGATAGAGTACCAGGTACCTACCTAGATCCTCGTGCTGCTCGTGCTGCTGCTCATGCTACCACTCGGTCGCACTGGGAATCCGCACCCGTGAGCGGCCGTTCTGGACTCCTGGCACTCTTGGACTTCGGACTCCTAGACTTGGGTACATACTGGTTCTGGTTCTGGGGTGCAGAGCTCTGCGCATTGAATGTAGGCTGTGGGTCCGTGCGGCCAGCGGGCCAGTGATGCGGTGCCACAGCGAGGACTGGCTGACTGGCTGACTGGCGGTTGAGGGGAGAGGAGGGATTGAGGAGGGATTGAAGGGGAGGGATTGAAGGAGGGGAGGGATTGAGGAGGGGAGGGATTGAGCGAAGGAAGGGGAGGGATTGAGCGAAGGAAGGGGAGGGTGCGCGATCTCCGATTCCGATTCCGAGGGACCGTACTCTACATAACTCTTGTACCTGTGTGTATGCTAGCGGATGTAGCTATGTAGGTGGGTAGTTATGTATGTAGGTGGGCATGTTTAGTGTACGCACGTACGCACGCACGTTGGTTGGAACTTGGGGCGCCGGCCTGCCGGGGGGTGAATGGGTTGGGTTGAATGGGTTTGGTTGGGCTACGTACTCTACATACATACACTACGTGTTGTCTCGCCACTGAGGGTGGTTGTGGTATGGTATGGCATGGTACATATGGGATGCTATGGGTATGCATAACGGTCTCCTCGAGGGGAGGGGAGGGGAGGGGAGGGGGCGGGGTGATCCCTCGTGAGTGAGGGAGTGAGTGACACTCCACTCCGCCGCCGTGCGCTCGACGGTTCCGGCACCGAAGTGTCGAAGTGCCGACGGAGGGGAAAGGGAAAACAGGTACCGGAGGGTCTGTAGGTATTCCCAGTCTTCTTCTTGTTGTTGTTCTTCCCTGCTTCTTCTTCTTCTTCCCTTCTCTTCTCTTCTTCTCCAGCTTCTTCTCCAATCCCACCATACCTTACCAACCAACCAAGCCACCCACCAAGCCACCAACCAACTCCAGAGTGCGCGCGCTCGTGACGGGTGTGTGGCAAGGCCCCGACATGATTGGCCGGCCGGCTACCTACCCAGCTATGTACCTTTCTAGCTAACCTCGTAAGCAGCCGAAGCGTTTCGTCGTTGGCCGTTGACTCTAGTTAGTTACTCCACTAGAGTAGTTAGCAGATATGTAGTGCGAGCTTCGCTGGTAACTGATCTAACGTATTCGTAAAAGAAACAAAGAAGAAAAGAAAGGAAAATAACGGGAGAACAAAGCTTCGGAAAAACCTCCTCCAGGATGACGGGATCGCTCTGAAGTCTGGACAGGGCTGGCTTGTGAATCGCATTTTCATGGCATTGCCGTTTCCATTGGCATTGGCATTGGACCGGTAGTTTGGAAGTTGGGACGGCCGCCGCCGCCGCTATAACGACCTACCTAGTGCCTTGTACCTAGCTTGCGGGAGGCAATTGGCGAATGATCGATCGGTGCTGCAATATCTAGGTAATCTAGAGTGCTCTGGGAAGGAAGGATGGATGGATGGGCGGAAAGCTCATCCTATGAGGCTATGATACCTATGATACATTGATACCTATGGAACCTGCCTATGGACCCTATGAACCTATGGAGTAGAGCATGTATTCCTTCCCTCCCCTCCATGTTATGTTACGGCAACTCTCTCTAGCGGGCTTTTCTGTCCGTACATATGTAGTATTTTGCCTGAAGAACTGTACCGGTATGTAGGAGGTATGTATGTAGGTACACCTCAGAGCTCGGAGCTGTCATGTCATGTCATGGAACATGATCACGAGCGAGTGATAGCTACCTGAACTAGTACTGCGCGTCCACTGCTGCACGCAGGCAGGCACGAGGTCACGATCTCCCCCCTCCCCCGCCAACTGCCAATGTCCTGCCAAACAGCCAACCAACGAGCCAACGAGCCAACGAGCTAGCATTCCTGTCCTGTCGGACCATTCGAACCCCGGATTCCATTGCGGCGGATTGAACCAGGCGGATTGAACCAGGAGGATTGGACCAGGCCAAGTGGATGGGAGCGGTTGGCGGTTGGGCAACCGACATTTGGGATTGTAGGGAGACGCTGACATGGACACTGACATGCAGTGGGAGACATGGGGGACCGGGGAGCCGTAGATAGTTCAGACGGAAAGACGGACAGACACACAGACGGACAGACATCTGCCGAGTCTCTGAGCGGAAGCTCTGAGGGAGGGAGCCTGGAGGGAGGGCAGAGTTTTTCCGAGGTGAGCGCTTAATTCTATCTGTCTGTCTGTCTGTATGTATGTATGTGTTTTTCTTCTTCTCGCAGGCAGGCATTGGCTACTTTACTACATAGAGTACCAGTAGTAGGTAGTTGTGTATGGGCAGGGCAGAGACAGCCAGCCAGAACATACAGAGCAGACAGCCCACTGGCACAGGGCGGACGTATGTACCCCGGAGTGGAGCGGAGCGGCGGCGGCGGTGTGCGGGAAGTTAGGTATGCCGCAGGCATACCTGCATCGTGAGCTGTGAGATATGTGCAGTGTGGGGCAAGCTAGCTACGGTATTCTGTGGAGTACGATAGCTAGGTGTAGCTGTCGTGGTGGCCTGTAGCTGTGGCCTGTGGTCTGTGGGGTGATGTCGTTTGTACAGTACAGTAAGTACAGGAAGTACATGTCTCTGGTTGTTGGGACGAGTGTAGCCATGTCCGGTCGGCTGGTTGGCTGACTGGCTGCTTGATTTCCTGTGAGTTGTTGTCGTTGTTTTTGTCGTTATTGATATCACCTTTTCCCGCACAGCGCACCTCCCCGGCTTGCGGCGGTGGCATCGGCCATCACTCGGCGGGCGGGCCGGACTGTGGTTGGCTATAGGTAGTAGAGTAGCAGAGTACGTACTCGGACCCGGACCCGACCACGACCCCGTAGGTATTCCACTATACCTGCGGAGCTATAGAAGCCTGTTCTAATGCTCTGTATGTATGTGTGTATGGCCTATGTATGTATGGCGATAGTAGAGCACATAGCAGTAGTAGCAGTAGTAGCAGTAGTGTTACCGAGCCCGATGGCGGACGGCAACTATTGGTTTCAGACATTCAGTCTCGGTGGCTTGGGTGGCGAGCGAGAGGGAGCGAGAGGGAGAGGGGGAGCTGACACTGAAACCGTTGGAACCGAGTAACCGAACGAACGAACGAACGCGCGGGGGAGGGACGGGGACGGGGGACGGGATTGGCTTTGCTTTTCTTTTCGTCTACAAACGAAACTAGCCTAGCTGTGGACTCGTGGTATGATAGGTAGGTAGGTAGGCAATGGGCAATGGACATTTGCTCCAGAGTAGTAGCCGGTGGGCGGGCGGGCCGTGTACAAGCGGTATGTAGATATGTACTTGTTTTTTCTTTCCGGCGATCGCCTCCTCCGCTCCGTTCTATGTATGTACATACATACACATCGCCATTCGGAATTCCGGGCTTCCAGCAAGATTAAACTTCAACACACCCGTCCCGTTGCCATGTGAGTTTTCTTTTTTCTTTCTTCCTTTCCTTTTCCTTTCCTTTTCCTTTCGAGTATGTATAGATAGTATCATTGTGTATGTATGCAACAGAAGATTCCTGAATCGCAGCGGGCTGGATGATGACGTGGAAGAGAAAGAGAAAAAACATGATTCTTCTCCAAGCGTGGGCCGTGGTTGGTTGACTGGCTGGATGACTGGCTGGGCTGACTGGGCTGGCTGGTTGGACGGCCGGCAGGTACTATAGTAGAGAAGATGTTTCTTTTCTTTTCTTTTCTTTTCCCGCTTCGCCCCACAGGATGAGGAGGGGGCATGGGGGGGGGGGGGGGGGGGGGGGGGGGGGGGGGGGGGGGGGGGGGGGATTCGGGGTTCGGGGTTTGGAGAGAATCCGATGAAACGAATTGGCTGGATGGATGGGCTGGCTGACTGGATGGCTGGCTGGCTGGCTGGATGGCTGGCTGGCTGGCTGGGGGGGACGGCGGGCGAGTGAGCGAGTAGGCTTTCTGTGGGTGGGATTGGAATGCTTAACCACATATGCCTTTCTAATGGGTGAGCTGCCGCTCTCACTCGCCCGCTTTGATGCCCCTCCGCCCCGTGTGGCATGTCCTCCTGCTGGTGGGTAGTAAGTACCAGACATGTACACTCATAGCCTACCCTCTGCACTATGCTAGAGTAGAGTACTTTGTACGTTGTTATTGTTGTTGTTGCGCGATAGGAGTGGTGGAGCATCATCATTGGCGGGGATCGGGGGAAAAGCAGAGATGCGGATGCCCATCCATCATGGGGAAGAGGGAAGGCAGCATAGTACCGTAGTGGAGCGCTACGATGCGTGGTTTCGAAATATCTTACGCCGTAAGTATGTAGACTACTGTGAGGATTAAAGATTAGGCAAGGGAGTAGATACATTCAGAGTTTTTTGGGGGGATGGAGCCATACACAATCTTCCAATCCAATGCCAATGCACCCTCCCCCCTCCCCCCTCCCCCCTCCCCCCTCCCTCCCCCCTCACCTCCACCATCTTTCGCGCCCGCACAGCGGCCAATGTGCGTAGTGTACCTAAGTCTGTATGTAGTTCGAGGTTGTGCGGTACATATTGCTGGTGTATGTAGATATGTAGGTATGTATGCGCTGCTTGAGATCTCTGATCTACGCACGGCACCGCCATGGCTATCGATCTCGATCGCTTTGGGAAGAGGCATACTCTAAACCTCCATGATCATTGCTGTATCTGGACGGACGGGGCAAGAGCAACGACGAGACAGACGGACAGGACAGCGCTGCTGCTATTTTTTTCTTCACTTTCCCGCCCCCCGTCCCCCGCTCACCGCCCCCCTCCTCCTCCCCAGGGCCCCGCTTTCGACAGGCAGGCAGGCAGGCAGGCAGGCAGGCAGGCGTCGGAGCGCGCCATTCAACGGCATACAGTACGGTGTGGATATGTATGTATGTAGGTATTTAGGTAGGTATGTACATAGGCAGTCGGCCTCATGCTCCCAACACTAAGGCGGTAATATATTCAGCCACGTCTGTGCGCAGAAACACGAAGGCAGCTACTCTACTCACCGATTTTTAATTTTCCATTTTTTTTTCCCCTTTCACATTGCAGGAATGGCTGGCTGGATGGCCGACTTGGTTGGTTGGCGATATTTCAGTGTGGGCCGGCCGATGCATTGCTGATGAAGAAGATGATGGGTTGCGGTGGTAGTGGTGGTGGGTGGTGGTGGGGTGGTGGGTAATTCCGATGGATGGAGGGAGCATTCCCCTTCGTGGATGGTGGAACGGCTTCGACAGCGGCGACTGCCTACTTTACCTGCCGGCCGCGCCGGACGGCGGAAACATCTTGATGTAACGGTCGTGATAGGGCGTTGACACATGTTCCTTCCGGCCACCACCCTTGATATAGAGTACATACAGCCATCCATACACACTTACATACTTCTTACATACAGTAGTCTAGGTACATACCCCTCTTTTCTTTTTTCCCCTCGCAACTCAACTGCTCAGATCATGGGCTTTCTTGCTTTTTTTTCTTTTCTTGTCTTGTAATCGAGCCCTAACTGATGGAGGCAGACTACGGCACCAACTTACCAAGTATGTACTCTACGTACTCGTACTACCTAAGCCGTAAACTAGTCTGTAGCATCCGTCGCCGCCGCAGCGAGTGGTCTGGGCTAGTCAACGGAAAGTCGCCTCTTGAAGTTCTCCCCTGGCTCACCCATCCATCCATCCTTCCCTCCATCCATCCCTCCCTCCATCCATCCTATGATGGTCCCCTTTCGAGGGCCCAAGCTGTTACGTAGCAGCCTACTCTATTTCGCTCGCCAACGACGCGTGAGTACGTGTACTCTTCTGCCATACATAGCATACATAGACACCTGTGACCACACGCTTATGCACGAGCTCTCGAGCGCCGCAGAGAACGGATTCGAACCCACTGCGGGCAGTGGACCATGGTCATTCGGCGGCGGAGCACGGTATCTAACTACATCGCCCCGTCAGAAGCCGAGCAAAACGCTCGAGGAAGAAGACGAAACTGCGGGAAGAGAGGGGAATTCGCTCGACTGCCCGCCCGCCGCCTTGGCTAACTAATGCACGCCGGGTTCTTTTCCCATCGATAGCTTCCGGTTGGGCGGGCCTAGGCAGGACAGCGGCGCGAGGGAAGGGAAGGATGGGAGGGAGCCAGGGAGGGATGGAATAATAATAGTGAGGCTGACGTTCGGTTCTTCGCTGTCGAAACTCTGCGCTAGATCTGCAGCTGCTGATTTGGCGGCGGCATATTAAACGCCATGCGAAACATCTATCTATGTAACTAGCAACTAGTTAGCATGCGTATGGCCGGCCAACGGCAGGCAGGCAAGTGCGTGCCCCGCTCAGATAAGGAAGGGGATCAACTGGCTACCTGCTCCAGGGAAAAGCCAGGTTCACGAACCGCTGCCCCGGAACCGAATGCTGACATTGCTGACTGCGTGAGTGATGGTCCGTGACGGATACATAACGGTTCCGCGGCGCCGCCGTGATCCGATAGGTAAAGAAGCCGTGCTGAGCTGTGAGGGAATTGGCGATCGCCCCCAAGGTTGTTGGTGCGGCGGAAGCGGCGGACTGACTAGGTACAACGCCACATAGTTACATTACCTATCCCCTCAGCGATTGCCATATTGTTTTGTTTGTCTATCGATCGCGAATTCCGGCACACGAAATCTGTTGAGCTCATTCATTCCTTCCACGTACTATCACAGAGTAAAGCGGAGCCGAGTGGAGTGGAGTGAAGTCGGTGGTGGAGTGGTGAAGCGGGAGTGGAGACGACTGCGTTGTCCAGGCCAGCCAGCTCTTCCATCTGTCCCATCTCCCCCGACGCAACGAAAACGTAATGGAATGGATGGAACACCGTCTGCCTGTCTGAAACAGTCGCACCGTGAATAGCCATCCCCACCCCGCCTACGTGTGTATGTGTGTGAGTGTGAGTGAGGGAGAGCGACCTCCGTTTCGACCGCCGATTCCAGAATCCAGACCGCCCCCAAAAGCCCAAGGCACCATTGCACCAACACTCCCGCCCGCGTCCGCGTCCCTACTGACCATCCTTATGTCTGAGATCGGAGATCTGCTGCTGCTGCTCGCTACGGACGCACGATCGTCCCAGACGTGCGGCCGCAGAGGTTAAGCGGCAGGCCGTCAGGCGGGATATATGATGTGTATCTAAGTAGGCATTCTGGGTATGTATGTACCTGTATCCTGTATGTATGTCAGTATGGATAATGTAACTATGGCGACGCGTGTGTAGATAGGAGTGCCAGGGAGATACCTATGATCTATCTGCGTTGACAGCGGGGGGATGGAGGGGGGCTGGTGGCAAGCAGCATCTCGACCGCCTCTAGATGTATGTACCGTATGTACCGTATGTACTCCATACATACCGATGCTATCCTGCGGGTTGACGTTGACGGTATTATGCTTTCCCAGCACCAACCAAACACAACGAAACAAAGTTCATCCCCCTCCGAGACATCGTCCAGTGATAGCGCGCCTGGATTCTGCGCGCGGCATGCCTACATTTGCATCCTCCACGCGCAAAAAAGAAACGTCAAGCCACGTCTGGGACCCGATCGCCGCCGTAGATTGCGATCGCGATCGCGCGCCCGGCCGCAGGCCGCAAGGGCTCCCGCATGGATGTTTACTTGTGTGGAGCGGCCATTGGTGGGGTTGGGGGGGGGGGAGTGAGCGTCGACATCGCGATCGCGAACGAGCGGTTTTCTTGAGGGAGGCATGCGTTGGAGATGGCCGTCACCGCCCGGGCCAATCGCAGAGGCGGGCGTTGCTCTAATACCGCATGTACGGCCCAACATCAACCCCGCCGAGCCCCCCCCGTCCCCCCCGTCCCCCGTCCGGCCAACACGAGTGCGGGGAATTGAAATAACCTTTTTTTGTCTTTTTTACTCCACCACAGTGCACACACGCACAGCCCCCCCACTGAGATCATGGGGCAGAAATTCTGCAGGCGCTCGGCCACTGGGCCCGTCGTCATCATCGTCATCATCATCGACGTGGTCGTGGTCGTCGCGGCTCCGTTCCGGGCTTTGCATGTTGTTTGAAAAGATCTCGACTTCGAGATGGGCCCCCCGGAGGAGCACACGTGCAGCGAGTGAGAGCTAGCTAAATGGTCAGTAGGGTCAGCTCGAGCTTGCTGCTTCAGCCCTGTAGCATACATAGGCTGTCGGAAGGCCCATAGGCCGTGGCCCGTGGGCCGTTTCACCTCGACCCACAAATAGAAAGATCCTCGAGCTCGGCGTGGAGGGATCAGTCCTTTTTCTCTCGCTTGTTCCCGGCCATTGACAGTTTCATTGCGACGTCATAGGCAGTTAGAGTAGGTAGATGATAGTTAGCACTCGTTTGGCCGGTAAGCTCCGGTCGATCGGACAATTCAATTCAATTCGGGATCACTATATGGCTTCATCAACTTCACGGCGAACTGAACTCACGGCGCTGCGGTAGGTAATGGCTGCAATGTTGCATGGCGTAGGTAGGTAGGTCGATACGTATGCCCCCCGATCCCAACGTTAACTAACGTTAACGTGGAGCTCCGCCACACGTCTGAGCTCGGATACCTACCTAAGGTAGAGCCCCCGGGTGAGTGGGGTTCAACCAGAGGTAGGTACCGCATTCGTTGAATCGTTGAAGCTGCAGATTCCAGAATCGCAGCGGTTTGCTGTATGTCTGTATCTACCTAGGTAGTCATCGGATTGAACCACTGTTGGCCGCCGGCCGCCGTACATACATACGCATTCAGCAATAATTCGTCGCCATCAACAACATTCCAACGTCCCTGCGTGATCGATGGCCGGCGGAAAGCCGTTAAGAGTTAACTAACTAGCAGGCGCCACGAAAGGAAATCCCGATTCGTTTCTGTCACTTCGGCGCATCCGACATGTCGGGAATACTAGTACCTACACCGAATCGGCCAGGTGTCCAACTCCAACTCAAAGATGGAGCCCCCCACGTCAACGATTAGGTAGACAGTCGCCGCTCTGGAAGTCCGTCATCGCTCATGAGTCGGTTGGTCCTGTAGCCTACGCCTCGCACAGTCGCGCAGTCGCACAGTCGCACAGTCGCACTCTCGTCCACTTCACCTTCGGCCTGTGTCTCCTTCTGATTCATCGCTGCTTCTCTCGAAGTTGTTGCTTCTTCCAGCGGTGGGGAGAGTAGATCTCCGCGGCAACCATAACGCAGCTGCCAACGGCCCAACGGGGCGAGACCGCAGTCGGAGTGGAAGGCCTGCCTATCGTGCTTCTGACCATGCTAGGTATGTACAGGCCGCGAACTCTGGATGGTAAATGCCGTTTTTCCAAGCTCGGATGACCACGCCGGGGGCAGGTACCGGAATGCTATAAAAGCGGGACTCCGACGGCGGTCCGGTGGATGGGGTAAGCCGTAGGATAATCCCGCCATCTTCCTTTCTTTCTTTCGAGTTCTTCCAACATCCTGTTGGCCGTTCCCAACGTTCTATCTCTTTGTGAGTTGGCACTGGTATTGTCACTTGTTCCGTCTTTGTTTGACTCCAGTCAGTCTCCACCCCCCGGCGATGTTTCGCAACATGTACCTGTATGGGTTGGAACTTGGAACTTGGGGCAGTCCGGTACCGGCATCGGCGCTCGGCTCGGTCGGTCGTGCTACTCCGCCACTCCGTCACTCCGCCAGCCCCGCAAAGACGCAAAGCCCTTATTCATACTTCTTTCCTTGCCTGCCTGATTGCTGGCCTGCTGTTATCTTGCGTTAGTCGAGTGGTGAAATGGCCATGCGTCGTAGGTGCTTGTCGAGTGAGCGCACTAGCATGCAATGCAACCTTAGTTATCCTCGAGTCCTGCCCGAAGGCCGAGCTTTCATATCCTGCATATCCTACCTAAGTAGTTCCTATGTCGCGCCGCTTTTGTCGGGCTCGCCGCCTCCGATCTGTCTTTCCCCTACCTAGTTTGGCTGCTCTGTGAATCCGATCATTCCCGCTGTGCGTTGAATGTACCAGGAGCTGCCAATAAGTGGTGCCTCACCACCATTATGAATTATAAGAATTAGTCTATATTAGGAGCACACTAAGCCAGATACAATGAAATGAGTGAGTGGTTGTGACTAAGCTAAGGCAGCACTTACCTTACACCCGAGTACATACATAGGTAGAGGGTTTAGTTGCTGGTTCGTGGATGGTCCCGATTCTTGGTAGCCAACGGTATCATTGGTAGGTAGATAGTTCGACTCTCGGGAGCGTTAAACCGTGACTGCTAGGTAGGTAACTACTCGCTGCGACAGTGGAGACCCCCCGAGAGGTCGTCCCGGCAGTCTTGAGCAAGTAGGTATTCCCCGCCGGACCGAAAGGGCCGCTGGTAGAACCGTTGAATGTCGAGAAGCAGTAGAAGCCTTCCTCGACAGTGATGGGAATAGGTAGTCCGGCTACCCACCCACCCACCGTTCATCTGTCCTGGATCTCCCGTATTGCTATCTTGCGCCCACTTCCCCCAGTCCTAGTCCGTGATCGTCGTGCTTGGGAACGGCCCGTGAAACGACAAAGACCCTGTGAAGCTGTAACCAAGTAGTCCTAGAAGTCACGGCGCAAAGAAATGACCGATTTTATGTACCTGTGTACTTATGTAGGTATGTACCATCCGGTCCTCCGGTGTAGATAAACAAGGCGGAACATGGACGGGACGGGGCGGGGAAGGTGGATTGTGGATGGTCATTCCTATAAATCAGAATCATCATCAGAATCAGGGCCGGGCTGGGTCGGGATATTCATGATGTGATGTGACCGACCGCCTCCGATGCGGCGACTGGAAAGTTGATCCCCATATCAGTGACCCGGGATTTATCATTTGTCCCGAACTACGCCGAGTTGTTCCGTGGCCTTGCGGGCCGTTGCCTCAACCAACTGGTAACTGGAGCGGCATGCGGTAGTCAGTTGCCACGAAACGAAACCGTAACGAAGTCCCCTATTGCCGTCGTCGTCGCGGTAAACATATTCAATAATGCAACAATGCAACAATGCAACATGCTGGAAGCAGTATTCTCTCCGTCACGAACGGACACACATAATCACTCGGTTTCAAGGTCCGGGAGGCAGAGGCGCGGCACGGAGGTGAGGCGAATGAGCGGTAGGAGTGTAAGTTACGCCTACCAGAATTTGTGTCAGGCCACACACGATTGATCCCGCCGACAGCAGGCAGGGTGATATTTCATGTCCGAGACCACTATGCATCACGGCAGATCACTCGAGCAGCCTTGTCAAGTTGTCGTTCAGTTCAGGAAGCCATTGACTCTGGGCGCCCCATCGTGCTGGCTGGTAACAGGGTTTCAACTCCCGGCTGGACAGAGTGGGCAGGAAAGGAGTGCGACGCTTCGCCATAGTCTAGATAGGCTGCATGCGAAATAAACTGAAGATCTCTCTCTCTTTGCCATTGACTCTGAGTAGTCGCCAAAGTCTAGTAAGGCCGTATGCAACAACTCAAATTGATGTTCTCTCTCGCCATTGACTCTGAGAGCTCTTGTCTGCGCTGTGGATATGTGTCGAGCCTTGTCGGATGACGCCGTGAATGAGCTTTGACAGCTGTACTCTATCTTTCCTTGGAATAGTTAGAACGGAGGATTTGCACTTTGCCGTGATTGGTCCAGCGGGAATCACAAACTCCAATTCACCCTTCCTCAGAGGTGGGTACTGCATGGTGATTCTAAGACGGTCACAAGTTGACCGCTGCGTATCCCCCAGGCTGCTGCCTCCGGCCCACACCCGCGTAACCGTTTGTCTGCTCAAGCACGCCGGACTCTCCAGGCTCCAACCTCTACATACCAGAATTTGGGCTTTGGCTTCACTGCACTCATCGCACTCGAACGTTCCCAGATTTTCCAGACTTTCCAGACTTTCCCGTACTAGGTAGCAAGCTCTAGCAAGCTCTAGCAAGCTCTATACCCACTATACCTACCTCATTCCTGTCTCCTCACAGATCCGCCCAGCTTCCCTCCGATCCCCAGCGGTGCAGAACGCACCTCACAGTCACGAAGTGATCAGCCCCACGCGAGCGAGCTCGAGTGATGCCATCCGTACTACATCCATAATCCCCCCAAAAGGCTTACTGGTTTCTCTACGCCGTACACCATACCCAATGGATACAGCCAGACACAGCCAGCCAGCCAGCCAGCCAGACACCCTCATTAACCTTTTACATATTTCCTTTTTTTCTTCGTTCACTCCGCGACCACTCACAGCTTCCAGTCCCAGTTTTAACTTCAGTCTGCATATGCACCCCGCAGCCCGCTACGCAACGCACCCCGTATTCCATACGGCACACCACATCCAGCCGGCACATCACAACCACATCCACACCCACCCGGCACATAAACATCCACAACGGTAATTTCTTGCTCTTACTCACAGTCTCTGACCTCGGACTTCGAGTGGTCTAATGGTGGATACGAAGTGCAGGAGCTGAACAGCGATCTCTCGCGTTGCCGTTACATAAGACCAAACCTTCTTCTTCTCTTCCCTCGATCTTGATCTTGATTTTACGATGGACTGCCTTTGGACTGCCTTTAGTTGGGGAGACATGTGTATGGTCATTGCTCGAGTGTGCACTAGAAGCATCTCGCTGGCCCACCCATTCACATCGCATTGTCCCCCCCCCCCCCCCCCCCCCCCCCCCCAACGCCCGCCGTCCAATCCAAGAAGATGCCAGCCACAAGAACACAGACAAAAAGTAAAGCACAATAAACGAAAAGAACAGAAAGTAACTATCATACAACCGCAGGCCAAGCCCACTCTCCGCGTCACCACATCACCACATCACCACACAGCTTTCCTGCCGCGTATATATACCAGGGGCAGATCCTTCTGTGGCGCCACAGGAGCTGGCGCTGGCGCGGCAGGCGGTGAAGACTTCTTCGGCTTGATGACCAGGAGGATGACTAGGCCGAGGATGATCAGGAACAGGAGGAACATGATTTTTCGTTTTGTCGTTTTGCGTTGGTAGCCGCTTGCCTATCCACCCAATTAACCGTTGTTACCCACCCAGGTAGATGATACTTACCACAGTCATCTCCTTATCCGCCTCCTTGACGTTGACATTCAGCATCTCGACATTGTAGTCGATGCGATCGAGCATAGTCCCCTGATCGATAACCATGCTCTGAAGCTCCTTGAATATGTCCGCCAGCTCGATGATCCCCTTCGCAATGTCGGTGATCTCCCGCTCCCGCTGCATTATCGCCGCATCGTTGGATGTCAATTGTGCGCTGCGCTGCAGTGCCGACTGCGAGTACGATACGTCGGCCGCGGGATCTTCCATTGCTGGATTGTAGAGGCCGGGACTGCTGGAGCGCTCGGTCATCGTCGAGATCCCACGGAGTTCTACATTCACCAGTCAGCGAAAATCACCCGGAGAGGGGTGGGGGTGTTGGGAGGACGGACTCCGAAGATAAGCACTCTGCTTTTTCCTAAACAGCGTCGAGCTCTCCTGGACCCTAGCAGCGAGGGACATCTGTAGATTCCTGCCCATGACGTCCTCAGCACTGGTCGCGCCTTGCAGCATAGCCTTGACACTCGAAATCTTCCTCTGGCAGGCATGGAAATCACCGGTGATCTCTGCAGTCAGGCGTTCGATCTCGCCTTCATCGCGGCACGAATCATCGAAGCCGGGGAGGACGTGCTTGTTGTGGAGGCGCTCGAGCAGCGTAGATTTGCGCGCGATTCCCGTCAGCAGCTCGTTGACTTCGTCGGTGACGTCGGCCCACCGCGGCGGGAGAAGGTCCATTTCGATTATTGCGTCGTCGGAGTGCCGCGACGACGGCGAGAGCAGCCCGCGCCGGTCATCGTCGCCGAAGGTCGAGGGTGTGTCGATGAACCGTGGACGCTTCGCCGGATGGTGGCTGTAGGATTGCCGGTAGGAAATGTAGCTGTGTCCAGGAGTGTGGTGTTAGCTAGAGCTTGTTTGCAGCAGCGTGAGAAGTCGTGTAGTACAGGTTTGTACGGTCCCGCCACATGGCGGCGAGGTGTGGGGTGGCGACAACAGCTTCGGAGAGCTTGAGGGGCGTTGAAGGCGGTGGGTGATAGCGCGGTGGCGGTGGTATTTCGTTGGGAGCTGAGGTTGCAGAGCTGAGATTCGTTCGGGAGTGCACGGCACTAGGTGCTGGTGTCGTAGGCGAATGAAGGCGGGTGTGACACGACTTGGCGCCGCGGCTCCGTCATCCAGAACGTGTCCTTTGTTCCCTCTTTTCCGAACACAAAACCCCCCAACCAACCTCAAGCCATCATCACCACAACCAACCATCATCCAAACACCCTTACAATGGCCGCCGCGGCCCCCACCTCCCCCTCGCTGCTGGAATTCCTCCTCAGCCCCACACCCACCACCATCCTAATCAGCCTCCTCGTCGTGTTTTTGACGCCTCTTATCCTACACACACTCATCTTCCGCACGCGGGCATCGACGACCCTTCCCACATTCGTTCTTCTCGGCCCTTCCTCCTCCGGTAAAACCACACTGATGACGACCTTCGTGTCATCACCGGCCGAAACCCGCGTTTCCCAAGCGCCATTGAGTCTCGAATGCGACATACCCGCGAACATCACCGCCTCCACCAAGTACCGCGCCGAAGCGGACCCGTCGCGCACAGGGACCACGCGCTTCCTGCTGCAAGACACTCCGGGCCACGGCAAGCTGCGGCCGCGCGCCACTGAGCTCGTCGTGGCGGACACGACCAAGGGCGTGGTGTTTGTGGTCGACTCGAGCGCGCAGGAGTGGCGCGACGCCGGCGAGTACCTCTACTCCGCTCTCCTGCGCATCCAGAAGCTGCAGGAGGCGCGTGGCACGAAGGCCAAGGCGTCGTTCCCGGTCCTCGTCGCGTGCAACAAGAGTGATTTGTTCACCGCGCTGCCGGCGGCGAGGATCAGACGGTTGCTGGAGGAGGAGATGGGTCGCGTGAGGGAGGCCAGGAGTAGGGGCATTGTGGGCGTCGGCGATGAGGATAAGGAGGATGATGAGTGGCTTGGTGAGGGTGGCAGTGCGCCGTTTACTTTTGAGGCGCTGGAGGACGCCGGCATCCAGGTGGAGTTTGCGGGCGGGAGCACGTTGGCCGATGGCTGGAGGCAGCCGCTGGGGAAGTGGGTCGGCAGCTGTCTGTAGATGGGACAACCTAATGCGGTGGTTATTATACGGTGGTTACGACACGATTGTAAAACTTAATGAATGAAGGGAACGGCGTTTGGATGGTGAAGGATATATCTCATGGCATCGTGAATTCATCCCCATCGTGAGTCCGGTCGTTACAAATATTACAAAAGTCATCATGAAGTACAGTACAGCACCGTGTCCGTTTACCTACCCCAGCGGCCCACAAACTCGCCCTTCCTCCCCTCCCTGCCCACATCGCCGCGCTGACCCTCAATCTCATCTACCATACCAATCAGCCGTCCCATAACACTCGACAACTCCTTAACGCCATTCTCAACAGCCTTCCCACCATCACGAATCTCCTGTCTCACAACAACTACCGAGCCTTCCCCCTCCTTAGGCGCAACCTCGTACTCATTGCCCGCCCACAAGCCCTCCCGAAGGAGCCTGGCCACATCCGCGGCCTGTGCTCTCGCCGCTTCCCACGAGTCGGTCGGAAACTCAGATACGCTCTCGACCTTTGCAGCGGCGGCGGCAATCTGCGCGGCGAGGAAGGAGTCTGTGATGACGGGCGGCGTGGACGCGATACGGGACGGAGACCCGGGCGGCAGCGAGATCCCCAAGTGGCTGAGCAGCGCCAGCTCCGGATATGCGTCCTTGCTGAAGTCGACGCTCTTACCCCTCCGGCGTGCGGGGGTCAGGTACGGTATTCGCCCGAGCTTGCTTGCCGCATCGTTAAACTTCACCGGGGAGCCGAGACGGCGCGGTGGTTGGGGCTTCGCGGTCGGAGTGCTGGGGCGCTCGTTGTGAGAAGCGATAACCGTCGCCCCCGCCTCCCGCTCGATCGTCGCGATCAATGTCATCACCGCCCCGTCCCGATCATGACAGCTGCTGAGGAAACTCGTCATCGCGGCCAAGCGGTTCCGCAAATGCCGCAGGACCTGGCAGATATACTCCCCGCCGAGCGCCCAATTCTCGCCTCGATCCTTCGTCGCCGCGGCAATCGTGACCATCAGCGGGGCTAGAAACTGGTTATACGCGGCCCCCTGCGCAACCGTTGGGATCTCCGCGTACAGCGAATCGATCTCCTTCTGCAACTCCACCTCCTCGGGCCCTCTCTCGGCACCCTCCCCCGCCGACACCTTCTCGCGAAAGACCCGTTCAAGCCTCTTCCTGACCGCCCTCGTCTCCACCGCCGCCAGCCTGGCAATAAGGCCCTGCATCCTCTCGACCACCTCCTCCTGCGTATCCTCCTCCTGGGCGACCACTAGCCCAGCGGCCAACTTCTCCAGCCGCAAGAGCACCCTATCATCACCGAGCAGCACACGCTCCACCTCCTCCGCCTCCTTCTCATTATCCCCCAGCGAATCCCTCAAATCCGCGACCTCCTCCCTCAGAATCCCCACAAGATCATCCCTCGCCGCGAGCAACTCCTCCCTCTCAGCAACCCACTTCATCCTCCTCACCGCGTCCGCCCTCTTCCTCCTTTCCCCCTCGGCCCTGCGCCTACTCCGCACGCCCGCCAGCGTCTCGCCTGCAGCCCGCACCTCCTTCGCCCTCTCCCTTAGCACCCTACTCCGCTCGCGTAGATCCTCGGCCTGCAGCGCGATCTCGCGCTCCGATAGCGGCGGCCCGCCGCTGCTGGCGAGACGTCGCCATTGCCCTGTCTTCTCGAGGTGCACGCGCACCGCGGACTCCTCGAGGCTGAGAACGCACGACGGGAGAAGGTACGTGCTTATGTACTCCGATACCGGCACCGACGACTTGGCGTGCGCGAACGCCCAGCTGATGTCCGCGCTGCCGAGGGAGGAGGCGTGGGAGCTGAGGACCGAGAGGAGGTGGGATTCGGGGTCGGGGTTCATCGTGAGGTTGTGAGGTGGATGGCAAGGTGAAATTGTGAGGTTGTGGGGTTGAGGTTGTATGATGGCAAGGCTAATTGTAGTAGTGGTAGTGGGGAACACGTGGAAGACGTGGAAGACGTGGAAGACGTGGAAGACGTGGAAGACGTGAATGGAGCGGCATGCACCTGAGCTTCAGGGGTTCGGCGGGCTTGGCTGCCCTACGTGTTTGCCCTAGGAGCATGGGTGAGCTCTCCAATACCCATTCACCCCGCCTACATACATTACATAAATTCCCACGCTCCCACGCTCCGCCTGATCCAAAAGAAAGAATAAGTAGTACAGCAAAGTAGAGTAGAGTTATCCGCAACCCATCATGACGATACACCGATGCACCTCGCAATCCCATGCCATGCAACATATTCCCATGCAACACATTACCATGCACCATATCCACCCTAAGGTACCGGCGTCCTCCTCCGCAGCGCACGTTCAATCACGTCCTTCCCCAGCTTTGGCAGCTCAGTGCCGCCCTGCAGATCCTTCTCTATGACCCAGCGTGCAGGCGGATCCCGAAAGCCGGGCCACAGATCTACAGGCAGCCATTGACCGTACTCCTCCGTGAAGATTTCGCGGTCTTGCATGTCCTCTGGCATGGTGTTAGCATGGTAAATGGCCCCGGGGGTAAGGGCGACAAACCATCGTACAGAGCCCGCAGCTTCTTCTGGGCCTCTTTAACGACGGCCTCCATCCTGACAGCAAGGCCCTTTCGCCTGCCGACTTCGACGACCATCGCATCATACGCGCCCACGAAGCCCTCATAGAACTCGCCCAGCTCCCAGAGCTCGGACAGTCTACTCTGCATATCCAACTTCAGCTCTGCTTGGCGCATTTCGAACTCCCTGAGGCCGTCCATGCAAATGGCGAGTTCTGTCTGGAACTCTTCGAACGCGGCAAACACGGCGACGGTGTCGCGCTCGAGGCGGCGCAGCTCCTCGATGCTCGACGAGATGCTGTAGTAGATCGTTTCCATCTCCGCCAGCCGCTCCTTGAGCTCGTGCACGACGTCGTCGACCTCCGCCGCGTCCCGTGAAAGGACTAGCATCAGGTCCGGATCGACGGAAGTGCCTGACTCGGTTGCTTTCAGCGCCTGCGAACACCGGTCGTAGTGTTGCGTTAGACTCTCGAGAAGCGACGCCATCGCCTCGGTGTGCTCTTCGAGCGCGTGGAGTGGGGGGTGCAGAGGCTCCGTGTGCGGGGTGGGGTCGGCGAGCGAGGAGAGCGAGCTGCTCAGTGACTGCAGGGATTCGTCGAACATGCCGATGGACGAGCTTAGGGCGTCATGGGATTCCTGATCACATTATTGTCAGGTTGGCTGGCTGGATGGATGATAAGACCAGACCGCTGGCGGCGCCCAATGAACTCACTCACCTGCACGTAGTCTATAGAGTGTCGCAGCCGCGTCTTGAGATTCTCTATACCCCCGTCCTCGACGAAATCATGTAGCGTGCGCATCCTAGCGGTAGCGATACTACTCTCACTGCCGCCGCCATAATCGCTCTCGCCCTGCTCCTTCTTGTCCCCGTCCCCATCCCCATCCTGCTCCTGCTCCTCCTGCTCCTCCTGCTCCGTCTCCTCCCTATCCCGCCGCTTCACCTTCCGTTGTTGGGGCTGTGCCTGTGCCTGTGCATTCGACGACCCAGAAACGGTAAAAGCGGGGTCGACGACCGAATTCCGCAGGAGCTCGAGCGTCTGGTTGAGCCGGATATCGGCGTTGTCGAGATCCGTCAGTGTTTTCTGGAGCCGAGCACGCAAGATGTGTTAGCATTTATACCATCGCCCCTCCCCCCACCCTCTCGCTCGTCCCTCCCTCCCACCATTTCCATCCAACCCTCTCAACCCACTCCACTCCACTCCACTCCGTCCGCCACGCCAGATATAGAACAAGGCATAGAGATATACGAAATTGCGCCGCAGCCAATGATACGAGGCATTAATATCCCCGTGTCTCCCACCCCCCCTCCTTGCGGGAACACTCGGAGCACCAGAACCACAACGTGTGAGCAAAGCGTACCTCAAACTCCTCCCTCGCGCCATCCTTCGTAGTATGTACCATACGATTGATCTGATCAGCGATGGTAAGCTGCTCCTGCAGCGCGGTGCGGAGGAAGCCGCAGCGCGACGCGACAATCGACGCCTCCTGCAGCGCGGCGCGCGCTGAGTCCACCAGTACGTGAGCGCGCGTGCACAGCGATACTGAGTTCAGCGAGCGCTTGGCGTCCAGGAACCAGGTTGTCAATGAGTCGGGTGGTGGGGGGGTCATCGCCGTAGCTGGGAGCTGGGAGCTGTGCGGCGTTTGTGGTTGAGCTGAGGCGGCGAGATATATTGGGGGCACGGTGGTCGTGGTGGACGAGTGCGTTAGAAGCTCGAGGGCGAGGACATCCGTAGGTATGCGTATGGGCGGTGCAGCTCGCAGTGGTATGGGAGGCAAGATGATATGGTGCAGTGGAGATAGCTATATCTTGTAGATACCGCGAGCTCTCGTTGACAGTTGTGGTTGTAGTCACAGCATAGCTCCAGCGCGGTTACATTTGCTCTATCTAGATACGTAGCGCTGGGCAGGGGTCAGGTCAGATCAGATCATCGGCAGCGAACGAACGAGGTCACTGGACGAGGTCACTGGACGAGCCGAGGCGGAACGGTTATGTGGAAAAAGAAGCGGGTTCGGCTGGAACTCGGCGCATTGGCTGCTTGTGAGAGAGATAGAGAGAGAGATTATCTGGGAGAGAAGATAAAGAGCTCATCGATATCTCCATCTCGCAGAAACAGCTCTGCATGATGTGAACCCATGGGCGTTGAACATTGGACACGGCCAATTCAAGGCAGCAAGGCAATGGGTCTGCTTCTGGAAGAACGGCCGGCACGGGTGGAGATAGATACCAAATCCGCACGATCTGAAACGTGTCTGACAACCTGGATGCGGACGGGTGTGTGGAGAGAATTTGCGTTTGAATCTGGAGGTCGTTTTTGTGGTGGTGGTTGTGGTGGGGGGAGGGTTTTAGGTTTTTTTTGGCTTTTTTTAGGGGCGTTTTTTTTTGCGAGTCGTGGTGATGTCGCAATTCGCCTCAGAATGGTGAATTGACGGTAAGGCCGCGAGCCAGACCACCACTCACAGAGGAGCAAAGCACTGGAGGTTTCTACGTACATATCATGTGAATTGGAAACTACAGGCGGGGAGATCCGCGGGATGGCGTTCCTTCCTGGGCCGGGAATTCGAAGTTGCCGGAGCTGGAGCACATCATCCAGAAGGCCGAGCAATGGTGCCTAAGAAAGTTGCATCGAACATAGGGCCGAAGCTCGGTGGTGTCGTCGTCGGGGTTGAAGATGACGGAAGCAGAAGCGAGGTCGGCCGGCTTACGACGGCATGGATTAGATCTAGCGCGATCGTCGTTCTGCTCCGCGTTCCATGCTCTGGAAACCTTCCGCATGCACATTATTGATGATTGCAATGTGATTATATGATACCGATGAGTGCAATCATATTATCCTTATGATACCAAGAGTACGGTAGTAATATGGCTGCTATCCAAGTGCCGTACTCACTTACAACTTCTTACTCAGTGGATGTCACCATACCCCATCGATCCTGTCGACATCGAATATCCTCCGCCCCCGAGATCACCTAAAGTGCCCCGACATGGTTGTAGCGTTCCAGCTCCGCCCGACCGCCGACTCTGCTCCATAGTATTTATACCGGTCAGTCCAGAGCCAGCCCGCCAGCCAGTCCAGCCCGTCCATCGATCTCAGCTCTCCAAACTCAATCCAGCAAATTCCCCACCTCCCCGAGCGTGCATCACCATACACCACACACCTCACACGGCACTCCACACACCATCTGCCTGAAGACTTCTGGATCCAGCAAGCCCACCAGCTCGCATTCATTTCTGGATCTAACCGCACCACTGCTGCCGCCCGTGCAGCACAGCAGCATCTGCAGTTCCCACACCTGTTTCTGCCGCCCTCGATACCTGCCTTTCGCCGCCTCTGTCCCTCTCTACCCGAAGAGGATCTACTCCTGGCGTAGGTACCGTCCATAGAGCGACACCGGGACCGAATACAAGATCTACCTTCTACCCACCTCAGCCTATTTCTGCAACATATCTACCGTTCTCCTCGTCCTCCCTCCCTCCCCTACACTCCCTGTCCTCCCATCATCTCGGCACTCTACCTCCCTCCTCCTCGAACTCCCCATACTCGACTTGGCTATACAACAGAATACAACCAACCCCAGATCGACTCCCCCGGACACATGTTGTGGCCTGCCTCGTGTCTATAACAATCGCCGAAAAGAAGAATTATTTTTTTTTACTCTTCTGCAAAGTATCCGGATCTCTTCGTCGTCCTTTGTTTCCCCGGTCAATAACCTTCGCTCGGAGTGTTTTCGGAATTGCTTTTTCGAGAAGAAAAGCAACTCTCCGGCAAAGCCAGCCAGCTCGCACCCCATCCCGTCCTCCCCTCGCGTGACGTCCAACCATCCCTCACCAATGGCGCGAAAGAACGCAATGACAAATGACACCACTGCTGCACCAGAAGTAGCTGCAGCAGCAGAAGCTCTTCCTCGCCGACGCTCGATGCGCCACAAATCCACCGTCGCTACGGCTACTACTACTACTACCACTACTACCACTACTACCCCTCTCACCGCCCCCCCATCCTCTTCAAATACCACCTGCGACCCCCGACCGAAAAAACGGAAGAGATCTTCGATATTTACCGACGCCGCGACGTCCACCACCAAGACGATGGATACCGACGAGCCGCAATTGTTTGCCGCCGCCATCTCGACCGACACCACCGAGTCGGTCAAGAAAGACGTCGGCCCTTTTCTGTCAAAGCATATCCCGCAGCAGTACGCGCCCCATGGGAAGCCGGAGACGCACAGTCACGAAGCGGGGGAGGGGAATACGAGATATTGCTATCGGCATCGGCCCGACATCAAGTGTCGGCGGCCGGCGGATGAGCCGACGATGGAGCAGCTTCAGAGTGTGGGTTTTCCCCTCAGCCGACGGTGCGGCTAAATTTTCGATGGCGGGGGCGGGGGTGTGTTTGCTGATGCGGTTTGCGATCGCAGAGTATGGATAGTCTACCGGATGCCGATCGTCAGGCCATCACTCACGTGTGGTCGTTGTTTTCCGCCGCTCCGGGCCAGATGCGAAAGATGATGCTTCAAGGCATATTACAACAGTGCTGCTTCCCGCAACTATCCTACCTATCCGGTGCGATCCGCGATCTGATACGCATCGACTTCCTGAGCACGCTGCCGCCCGAGATATCCTTCCGAATCCTATCCTACCTCGACACGGCATCGCTGTGCAAAGCGGCGCAGGTATCGCGGACGTGGAGGATGCTGGCGGATGACGATGTGGTGTGGCACAAGATGTGCGAGCAGCACATTGACCGGAAATGCGACAAGTGTGGATGGGGGCTGCCTCTGCTCGAGCGAAAACGATTACGAGCGTCGAAGCGGCAGATGGAGCTGCGAGCCAAGGAGCCTCAGATTTTCACGCATACGCACGACATCACCAATGGCGCCAGCCGCCTCAATATCCACGGCAAGCGGCCCGACAACCCCACCGACGTCGAGGCGGCGTACATGCGACCGTCATCGTCCGCCGGTACCTGCTCCCCTTCCGCGTCGAAACGGACGTGCCAGCGCGACACCGAAGCGGCGACCGAGAGCAGCAGTCCGCGCACGCAACCTTGGAAGACGGTGTTCTCGGAGCGCTACAAGGTCGAGGCCAATTGGCGGCGGGGGCGTTGCACGAAGACGGTGTTCAAGGGTCACACCGATGGCATCATGTGCCTACAATTCGACGACAAAATCCTGGCGACGGGCTCGTACGACTCGACGATAAAGATCTGGGACATTGAGACCGGGGAGGAGATTCGCACGCTGGTCGGGCACACATCGGGCGTGCGAGCGCTGCAGTTCGACGACACGAAGCTCATTTCCGGCTCGATGGACAAGTCGTTAAAGATATGGAATTACCGCACGGGAAGATGCCTGTCGACCCTTCCCGGTCACACCGACGGCGTGGTGTGTCTCCACTTCGACTCGACGCTTCTCGTTTCCGGCTCGGTCGACAAGACCATCAAAGTGTGGAACTTTGCGGACAAATCCTGCTTCGCGCTCAAGGGGCACACGGATTGGGTCAACAGCGTCCGCATCGATTCCGACTCACGCACCATCTTTTCCGCCTCGGACGACCAGACCGTCAAGATGTGGGACCTGGACACGCGCTCGTGCATCCGCACGTTCGAAGGCCACGTCGGCCACGTCCAGCAAGTAATCCCGCTCTCCCTCCCCGACTACACTCCTCCACCCTTCGACGCCGAGCACGCCTCACCACCCCTATCCCCTTCCCCGTGGTCCTACCGCGAGCCCTCGAAAAAGACTGACCGCAAGCCACCGCCGGGAATGCTCATCACCGCCGCGCTCGACAGCACGGTCAAGTTCTGGGACGTTGCATCGGGGCGCTGCTTCAAGACGCTCTTCGGCCACGTCGAGGGGGTCTGGGCCCTCGCGGCGGACACCCTCCGCGTCGTCAGTGGCGCCCAGGACTCCATGGTCAAGGTGTGGGATGTCAACACGGGGAAATCGTTGCGCACCGTCACGGGCCACGCGGGCCCCGTCACCTGCGTCGGCCTTAGCGATAGCAGAATGGTCACCGCCGGCGAGGACTGTGTCGCCCGCATGTACTGCTTCAAGAGTACCGCGGCTAGTGAGCCCGAGGAGTGTGTCGGCGTCGTGACGGAGGGGATGGTCGAGTATGAGTCGCCGTAGTGATTTTTTGGGTGCGGGTTGGGTGCAGGGGCCGTTTCAGGTGCGGGTGCTGGGTATATCGGTGTTTTTGATATTTTGATTTTGAAATTTTTGAAATTGGGCATGGGTGTAATGTACTTATCGGTGGGCGTGTGGTGTTTTTTCTTTTTTATCTTCTTCTTACCTTACCTTACTATACGGAGGGATTCATGAGATTGATGGGATGCGTGGGATGCATGGGGAGTATGCTGGGTGTATCATATCCTTTGCTGTTGTCCAGGGCTAGGCTATAAATTGGGATTGAACTGCACTGCATTGCGATAGTTGCATTGGATCAGTGTAAGATATGCTGTAGCTTACAGCTGGACATGAGATGCTACCAGTCAGCGGCGTATATCATAGTTGCATTCACTTGTCATAGGCCACGCACATTGGGTCACTCCACTGGAATTTATACACGACAAGCTGTAAGGTTGTAACAAACCCACATCTCCACTCTACGGCTAGAGAAAGTACTGCACACAGAGGGGGAAGAGGAGGAAAAGCTACAACCTTAGTGGCGGTCACTCGTATGGGCCATTTGTAGAGCCAGAACATCAACCGGCCAGTTCCGCATCATCCGCATCACTCCGCTTGCGAGTGAGATATCACGGTGGTCATCTTCGTACCGACGTATGATACCCGAACTCTAACCCACACTTTGTAGAGCCAGAAAATCGACCGGCCAATTCCGCAACATCCGCATCACTCCGGTTGCGAGTGATATCCCAGGGAGCTCACCTTCGTATCGACGTACCTACCCAACCTCTTAGTCACTCCTCCTGGATGACGGGTTCATACCTCTCCTTAAATCCAGCATGGTTGATTCTCTAGAGGAAGTAAAGGGGTTTCAAAGATGTGGGGAACCTTTCTGCGCTCAGGAGAAATATGGAAATCCGAGACAGCACTGTACCGTACTCTATTCTATTCCACATTACTCCGCCGTCCAGTATAGTCTAAGTAGTCTAGGTAGTCTACATATCGTACATTTCTCCATCTATATAATACCGTATATATCACTGCATCTAAACTTATAAAGTGAACCCGTTGTAGAGCCATCTGTAGAGCCATCTGTAGAGCCAGAACATCAACCGGCCAATTCCGCATCATCCACATCACTCCGCGTGCGAGTGAGATACTACGGAGGTCATCTTCGTATCGACGTAGCCAACCTCTGAGTCACTCCTCCTCGATGACGGGTTCATTACTCTACGATAATCCAGCTTGGTTGATTCTCAAGAGGAAATCAAGGGGTTCCTTTCTGCGCTCAGGAGAATGAGTGATCGTTCTATATCTGAAGACCCGAGACAGCACTGTACCGTACTCTATTCTATCATACATTACTCCACCGTCCGGTCTAGTCTAAGATCTAGTCTACACATTGTACATTTCTCCATCATACCGTATATCTCCCCGCATCTAAATCCTCACCTGCTCCTCCTTCCCCCTCCTCCTCTCCTCCAACCACACCTTACTCCCCTCATACACGCCCAGATACAGCCCACTGCCCAGCATGGTCCACGCAGCTCTAATCCCCGCGCCCCTCCAGAGGCCCCTCACGCCCTCCTCCCTAAGGATATCAGCGACCACGCCCCTAATCTTCGTTCCGCCGCCCGCCTCCCCAGCAGCGAGCATAATCCTCGTCTTGACGACATCGACCGGCGTCGTGACCCACGCGGCGCCGACTCCCGCACTACCAGCCGCCACCCCACTCCACACGGCGGTCTCTAGCCCCCCCGCATCCTTCGGACACCAGCGAGCCTTCAACCACTCGAACGCGGGGAACTGCAGCGCCACGTACGGCAGATTCCTAGCCACGAGGGCGACATAGCCCGTCCACAGATCCCTCGTGCGTCGTATCCCCCTAAACGCCTGCAGCACCGCGCCCACCTCCTTCCCCACCCCCTTCCCCGCCCCCGCCCCCGCCCCAGCACCCTTCTGCACAACCTGCGCATTCTGCTTCACGACCTCCGCAGGAGTCACAACCGCGCAAGCGGCGATCTCGGCGACAGACGAGGCGAGCATGTTGCTGGCGACGCGGTCGGGCGGCAGGTGCGAGCGCACGAACTCGTATGTCGTGAAGAAGACGGCGGAGCTGGGGAGCGTCGCCAGGATGACGGGGCCAAGGCCTTGGTATAAACCGCCGAATAAGGGAAGGTGCCGATGCGCCGGGGATTGGAGGCGGGTCTTGATCGTGTCCAGTGGGTAGACGAGGAGGTCGACCGTGAACGCCGCGAACGCGCCGGAGAGGAGGATGTCTGTGTGTGTCATCGTGTAGTTGGGGTGGTGTAGAAGAGGAATTGGCGGGGTTGCGATATATACGAAGGAGCGGCGTTGGGGATCACCGTGATCTATGACGTCGGGGTTGACGTCATGTAGTCGTGCATTGGGCATCACTCGCTACGGGCCCTGCAGAACACTAGAGTAGTTACAGGCTCATACGCTCCGCAGAGTTCGATTGACCTGAGGCGGATAAAACGGAACTCCAAACAGCAATTGCAATTAGTACGCTAGGTATAAACACTAATAATACTGTAGCACTCGCAATGTTAACTCCTCGGCGATCGACCTCAACTAAGTACATTGTAGACCATCAACAGCCTTGGTCAAATCCAACAATTGAAAAAATAAATCTATCAGCCGTATCTTCTATGCAAAACAAAATCAAATCATTAAAAGGCCACAAGAAATCTCTAGCTCGGCAACCCATCTACCCACCCATCACTCCCGTACGCAACCAAACAACACTATCCGGATCCTCCACCCAATTATCCCTCATCCTGCGGCCCTCTCTCGCCACCATCCACTCCTCCATGCCACCAAACCCTATATCCTCAACCCAGTCACAGCCCTCCGTGGACCTAAGCCCGAACACCGCGACGGCCAGGTTCTTCTCCCTCGCATCGTCGAGGTAATCCTGCAGCGTGAGGCCAGCATAGTGCACCTGCTCGCCGCACCACTCGGCGTACCATCCATCTTGGGGGCCCGCTCCCAACTCCCAGGGGCTATACACGATCTCCAGCTTCGAGTAGACAGCGTTCAGGACCTCGTACATGGTGAGCGGGAATAGGCGCGAGGGGATGCCCGGCAGGAAATGCGACGAGCACAGCGTCGTCTGGCGGCCGCTGGTCTCCCGCAGAGAGATCGCACTGCGGAGGTTCGAAGGCGGCACGGCCATTGCCGACCACGAGAACAGCGGGTGGAAGTGGATGGCGCCCGACTGCGAGCCGTTGACGCACGGGATGCGGAGCAGCAGCAGCGGCGCAAGAGGCGACTCGGTGCACTTGTTGGGTGTGTACACCAGCTTGAAGGTGGAGTTTGAGGTGGTCTCCTCCTCGTCGTCGGGGTCGGATTCGGAGCTGGGCCAGTCGCTCTCCGATGGGATGACGCTCGACGACGAGATGATGATCGGCGACTGGAGGCCGGTCTCGAATTCGACGTTCTCGAACTCGACGTCGCTGGAGCCTTCGGGGTCGGAGATGTTCGCCGAGACGGGGTCCGACAGCTCGGAGCTGCCGCTGGCCACGAGCGGGGGCATCTCGTCGTCGCTGTCATCGGTGATAGCGTCGTCGTCGATGCTGTCGTAGCTGCCGCCCAAGGCTAGGGCCGTCGAGCTGAGCTTGCTAAGATTGCTGGGATCGACGGTGCCGGAAACGCCGGCGAATGCGCCGAAGCCGTCGGTCTCTAGTCTGATCTCTACGGGATAGGGTATATCGTCCATGTCTGGACTGTCAATCTTGACAGTTAGGGTTAACATGCTACTTGGGGAGAAGTCGTCGGTGTCGTTGTCCGAGCTAGGCGGTGTAAGCGGAGGCTTATTGGAGCTGCTCATGCCTGCATCGGTAACTTTGGAGGGAGGCATTTCGTGATGGTAAGGAATGTTTGTTGGGTGGTGATGGTGGTTGGGGAAACAGGTAGTTGTGGTAGAGCGAGGGTGTCTGGTTGATGGGAGAGTGCGGGTGGTCGAAAAGGGTAGGGAAGGAAGGTACAGACTTGTTTGAAGAGAGGCTTGCAGCCCAACTCAGCTACATCACTCGCTCGGTGTAGGTTTGGCTCAACCTTTATCATCTCTTTTGAGATACCTGCAGATCTACGAGATCCCTTTGTTTCACAATCGAGTGAGGGCACGACATATCACTCGAGACATGTCATTCTTCGTGAACCAGAAGTCGGAGCAGTAGGCTACCCGGCCCCTTCGAGGGAGAGACCGGATCACCATTTCTGGGTATATCCTTGGTACACTCTACCTCGCATTGCCCAGGCGGTGAGCAGAAGAAGTGGGCCGCTGCGAACCGGCCGGTTGTCCAGACGGCAGACAGGATACTCGGACAGTACGTCTCGCCATTGTCTGGATAGTAATGAAGAGAAACAAGAAAATAATCTATTATCTCCCACTTTAACCCCCACCAACCCCTCCTGATCCGACAAAAGAGAATGCTTTTTCCCCCAGAAAGTAAAATACAGGAAGGAAACACCTAAGTACAAACAACAGTCGCTTTCGCTCTCACTCGTCAACTCCCCCAGCACCATCTACAGCGTCGTGTCCACGGGCTTTATGAGCCCGCCACTATCTACTAGAGCTCTTGGGTTCGTTTACGACTCGGCGGCGGTCTCCTCCTTCGGTTCCTCCTCAGACACGGCTTCGGTGGAAGTAGGAGGGGCCTCCTCCTTGTCCTCCTTCTCTTCGTTCTCCCCCTTCACCTCCTTCTCTTCTTTCACCTCTTCCTCCGCCTTCTCCTCTTCGACGGCAGGAGAGGCGGCGACGGGGGAGGCCTCAGCTTCGGCGGACTCGTCGGCCCCCTCAAGCTTGTCGATCTCCTTCTGGGCCTTGGCGATGTTCTATCGTATCACTTCGTCAGCTAACCATTTCATGATTTGTAGGTTTTCGGAGTACTAACCGCCTGGGTGACCTTGTCCTGGTTTTCTTTGTAGTACTGAAGCTTTTCCCTCAGCTTCGCGAGCACGTGGGGCAGTTCATCAGCACTAGCGGGTGTCGGCACATCAACCTTGGCCAGCTCCTCGAGCAGTCCAACGTTAAGGTTGATCTTTGTAGGCGCGGCGGGGGCAGCAGCCTCGGAGGTCTCATCGGCGGGAGCACGGGTCTTCTTGCCCTTCTTCTTCTTTCCTCCGGTGCCGACGAAGTAATCCTCCTGCACCTTGACAAGCTCCTTGCCCTGCTTTCCCTCAAAGGGCTTAACATCATGGACAGCCTTCGCCGCGAGCTCACGGGGAGCAGCCACATTCTTGGCCTTCCGGGCAGCCTCAGCAGAGCTAGGGTCAAAGAAGATGATGAGATTTTCGCAAGCGATGATCTCCTCAGCGTAAGCGGGAATCGAGGCTTTCTCGAGCTTCGCGGCCGCGACGGCACGCTTCTTCTGGAGATGGTACTCGGCTTGCTCCTTGGCTCGGCGCTCGTCGCGGATCTTGCGCGCTTCCCGTTCGTAGTTCCGGTATGCGTTACGGCTTCGGATGAAATCCCCATGGATCTGCTTGAGCGCTTGCGACTTCTCCTGGCGGATGGCCTGGAGCCGGTCACGTTCGCTCTGGAGGGCGCTGAGGTTCTCGTAGCTGGTGGATGTTAGCCCGGGAGTGCGAAAAGTGGCTGGGTGGTTATTTACGCAGAGTTCTGCTCGGCCTTGATCGCCTTGAACTCCTTGTCCAAAGCGTCGTACCTCTCGTTGAGCTCCTTCAGGACGGGATCCTGCTTCTGGTCCTTCAACTCCTTCAGTCTGGCACGGTCGGCATCGATGCTCTTCTGTGCAGTGTCCATCTCGCCAAAGGTCTTCTTCTGTCTGCTCAGGTTGTTGATCTCCTGGATTGCCTTCTTTTCATCGACAATCTTCATCATTCCGCTCTCAACATCCTTATCGAGCTTGAAGACGGCCGCCTCGAGATCGGCGAGGGTGCGGTAAGGCAGCCTATTCTTCTTCGCATTGAGCTCCTTGACGCGGGCATTGATGCTGTCCTGAAGCGTCGAGATCTGCTCCTCAGTCTTGGAGCGAGAACCCTTCTTGTCGGCAACCTGAGACCGAATGTCGGCAAGTTCGACCTTGAGCTCCTGCTGCCGCGGGTTTCTGGAGTTTCCGGATTTCGCCAGGTCGATCTTTGCCCGGACCTCGTCCTGCACCCCCCCTTTCGTCAGCTGTGTTGGGTGGATGCGATGGTGTGATGTAGGTATATACCAGCTTCGCTTGTACTTCCTCGACCGCCTTCTTGGCTACAGCCTCGGCCGCGTGGTACGCATCCTCGTCGGGGCGCTCGGGCTTGATGACGGCCTTCTTGTCGGCGGCGGCAGCACCGGCGGCGGGGGTGGAGACGGGAGAAGCGGCGGCCATGGTGAGTGACAACGTGGACTTTTGCAAAGTTAGCGAGAGCTTTGGCCGTATTATTTCGGTAGTCCGCTGAGGTTCTTAGAAGCTCACCTGGCTGGCGGGGAAGGAGATGGATGACAGACGGGGTGGCCTTGGAGAGGTGTGAGGACAGGTAAGTGTTCTAGGCAAGTGTTCTAGGTGTGCTCAAGTGCTCAACGTTGTTCCTTTCTCCACACTCAATCAGCCGAAATTTTTTGGAAGCGCCGAAAACGATTGGTCTCCTACCCGATGCGGGTTTGTGTGGGGTGTTCTGGTCCTGATTCGGTTCGGTGAAGTGACTTGGCGATTTACCGTCACCTCTGAATGGGTTTCTGAATAATGCGTGGTTCAGACTTGAGAGAATATTCCTCTTATGTAAACCTTTCCATTCATACGAAAAGTTTGTTTGTTCTCAATGCCTTGGAAATGCAGAGATAACTCTATTTCTAAGAGGCTCTAGGTACTCTAAATAGGCATGTCTGAGTGTGCTCCACCTGGGTACCTATTCTACTTCGCCTTCAAGATTGCAGAGGTGACTCGTAAGAAATTTGGTTCATGGTCTCGAGAACAATTCCCCTCGGTCAATAACAAGCTTACCTCAATGTCCACCTCGGGCAATTCCTCATGTCGAAGTGTAGTGAAGGGTTCTCGGAGTCCGGGTGTCTGCGGCTCAAACCACCAGTAACTAGCGGCGTTCATACTGGCCACATATTTGTTGCTCCCTTAGTGCAGGGTCGGCGAGACCAATGACGGAGACAGATGGTGTACTTGACCATCCATCTCCTGTTCAACTTCCGACAACCATCTCCACAACTACCACCACAACCATCCACAATCATGGCAAATGTACGCTTACCCATCCCACTCATCCTAATAGATAACTAACACCGTCCAGAAAGCCTCTAAATCCCTGGCGCGCACCAACACGCTCACCCTGCGTCGAACACACATGATCACGGCAGCGCTGCACGCGGTCTTCATCATCTACCGGCTCATCTACCTGCGCGGCTCGCTCACCAAATACCTCCTCCTCTCGGCGCCGTCGTTGCTCACGGAGTACTACCTCGACAAGCTTGGACGGCCGCGCTTCGCCGCCAACGGCGAGCTGTTTAACCCCGGCGAGGACATGGCCGCCAAGGGCGTGACCGAGTACCTGTGGGATATCGTGCACGTCACGTGGATTTGCCTGGGATTGGTCGGTGTCCTCGGAGAGTGGGCGTGGTGGGTCGGACTGGTCGTGCCCGCGTATGCCGGTTATCTCGCCTGGGGCTTGTATAAAGGCTTTGCGGGAGGGTCTGTGCCGGGGATGCCGCAGATGTCGCAGCCGCAGGAGGAGCAACAGGCGGGCGCAAGTAAGCGGCAGGCGAAGATGGAGGCGCGCGGAGGGCAGAAGGTTAGGTATCGCTAGAACATGCAGATGCTATAGAGGATTCTGTCATGATTGGAAGGGAGAGCTGGTTTACGTGTATGTACGGTATTAGATGTGTTTGTGCTAAGACGTATAATATCTTCTCACAGTTACTAGTCGGTGAAATCTGGCATGGTGAACTCACGAGCTTGAGATACTTCGAATTTCATGATTGTGTCACGATTGCCGGGTAAACCAGGTAGAAGAAAGGCTCATCACCAACAGAAGTGCCAGAACAAAAGTCCTCGCAAATGGCAGCAGCATTCAAGTAAGTACAAATACACGCTCCTCGTCGCATCAGTTCCCAACAAGTCGAGCAAGAACCTAATTCTTCCCTGCAATTCTCTGCTCTCGGCCGCCGTAGCCTCCACGGCCCGGATCATAGTCCTCACGGTAGTAATCTCTAACCTGGCCTCCGGTCGGACCACGACCGTACTGCCGTCCTTCCTTGAATCCAGGATCAAGGTCGGTACGGATGATACGTTCGTCGAGCTTGGTGCCGCCAACGTATTTCATCGCGTCCAGCGCATCCGTGTGCGTGTAGTACTCGACAAAACAGAAGCCGCAGGGAGTCTTGTTGAAGCGGTCCAGTCCCATCACCAGACGCTTGATCTCGCCGCATTTGCTGAAGAGCTCGTGTATTTGCTCTTCGGTTGTGTAGAAGGAGCTGTGCGTGTGGTTGTTAGTGAAAGTAGGCGGTGGAAGGGGGTCGAGACGGAGGAGGTACAGATTGCCAACATAGAGAGTCGCCGCGTCCTTGAGAGGGTCTTCGCGTGCGGCGGGAGCGTCGCCGGTACGCTGGCGTTTGGTCTGTGCGGACAGGAGTGCGTCAGTCGCTGTAATTGCTCATGTGAAGACAAAGAATTAATGCGACAAAGGAAGCACAGCACGAACCTCTCGCTTCTCAAAATAGCTGGACGGCGCATCCAAGTTCTGAACGGTGTTAATCTTCCTGGGAATGGTGGCCATAGCTGTGTGGGGATGTGTTGAGTGGTGAGTGAGTGAGTGTGTGGTGTTGGTTGGTTGTCGGAGAACACGCTGGTGAGAAAGAATGGTCTGTGAGATTTGGAACCAGAAACCCAACTTCCCTCACACGCGTCACCTTACCTCTAATATTCCCAAGACTTTGCCGACAACTAGCCTATAACACGACAACGACACGACTTCCCCACCACCACCACCGTCACCATCTCAACACTCGCAGTCCAATTACTACACGCAAAAAAACCGGTCGCACAACTAGTCCCGAACAAAAAACACGCGATGGCGAAGGTTGTGGAGGAACAACTTTCCTGGCTAAGCAAGCCCTCGACGGGGTACGATTTGTTTAGCACGCCCTCAACATTCACACCCTCGACCCCCTCCGATTCTACCTCCGGTGTGTCTCCAAAACGATTGATCGCGACTCGAGGCTCGGAGATCTTTGTTGGCCGCGGAAACAAGGTGCGATGTGCAGACCTTCAGGATCTCAAGGCGAGGCACCCGGGTCTCGATGTGGTCGCAGAGGAGGCGAAGAAGGTGGGACACAGGGAATACAAGGTTCGTCACGGTGAGAATGCGGGGACTGCTGTCGCTACTGCTGCTGGTATTGACCACTATCCAGGCTTTGAATATCCCGCAGATCGACTTCGAGATTAGACAACTCGAGATCAGCCAAGATGATTTGTACCTGGCGATCGTCGGAGAGAAGGAGGTGGCCGTCTGTGTGCTTCCTGGAGAGGGGTTCCTTAAACGGGATGCAGCCAGACCGGTGGTGCCACAGTGGGTTGCCTGTGTGGGAGTGCTGCGTGTAGAGCAACCGGCTGATCGATTTAGCTTCCATCGGATCGGCAGAGGCCACCACAATGTCGATACCGGCGCGAGGATAGTGCGAGTTCTGTGGCATCCTCTGAGCGTCGAGGGCGCTTCCTTGATCGTTCTGACGGCGGATGGTTATGTCCGGTATGATCCGCATCCCCGGTGATGAGCTGCACGGCTGATGATTCGGACACAGAACCTACGACTTCCTCATCGGCAACGACCTATCGTTCGAGGTACCTGACCAGTCTCTAGATCTGTACGCGCTGGGCGGCCGAAAGCGCCATGTCGGTGGTTTCGCAGCAGATTCGGACGAGATGGAGCCGGCGGCGTGTTGCTTCGGCTCGGGCGAACAGAGCTGGCGGCCACTCACGCTCTACATATTGATGCGAAGTGGTGACATGTACTCGCTCAGTCCGATTGTTCCGAGTCGCTGGGATGCTCCACAGGGTTACATTCAGAGATTATCACTCGAGATCACCGCCGAACAATCTTTCGATGAGCAGACTACGCCGGAAGCGAAAGTTACGAATCGGCATCAGACCAAGTGGATCAATGATGTCCTGAATCAGCGGCAGAATATTGTCAATGCGCAAACCTCGTTTGATACGCCGAAAGGACTCACCCCGACGTGCTTGATGAGGCCAACGGTGGTTGGGCCAACTCCAGTTCTGCAAGGCCCGTTCCTGTTCGAACCTGCACCTCCGGAACCGATGGGTGATGACCTTCCTGCTGCCTGCGACATTTTCCATCTGGAGGTGGGGCCAATCGGTGTTATTGGAATCATCTACTCGAATGGGAAGCTTGACATTTGTCTGGAAGAAGAACCGATCACGGCCAAGTGGATTGGCAAGAAGGGGATGAAGTCACTGGAGACTCAGAATCTCCCCATGATCTCACACTACGAAACCGTAAACCTCCCATTCAACGCCGGCGAGGGATCGAAACACAGCAGTTGGCCGACTTTCACGAGGGACCCGCACTCGGCGCAGATGTTGTTCGTCAATAGTATTATTGGCGTAACCCTCTTCTCGATGAAGGGCTGGCTGAGCAAGCTCGAGGCTGTTCTCGACGACCAAGAAGACGATGACTTCCTCGTGAAGACACTTCAGAAAGCACCGCGTACGCAGATTCAGGAAATCTGCGCGACTCCAGGCTTTCCGGTGGAGGGCTGCACCGTGCTCTACGAAGCCTACATCGGCTACATTATCATCGCCAAACTTCCCGACGGCTTCTCAAGCAAGGCATTCGATGAACCGGACTCCTTCTTGCCGTTCGAAGACTCGAATGATACCATTACACTACAGCCTTCCTCCCGCCGGTTCGCCGAGTACACCGAGACCTCTTTCAACTCCTCACGCTTCGGCCAATCAGAATCTTCCTTCTCGATGAGCACAAAGTCTCAGTCACAAAGGAAGTCGGCACCCCCAATTCCCGTACCACAACCACTCAATATCCTGCAGCCACCCTATAAGCCCAGCCCCAAATTCACCAAGCCTTCGAATCTTCCCGGGTTCCTCCACAGCATATCCAGAGATGCCAAAAAGCCAATCGTCTTCACAGCCGAAACCCTCAGGCACCTCGAAAACGCCCGCGACACACTCTCAACCGAGTTTTCGGCCCTCATGACCGGCGCCCAGGAGATGTACGACCGCGCAGCCGCTCAGCGACTGGAATACAGCAAGCAGCTTGAGGCGCTGCACAACATCCACGCGCGGCTATCTACCATCAAGACCCGCAACGTCAGCGAGCGAGTCGAGGCCTTCATCACCCGGCAGGAGGAGATGCAGAAGCGCGCGGACGCACTGCTGAAACGGCTCATCACCGAGAGCGAGGTCGGCTTGTCCGACGCGGAGAAGAAGTGGGCGAAGGAGGTCGACCGCATCTCGGAGCGTGTGGCGGGCGGCGATGGGCTCGGCGCTCTCGGCAGTCGTACCCTGCGCGTGGGCGACTTGGTGGAGGATTTGGTCGTCGCAGCGGATGAGGCTGTGGACAGTGAGAGTGTGCATGATCCTGTGCCCGCGGAGATCCGCGAGGGGAAGCTGGGCATGTTGATGGGTTTGCTGGAGAGAGAGTACGTATTCATTCCGTTCCGATAATCACTGATCACTACTGACTGACTGGCTGTGCGTAGGGGAGTATTGGTCGAGTCGACCAGAAAGAAACTTGAGGCACTCATTATTGAGTGCGATAGGCCGTGATTTGTATTTAGCTAATGGATATGCGTGATGGAATTTCACGTTGATGAATTGAGACGATGCACTCGTTCAGGGCATCTTATTGCCGATGGCTGGGAAGATGTATAGTAGCGTAACTTGATGCTTGATGCTCGGAGAGAGAGCATCATTTATTTTTGCATTGGCATGTCTAAACTATGGGGACCTCAAACTTAACCTTTCCGCTTGATGCTCAGTGGCACATGTCTTGACGAGGCATATTCCATGACGAACCAGGGACTGACAGGGATCATTGCCTCTTGGCTCTCGGATAACCCTTAAGCAGCCGTCGCCTCTGTCAATCTCCAGCGCTAACACATGGCCAGCGACACCCTGCGTCTGCGTCATACATCCAGACATTCCATGCGTCATCCACAACTCCCTCTCACTCGCGCACGCGACTCCTCCCACCCGCCTCGCGAACCATAAAGCAGCAGCTATACGTTCAGAGTGCCCTCACGATGTCGCAACTCATACGGCCCGACAGCGCACTAGTCGGCGACCTTGCTGCCGCGATGTCCATAGTCCGTCCCCTCCTCTCCTCCAATCTCCAGACACTGACCCCGCCGCATCCAGACGATAAAGCAGCAACTCTTCCGGCTCTGCCGGGCCTGGCTTCTCGTCCCTTTAGGGACCGTACTGACCCTCGTGGCGCTATGGGGCCTCGACAGCGTGATCCGGCTTTCGGGCGTCGCCTTCCCCGCGAGTGTGGCGGCAATGCTGCTACTCTTTCTCGGGCTGATCGCGCTCGAGCCGGTGGTGGGCGGGAGGAGGGTTAAGGCCGTGGTTGCGGTGGTGGATGTGCCCGTAAGTGACGTGCCCTCTTGAGAGTCCGGGCGACGGGAGCTGATGCGGGGGAGAATAGGCGGCGTTCGCCCTCAAGTATATCAACCTCTTCTTCGTGCCGTCGTTTGTGCTCCTCCCACTGTCGCCGAGCGTGGGCGCCGCGGAGGTGGGGAAGATTGTGGGGGTTTTCTGTAAGTTCCTTCGAGCTGGGGGATGGGTTGGGATGGTGGGATGGTGGGATGGGGGGCTGATGCGGACAGTGGTCGGCTTTGTCGTGGCTACCGCGGCGACGGTCTACATCGTCCGCGGCCTGCAAATGGTCCTGCCGAAGGCGCGGAGGGCCAGGGATGAGGATGAGGATGATGGGGGAATACAGCTCGCGGAGATGCCGGAATCGCAGACGGCGTTGCTGCCGTCGAGTACGGTGTCTATGCCGCCGGCACCACAGCCGACGGCGGAGACGCAGCGGCTGCGCGGGGTGGGACCGTTGTGCACACGATTGCCGGAGCGGCTCATCCACGGGCGGCATGTTCCTTCGCGAACGCCGTCTCCGGCACCGGCACTGGGGGTTGCAACCCCACCGCGGAGCCCACCGCCGTCGCGCGCGCAGAGGATGGCGGCGGTGGGGACTACATATTTCGACGAGATTACGTATGGGGCACTGTTTTTGGGCTCGCTGCCGGTGCTGTACAGCACCGGCTACGTCATGCCCGCGCACCTGAGCCTTACCACGCTATTCTTCCTGCTGGCGCGGCGGGTGCCTCCACAGTACCAGCGCATGCTCCACCCGGTACTCACCTGCGCCGCGCTGACGATCCTGGGCGTCTACTTGCTCTCCGCCAGCACACACACACCGTTCAAGCACGCCCTAAAGACCTACAAGACCCCGAGCACATACCTATCGCTCTTCCGCTCCACCCCCTCCCTCGCCCCCCCAGGCGCAGGCAACATCTTCGCCGCGCTCCTAGACGTCTCGATCGTCGCGCTGGCCTTGCCAATGTACAGCCACCGCAGCGCGCTGCTCTCACACCTGCCTTTGATCGTGCTGCCCACGCTCCTCCTCTCCGTCGGCAGCCTAACCCTCTACCCCCTTCTCTGCTCCACGCTCGGCATCGCGCCCGCCCGCGCGCTCGCCTTCTCCGCCCGCAGCCTGACCCTGGCACTCGCCCAGCCCGCTGTCGCAAACTTAGGCGGGGACACGCAGTTCCTCGCGGTACTGTGCATCACCTCGGGGATCTTTGGCGTGCTCGTGGGACCGCGAATATTGCGGCTGCTGGGAGTAGGGGAGGGCGAGTATGTAGTCCGAGGTGTCGCACTGGGCGCTAATGGCAGTGCTGTGGCGACCGCGTGGTTGCTACAAAGGGGAGAGCCCAGGGCCGCCGCGATGGGGAGTCTGGCTATGGTTGCGTTGGGAGTCGCGGTTGTGGTAGCTTGCGCGGTCGGGAGTGTAAGGGACGGGATCGCGGGGTTGGCGGGTGTGTAGTGGGATGTTGGGTATATAGGTGGTTGAAGCCAAGTGCTGCAGGAGGTGGGCGTAAATGACCGGTCGGTAACTACTGCATCCGCTGGTCCGGTGGCGCTCGGGGGGGGCGGGGGGGGGGGGCAAGGAAGATCTACTGCCGAGTATCATAAATAGAAGGGGATCCCGATAGAAGCAATGGAATACCGCTACCGTCATGGTTTGAAGTTTGGTTCACTAGCATAGGGCTGCACAAATAGCGGGGTGCACAAGTATATAGCGGGCTCGTGGCGGGCTTGGAGGGCTTGGAAGTTGGAGGCGCACGCCGTCACTGCACGGTATTAGTGGTGGCGGTGGATCTGCACTTGTGATGGCCGATGGCCTGTGGTTCTAATTACAATTGCGGGGAAAGACGGCGCCAAAATTCGCTTCACGACCGAGTGGTGGACTGTGGAGGTATGGGACGAAACAATCACTATCCGTCACCATCCCCTTCCGTCACGACTCCCTATCCACGACCGTACCCTGCGTTGGTTATGTCCCGTAGTACACCATATCGTACCTTACCGCAGCGTACCATGATACCGGTAGTTCCACGGCAAGCCGTCCGTCCGTCCGTTCGGCGTTGGCCTCCTTCGGCACTGGCAGCTGGCCCCCATGGGTGATAAACTATGACACCGCTCCCGATCCCGATCCGAGACACCCAGCGCTCCACCAGTTCATTTGACTTGACATCCTCACTGGTAATCACTTGACATCCTGTACGTAACCCCATCCCCACCCCCACCTCCCCCAGCCCGCTCCTCCGCGCATCTTCCCCACCCCCATACGCATCAATGGGGTGAACGAGACTACTCATCCGATCTGAGGACCAGTGGATGTCCATGTACAGAGTACCCCGCAATTCCCGCATCTCGACCAGCGTGTTTTCCCATCCCAATGGTCCCACAACTACTCCACCTATTCACCTGCCTTCCTACCTGCTCAGCTCTGCTTTGCTCTGCTTTGCTTTGATTTGCAATCCTGCTCTGCATTCAGTGATCCCATCTATTGCCGTTCGATCATGCTCTATATCCACCTACCCATCCACCTAAGGACCTGCCTATCCAGTCCAGTAACAACGACGGCGAGGCAGCGGCGGAGTATATCCGCTCCACCGAGCTCAACTTCAGGGATCACCACCAACCAACTGTCTATTAACAACTCCCGCGGTCGGCATAAAGTATGTAAGCACATATGTAAGCGCACTCAATCGCGGTATTATGTATTATTTTATCCAAATGATTCGCCTCGCCTGATCCTGTTGATTACACAACCTACATACACAACCTACATACTACCTACCTCATGTACATCTTTATTTCCAGCAAAGCATACTTACAGCCATGGCCCCCCCTCCCTTCTCCTCCCCCTATTCCGAACGAAGCGAGTGGAGCAGAGCAAGCCAATAGATAGAACAAAAGAAAAGAGACCGTATCTAAGAAGATGAAAAAAGATGAAAGGGCATCTAAAGGAAAAAAAGAAAAAGAGAAAAAAAGAAAAAGAGAAAAAAAGACAAAAAGAAAAAAAGAAAAAAAGAAAACAGTAACAAGGCCAAAAAATCGTGACACATACAACTCCAGATCCGTACCGTACTCCCAATCAATTGCGACCCAAGACAACACAACAGCACAAGTGTACATACATACGCAGACGATACTTGAGCAAAATCACCTCCCAATGGAAACATTGACCGAGTTCCCCATGGGCAGACCCTCTCCGGCGGCCGCCGCCCTCGGGCTCAGGGCGTCCTCAAACAGGACCTGCACCTCCTGCTGCATCTTGACGAAGCCCTCCTGCGAGCTTGCCCGGGAATCACTCTCGCCGTTTCCCGCATTGATGACGGTTCCAGGGCCGTACATGGTCGCGCCCCGCGACAGCTGAATGTCATTCCCCGCTGCTCCGCCCCCTTCGCTCCCCGTGTTGCGGGATACCATCGAGTGTTGCTGTAGACTGACGATGGTGCGCCGCGTCACGAGGTAGAGGAGCACGTCGACCCAGCCGCAGGAGGCCATGCAGGCGCCCGCGAAGAGGAGCACGCTGTCCGGGGGTCGGTTTCGCGAGTGGGAGGCCATGCGGAAGGCGGCGAGGGGGAGCGTCAAGCAGGTGTAAGCTATCGGGTAGACGAGCATCAGTCGCGCCACGCGCTGGATGGTGCGCGTTTGCACGCCCGAGACTTGGGCCAGGGTGGCATTGCGACGCAGGAAGATTGAGATGACTAGGCGAAGGTGTCAGTGAGGGGCACTACACTACTATTGTACTGCTATCGATGAGACGGCGGGTGGGGGGACAAACTAGCGTAGAGGAGCAACTGTCCAAATTCACAGATAAAGATCCAGAGGTAATGGACAAGAAGGCGCTGTGCACGATTAGTTCGTCATTGTACCGTGAAAGTGCAAGTGAAAGTGAAAACGCACCTCGTCATGGTACTTATCCGAGATCCAGCACCACGCACCCGCGCTGACAAAGAGCTGTTCGCCCAAGTGCATTAACGGGCTTACGAGTGAGACGGTCAGACAGAAGGCCCAGATGCCACCGACGCACCAGAGGAAAGTCCTGTACTCGAGCTTCCTCTGGAGCACGATGATGTAGAAGGTCTGGAGGGCGATTGCGAGCGAGAAGAGGCCACTCGACACATCACCAATCTGCACCAGCCAGCCCTGGGCATTGCAGATTCCGGTGGGCGCAAGGATGGCATTGTTCCTAATCCAGTGCAGCGAGAAGGCAAAGGACAGGGCCTGCTGGATGTCGGCGATGAGGAGGTTCAGGATCAGGATGAGGGATTGGTTGTAGCGGAGCGGGGCGGCTTGGTAGCGTTTGCGGTTGAAGAGGCGGTAGACGATGAACGAGGCGGCGGCGACGGTACCGAAGAGGGAGAGGAGGGCGAGAACGGAGATCACGATGAGCCCGGGCCGGAGGTGGGAGGGCAGCGGATCGAGACTGAGTGGATATGGATAATACGCCATGGTTCGACGGACGTGTACTGCTGCTGCTGTCGCTGCTGCATGATCGAACGGACGGGGTCAGGCACTGTCGAAGAGTGAAGGGGAAGAAGAGAAGAGAAGGGAAGAGAAGGGAAGAGGGGGGGAGAAGGGGAGAAGAGGTGGAGGTAATCCCGATAGCTGGGGGGCATGTAGCGGGCTAGGAGTGTGGGAGTGTGGGAGTCTAGGATATAAGATGGGATATGCGATGACGATCACGGAGGGTGAAGGGTGGAGGAGGAGGGAGCACCCACATTGCAGCAGTCCTCTTTCTGCCCGGTACCACAGCGAGCGAGCTGCAGAGGAGGAGGAGGAGGAGGAGGAGGAGGAGGATGAAGAGGAAAAGAAGGGATAGAACAATGCGATTTCGATCGCTTTTCGAGCCCTGCATGGGATTATGAGGAGGGGGGTGGGGGGGCGGAACGGGGGGGGAGGCGAGGGCTGGCACTATATCATTTCGAAACCGTGGAGTCGGGGAGACAACTTGGGTGAGCAGCAGCAGCAGAAGCACGAGCAGCCACTACAGCATAATACACACAGCAATGGACGTGCAGGCTAAGCGGCCGGGCTTAGTAGGCAGAGTACTCTGTCTCTGCGAGGGAGGGGGAGGGAGGAAATTTGAAAGCCGGTATTTCGGTAATATTGCTAGGATCCTTCGCACAAAGTTCAAACAGCTACAATGCCTTTATTTTTTGTGTGCGGTGAATGTGATGAATGGGCTTCTTCTTTGAGGCCGGACAGGGCAGGGCAGAGCAGGGCGTTCTTTGTTCCCGGAGAGCTATGCGGGCGACTACGGTAGATGCCATAATAATTATACCTAGTACTGGGGAACCAGAGTAAGGAAGTGACTATGACGGAGGAGTTACATACCCAGGTAAAAGCACCTAACTAAATGCCTAGTCCCGACGCCAATCCGTCCGGAAAGCGTCTCGTGGCCGAGCAGCAGCAGCAGCGGGGCTTGCATAGCGTCGTTACGACTCGTGCCTCTGCCGCGCTCGCCGTGTCTCTCCGCCGTGCTTCGGTGACTTCCGCGAGCCGCCAGCCAGCGAGTCATCGGACTGACAAGAGGCGTGGGTGGCCGACCGCGCTGGACGGAGGATATCCCACCTGAGGAGGGCTCGGCGTTTCGGTAGTTCGGTGCTCGGTGGCTCGGCGGCTCGGTACTTCGGTGGTTCAATGTTGGCTCGCTCCCTCATTCGGCGTCGTCGTCGTGGGCCTCTTTCTTTCCCTCACTCTCTCTCCCTCCCTCTCGCTCTCCCCCGATGCGATGTCCACGGCTTCCTTCCTTCCACTCCCGATGCTAGTGTGGACTCCCGCCTCGTCGCTGCAGAAACCTTCATCCACCCGTCAACTTTATCCACGACGTTGGTTCTGACGAGAAAAAAGAAATAAAAAACACGCAGCACGCCGGTAGATGCCCATACTAGCACGAATCTACACACTAACTACCGTATAGCAATAGCACCTGTCCATCTGTCTGTCGCATGCGGGGAGAGGGCGCTGTGGGCACGAGCAGTTTCCCTGCGTGCGTGCGTATCTATGATCTATCCCTTTCACGCTTCCATGCTTTTATGCTTTTATGCTTTCTTTTGTCGGTTTCGAAACCGAGCCGATGATTGCACATGTCGTCGTCGTTGTCGTCGTCGAGCACCGGTATGTGGTGCAATAAATATCCTCGCGTGGCCATCACATCCGAGCGGTAAGACACCGATGTGCATGTCGTGCCCACCTATATGTCGCCATCATATGGAGTGCAGTTATGATATGGAGTTGGCCCCTCTCCTCCTCTTGTTCGTCCAGATATTCACTGCGACTGTTCGTGGAAGTCCCCCAGCCAATCCCCCAGCCAATCCCACATTCCACTAGCTGGCCAAACAAGCCTTCTCGCCTTCTTCAACCCTCAGCTCCTGTTCGTCCGCTTCCCTCTCTGCCAATCCCACTATGATAGCTACCTGGTAGCCGAACAAGCCTTCCCCCCACCCTCGGAGGGAGCCATCCCTCGGAGCCAGCCCCTAAATTATCAGCCAAAGCAAGCTAAACTAGCCCCTCCGTCCCCACAAAACACCAGCACCAGTACCAGCACCAGGACCAGCAGCAGCGCCAGCACTAGTTAGCAGCAGCAGCAGCAGCATCCCCGTCCGCCGGTTAAACCCCCCTCCCCCTCCCCATTGAGTGCTGCATCCAACGCCGCAGTCGCGTGCGGAGTCCGGACAAGTGCTTACTTACGTCTGCTGTTTCTCTCTCTCTGTCCTCTCTCTCTCTCACCGTTTTGCGATTTAAATTCTCTTGCACGCAGCTCCCGCCGCACTCCTGAGTAGAGTTCCAGCCCCCCCCACAGATCCTGGAATCGGGGCCCGAAAAACCGGCCTGCCCACTACTCCCACTACTACTAGGTAGTAGTACTAGTACGCCTCCCGAGGAGCGAGGGCAGGAGGGATGGAGCGTGACTTGACCTGCGCGGCCGCCTCCAAGTCTCAGCGTCTCAGCGTCTCAAAACCTCGGACGAAAGCGAAGAGCGAAAAGCGAAACACTTGGGGGCCGGCGAGTACCTACTTTGCTCTAGTATGTACCAGTTAGTACTGGCATGTACAAACTGGACACCGCGAAGGGAAAGGCAAACCGTGACCTCGCCCTCCCCCGACAGCTGTCACGGCTGTCACGGCGGTCTCAAGCGTCTCAAGCGTCGCAGCGGTTTCAAGCGCCGCGCCGCTCGATCCTGGGTCCCTGCATTTTGTAGAGTAACTACTAGCAACTATTAGTTAGTTAGTAGTGTGCTCGGAACCGTCGGGACGCGGTTGCCATTTGGGCCAGTTGGGGGTGCGAAGTCATCACTCGCTCGCGGTGCGTGTGCGGTGCGTGTAGATATAGTAAGGTGCGTGTGGGGTGAAACCGGGAGGAGGGGGGGGAGGGGGGCGGCCTGCGGGTGCGGCGGATGACTGTACTGTACCATAGGCAGGTACGAGTAGAGTACACATCAGGTACATAACTATACCTACCCGGTAACTGAGTACTCTGTGGTAAGTGGGTGTGCCCCTATTCTCGACAGACAGCGGATCTGCTCGCGTTCGCTATCGCTTCGGCAGGTCCTAGGAGCAGGCAGCAGGAGCAAGAGCATTCGGGTACTATATACGGTAGTAGAGTCAGCAAGATGCTCACAAGTACGAGTTATACTAGGAAAAGAAAAAGAAAAACTGTCCTGAATTAGTGAGCACTGGGCTGGGCCAGTTCTCCGAAAGTGCTCTCGAGGCTCGGAACCGAACTTGCGAGGTTTGGTGGTGGTGGCGGTGTTGGCGGCGGCAACTGCCACGGACTCTACCGCCATCGACTGCGAATCTGCGATGTTGTCTTGCTCTCCGTCGACTGTACCGCAGTGCAGTCTCGGCCTCGACTCCTCGGGCTTCCGCCTGAAGACTGGACTCCTCCCGCCTTGATTGCATTGATTGTTTTGGCCCCTTCCGCCTTCCGCTTGTTGACTTGCGAATCGGTTTGGCTGCCTCATGTACTGGGTAGTACACTATGTACTCTTCCTTCCGCGCAGACCCTAGATTGTCAATTCGCAGCATGGATGAATGGATGGGATGGGATGTAATGGATTGGAAATAGCCGTTTCGCTCACACCGGTCCATTCGGACGTATCCTTATCTCCAATAGCATCTGCAACAGCATCCAGCTCCCCTCCAGATGGCTCTAGATGGCTCCAGATGGCTGGTAGATGCGTCCCATTCCAACCCTCCGTACCCGAGTACCAAGTAGAGTAGATACTATAAACGTGGCCACGATATAGTGCTCATGAGTAAGTACATAGAGCAGAGTAGGTAGGGTACGCATGTGGGAGTGGTGTATACGCATGTGGAAGTGGGGCGGGGGGGAGGGGAGCGTGCCTGCATATCATCACTGGCCTCTGGGAGATCTCCCATCTCTGCCCGCCTGGAATCCTAGAATCCTGTAATCCTGGATAGGTAGTGGAGCACTGGGGGACGAGATGACCCTCAGACAACTTTGATTAAAGATAGAAGACCAATTGTATTTGACTAGAGAGAGAAACGATAATGGAAGAAAAATAGCTACCTGTGTTCTTCAGGTGATGAACCTCAAGTACCGGTACCCCCGCAAGTTGAATGGCAAGATGAGGAGATGATGATGGACAGATGAGAAAACCAAACAACCGGTCAACAAAATAAGCCAGAGCCCTCCGAACGTTTGGCCCGCCGTATCTGGTCTAGCCAAGGACGTCGGCGAAATTTCCCCGCTCGTGCATCTCCCATGCCCGCTCCCAGCTTCGACAGAGCCCGCTCTCAAATCGAACGACAACAACCCTCTCCGCTGGCCTTCGGTCACACCCCCGACCGAGCTGGTCTCAACGAGCCCCAGTCGGTTCACAACTTCTTGGCCATCGGTCTCTGCCGTGTTCGCAGCTCCGGGTTGAAACAGACGCGCCAAGGAATCGTTTCCGCTGCGTCCCACAGTAGATACCGTATCTGGCTGATCCGCAACGTCGAGCCGTGGGCCGGCGGCGAGCGCGTGATATTGAGAGATCTAAGACCCTCGACAGATAGTTACGAACAACTGGTGAACGTGGTTCGATGAAGAAACAAAGTAGGTATCATAATAAGAAAGAAAACAGGCCAATGACTTTTGGAAATAGGCATCTGTGGTAGTGAACAACAGAGCGACCACTACCAGCAATAATATACCTATCAGAAAAGCAATAACAGGAAGCAGTTCAACTTTCAACGTTCAAAAGACCGCATAGGGTCTATGTTTTGTACGTAACAAACATCACACCTTGGAATCACCTTGGCATCACCTCCGATGCCCTTCGCATCACCTCCAGGCTCCATAACAGTTGGTCTCACCAGGTCCCTGCCCGGTCTCACCCCCCAACTACAAAGCCCCAGTCGTGTCTCGATCGGACATCCTCCCTACGGCATTCTCCGGTTTCGTCAGCCTGCCATACCTGTAAATCCCGCATGTGTGCTTTTCCAAGATTTATCATTTCCCTTCGGATTGGGATCGTAGTACATAGGCGCGATTGGCGCTGGCCTGACCTGTCCTGAGCTGTCGTGCGGTGTACTATTCCAGACTTCCAATCTCGGTGAACGTGGTAACTGGTGATGTCGGCAATCACACTTTCCACTCTGCACTTACACTCACTTTGCATGTTGCACTCTAACCACCCGAGTGGACGGGATGAACTCTGCGCGAGTTTGTCGGCTGCCTTTCGAGTTTTGAGTCTCGACAGCTTCCGGTCACATCCACGGTACGGTACGTACTCAATCCCTCCTGGATCCGCTGGCCCTATCATAGAGTATCACCATCGCCATGGACCATGGCCGATCCCCTTCCGGAATTCTGAATGCATTGTTCCCACGCCCACCGCAACGTACCGGTATGTGTACCACCGGCAGTCTGTAATCTACTCTCTCACGCACACTCCTCCTCCTCCTCCTCCTCCCCATGTGCTACTTACGTAAGTCCTCCTCCAATCCCCCCCTCCCCCCCATCACCGATGCCCCGATCCCTCGATCCCAACCCCCCATAACTCAGGGTTTCATTCACTATCCAACCATACAACCATGCAACCATGCACTGCGACCCTGGCTATGGAGTAGGTAGAGTAGAGTATGGCGGACAGCGGACGGCGGACGGCGGCCGGTCGCGGGCGTCACGGTCAATGCCCCCTTTCCGTTTCTCTTGCTCTTGCTCTTCTCTTTTCCACGTGAAGCCGGTGGTTAGCGGTTAGCGGTTGGAGGTTGGAGGTTGGCGCTTGTGCGTTTATCTGCTGGAGGTCGGGGGATGTTGCGGGCTACCTGCTCTGGAGCTGGACTGGACTGTAGCTAGACTGGACTGGACTGGACTGGAGCTGGGCTGGGCTGGGCTGGGGCTGGAGCTGGACTGTATCAGAGACGGGTTACAGGGCCAGTTCCCGGAGCACCGATTGCTTGCTTGCGATAGGGATCGCCGCGAACGATTGCCGAATCACGTGTTTCGTCTTTAGTTGTTTTTTTTTCTCTTTGTTTATTTCATTCATTCTTTTTTCATTCATTCTTTTTTCTTTGCTTCTTTCTTCGTTCCTCTATTTTCTTTGTTTTTCGCGATCGATCAGCAGGATCAGCCATCTGCCATCTGTAGAGCATCTCTGTGCTGAAAAATGTAATCTACCGAGATCGAGCCCCCCTCGAGCCCCCTCCCGACCCCCGACCGTCTCGTGGCCGACTCGTGGCCACCTCGTGCCCGCCCGCCACCTCCCGGTCCTGTCCTTGTCCTTGTCCTTGTCCGGTCACGTTGCGTTACGCAGACGCTCCCTGAAGATCCCCGAGCAATGAGCGCGGTGGCCGCGTGGAAAATACTAGTACGCACTCTGTGATACTGCATGGCGAGAGGCCTCGGCGAGCACGCGGTTGCACGGCCGAGTAGAGTGCCGTAGAGTAGAACAAGTAATAGACCACCGTGGGCCGCACGGCGATCGGATAGTATGTAGATTCATTTTCCACGCAATACACTGCCGTTCCGGTACCGGTATGATCCCACGGTGGATTACAGCTCTTCCTCCCTGCGTCGTCGTTCACGGTTATAAAGTATGTAGATACCAGTGGTGTGGTTTTTTGGAACCGGGAGAAGACCGTTCGTGAGATCTGTATGGCTCCCGTCGAGGAACGAGGTGGCTGCTTTGTGCTAAGCTTGGGTGGTTGGTTTCGTTGCTTCGTGGCTTCACGGCTTCGCGGCTGAGGGGCTTCGTGGGTGGCGGTTTGATGTATACGACGATACGGAGTATACTAGCAGTATAGTACAATCTACCCCACAGATTGCCTGTGAGGAATATTTACTAGTACCGTGCCCATAGGCTGTTCCACTCTAGGAGTCTCGGTATCTTGAAGCATCAAACGCCACCTGTGTCACGTAGGTATCTAAACTTTACTCTCGTTTTTTCCCCCAGGCGAGACTCGAAGGCTGAAGCCACTGCAGTAGCCGGCAGTAGTTGATTGGCATGGTCGTATTTGATTTTCGACACTATGCACTCTACCCCACTCTATCTACTCTGCCGGTATTCCAGGCACTCTACCCATACTCTAACCAGTAGATCCCCCAGCCCAACCGCCTGCTGCGGCCTCGATGCCCGCCAATTCGCACGTAGAGTATAGTAGAGTACCGAATGTATGTATAAAGTAGTAGATAGTAGTAGATGCTTCGCAGCCCGGTAGATGTCGAGATTCGTTACTTGGCGAGAAGGATTCAGTGTTTGTTGGCGTTCAACTATGGTTAATAGTTAGCATGTATGCACTCCATGCTGATTCCTAGCCGAGCAAAGCAGGTTTGCAGAACGTTCGCTAGAGTACTCGAGTAGTTACTGCGGTAGCACTGGTAGGTACTACAGCACTGTGCAGGCCCGGGGCAGAGAGCAGCGGGTACTCTCCATACATACAAACAGCAATCAACTACCACCCACCCCCACTGCTAATCTCAGGCACGTCCGCGCCGAGCACCTGGCCGTGTTGTCTACCTGTGCCTCCCGTTCCCCGATGACGGCGTGCGGGCCGCGGCCTTCGTCGTCGGCGGCGCTAGTCGTGCTGGTCAGTTGACGCCGTTCACGCCATCTTCGGGTCGTCAATGGTCATGCCTTCCTCGTCGGTGTCGCTGCTCTGAAGTACCCACCTATCTACCTGACAAGACCGCTGAGGGGCACTGGTTGACGGTGTTCACCGAACGACAGACCGACAGACGGCTTTGGAAGGATTCGTCTTCGTCGTCCGTCGCCCGGCCATCCGAGTTACATCGCGATACCTCGTGTCTAGACTCCACATGGCGACCTCGTTTTGGCGCAACCCCCCCTCTGGCTGGAAGCGAGAGCGAGAACGTCCGGTTAACAATATTGACATTGCGGGGAGTAGCTCCAGCCCTGCAGTGATCCGCCTAGTTACTAGTACCCGCACTTACCCCATACTAGAGTAGTTACCGGCTGTCTGGTGCGCGTTCCGGAGCGCTGGTGGCGCCTTCGTCCAATACCCAGGTGTTCACCTACGAGTGAGCATCTGGAGACTGGTATGCATGACGGCGCTGCCCCGGTGACGGCTGGATAGGTAGGCTGGATACCGTAGGTATCTCCTGCATGCCGCTTTGCGGCTGTTGTAGGGGTCTACATACGGTACTTGGAAGTTGGGTGCTTGCTTGGGATATATATGCCGGAGCATGATAATCTAGATTCTATGGGTCCTCAAAGGCTCAAACCCTCCGAGACCCGGGTGGAATGAATGGGGATCTTAGCGTACGAAACTCTGGGTGCTGATTGGATATCTCTGATTGGTATCTATGGGGTAAGTAACTACTCTGGATGTTGGTCGGGCAATAGGCTACGGTTGGAGTATCTATGCATACGCTTGCAAACATCACCACCACCAGCAGCAACGGCAGCAACGGCAGCAGCATGAGAATGCGGAAGAAACCGAGCGGGCGTACACTACTCTACTACCGCGGCGGGAAAAACACTTCTCCTGAATGAAATGGAATGGCAGGATTGCGGCAGCGACGGTCTTGAAGAGTCCGACACGATCTTTGCCCGTGGAAAGAAGAATCATACGAACTTTCCACCATAGACCTTCCAATTCACCCAGCAGTTCACCCACCATGCCACTGGGTGGGGGGAACTCAAGCTACTCCATACGAACGGGCTCACGAAACCATTTCCATTTTCCTCTTCCACCGAGGTAGAAAAGCAACGGCACTTGGAGTACCTATCCGTACATTATCGGTGCATACATACGACCAGCCGCCCGTCCGCGACTCCGTACAAGTACCGCATGTATTGTACGCAAGCATACCGACATCCCAGCCATCTATGATCTCGATTCTCGTGCGCCATCCAAGCCATCAATGATCAACTTGAGCCATCCATTTCCACGGTGGTCTCCTTTCCTCTCCCTCTCCTTCTTCGTCCACCAGGTATGCAGCCGGCAAGCAGACTGCGTGGGGGCGGGGGCGAATGCCGTTCCTCCAGTGGCCAGTCATCCACACGGGAGAGTCTGAGACATCGTGTTCGCCTCGGTTCCTCCTCTTCTTCTTTTTGTTCTTCTTCTTCTGCTTCTTCTTCTTCCCCGCCTCCGTCCAGCACCCCACTCGTTTACTCTACACTGTAGGCACCGTACCCAGCAAGCCACGCATAGGAGGAGTGGGGGTGGATCATCTTCAAGTTTGTGTGTGCATATATGTGGGCGTGTGTGTGTTTGTGTGCGTGTGGCGGTTATTCGCCTCCCCCGCATCCCCCGAGACATCGCGGAGCTTGTGTACATCATCTCAAGCGCCCCGAGCACAAAGCTGCCCATCAGGGCTTGATCAGGGCTTGTTCATGTTGCATCTCCAATCCCTGAGCGGGCCTCGGTTTCGCGAGTACGCTATGCACAATTAGTCTGTGGTAACTACCGTACCTAGGACTTGACGCCCGATCCACGGGGGGTGGGGATGGAGTAAGTGATGCTCCGACCACCCGAGTGTCTCGCTCTGCCCGGGGATCAAATCTCGGGCTGGGCCGATCGGCTGCGCGTGTACTCTACGTTATCCGATCTGCTGGCGGCGATGCGAGTGTCCCCATCCGTGGCCGGTCGGCGGTTGGCGTGGGGTGATTGTTGGGTGCTGTCGGCGACTCGGCGGTCGGCACGAGCGGACCCACTCACTCACCCCCCTCCCACCCCCCGGAAGATCGGGAAGGGGAGTGGATCCCACGTCGGAGGTAACTAAGGTATCTAACGATTCACGGGTTCTCGGCAACACGAACATGCACACCTCCACCTCCACCAGTGATCGGCGCCATCTAGAGTACTCAGCTAGCGGGTCATCCTGCCCGATCCGGTCATGAAATCTCCCTCGTCCCTCGTCCTCAGCTTTCAACTTCTTCCTTCGATCAGGTACATACTTCGCACGCAACGCACGCACGCAATTAAGCAGAGCATTGGAATACACGCAACACGAAACCGCACGAAAAACTGCACTTCTATCGGCCAAACACTCAAAGCAAAAGCAAAAAAGCAAAGCAAAAAGCGGACACTAGACCATCATATAGTAGAGCACACTCCACATCGCCGCCCTCCCCTAGCTGCCAACCCCCCCCTCCGATCTCTTCTCCCGCCTACACCTCACCCTCACCAACCCACCTGCCACCTCTCAAGCGCGGCGCCTCATAGATGTTCGCGTAATTGATCCTTCTCCCCGCGAGCTCTCCCTCGGCGCTTAGCCCGCCCTCGAGTGGCGGCCTCCACGCGGGCGCCGCGCCGCCCCAAAAGTCCTTGCAATTCCTGACGATGCCAGCTGAGAACGGGTTCTTCTCGCTGTGTGTCTGCTGCCCGCCTCCGGCGGTCCGCCAGAACACATCGACGCCCAACAGCTGCTTGGTTTTCCGCCACCAGCCCTCGTCCATGCGGCTCGAGATGGATGCGGCGGGGTCCGGGCCGCGCGCGGACGGATCGAGTGCGGCGCCGCTCGTCGAGGTCGACCCCGTCGTGATCGCTGTAGCGAGTGCGGTGGTGATCTTGTCGCGGCTGCCGTGGTGGTGGTGCCCGTGGTGCTTGGATGAGGTCATGCTCTCGTAGGTGGTCTGCGCTTTGGCGATCTGGATGAGTTGCACGCAGAGGAGCATGGTAACCCACGTGGCTTGTAGCGAGCCCCAGATGCTGATGTAGAAGGTGAACGGGTCTTGCCAGAGAGGTGCGCAGAATACTTCCGAGAGGAGTGCACAGATTGGCGGGGTATCGGGGGGTGGGAGGAGCTGCGCGTGAAGGAGCACCAGCCGCACCAGGAAAAAGATGCCAATTTCCAGACTGAAGATGTAGAGAAAGAATTGGCGGTGGTTGGCGATGCCTATGCAGTTGAAGACCCAAGGGCAATGACTGTAGGGGTTAGCAACGGAGTGACAGATGGTGACGGGAGTGCTCACTGGTCGTGTTTGGCGACACAACGGTTACAGCGCTTGCAGTGTTTACTTCTGAGCGGCATCCGCAGCATGCACTGGACGCAAAAGTTCTGATCGTCGTATTTCCAGAGGCCCAGCAGTTCTTCTATGACCTGCTTTTGCTCATTGAGACCCGATGGTTTCGCCACGAATCCCGGGTCATAGGCCATGCAGATGGCATGGAAGTAGAGACAGCCACCGAAGAAGATAAAGAAGAAGAGATTGCTGAATGGTGCGCTCCAGAATGTATCTGTTTGGAAAAAATCCCCGCTGTTAGGGCTCTTGTATTGACTAACCACGAGGATAAAAAGACAGACACACTTGGTAATATTGCCCACATCCACCGAATTCCAATCCAAAACGCCGTGCCCGTGAATATCCCGGCCAGATATGGAGTCCTATGTATCGCTTTCTGTCCTGGCGGTGCCCACTGTAGTGCGCGCGTCGCCACCCAGTGCATCCCACCCGCCACCACGATCGCCGAGGGGACCGCAATGAACCACTCAAAGCAGACACAACACTGCACGAATAAAAACACCTGTAAAAACGGCCACAGAAAAAAGAATCTTTTCAGCGCCGCCTCCCGGTCCTGCACGTGGATCCCAAACAGCGTATTTGGCTTATGCAGTGGGTGTCCGTTGCGGTCGAATCCGCACTCCTCGAGCGCATCCCACCACGCCTTCTCGGTCTTGAGCTCCCCCGCCACAACACTCGGTGTCTTCCCCTCGTTGTTCGGTGCAAACCTGTCAACCCCGTACTCCAGCAGCTTCTCGATGCACGTGTAGTTCCCCCGTACCAGCGCCCAATGTAGCGCTGTGAAGCCCTGCTCGTCAACCGCGCGGATATCCGCACCCCACCTCAGAAACATATCCACACACGCCGGATAGCCCTTATAAGCTGCCCACATCAAACTTGTATGACCCTGGGGATCCAGCGAGTCCACCGGTATTCCCTGATGCAGCAGTAGTACCAGCAGCAGCACATTCCCGTCGAAGGTGGCTAGGTGCAACAAGTTATAGCCGGAATCGTCCACCATCGATGTGTCGGCACCGCGCGAGAGGAGTAGGTGTACAATGTAGTGGTGTCCGCGCTGCGCGGCCCACATCGCCGCCGTCGCATCGCTATCCCCGCCGTGAGCGTTCGGGTCCGCGCCCTCGTCGAGCAACAACCTGACGGCGGCGTAGCGGTTATTAATCGCGGCCCACTGTGCCCACATCAGTACGCATCCACCGACGCATCCCTCGCACATGAAAGGTGGCGCACATGTAGCGGTGTAATCCCGTCGGCATCTCTAAAATCCGCCGAGACGCCGGAGTCCAGCAGCGCGCGTAGCCCAAACTCGTCGCCGTGCATGGCCAGCTTCATGATATCGTCCTTGAGTGCCAGTTCGGGCGGCGGGCCGGCCGCGATCATGTCTCGGAGCTCGACCTGCTCCATGTCGACCGACGCCGGCGCCGCACTCGACTTCTGCGAGACAAACATCGGCGGCTTCGATGAGCTTCCGGGGTTGGGTGCCATCGCGATCGGGGGTGCAGCTTTGAAGTTTGGGTGACGTGGATGGTCCGTGGGGAGTGCGTTTCTTTCTTCGAATCCCGGAGGGTGATGGGAGGTCCGAACGTGAGATGAGCGGATCCACGGTACGATACGGTAGCTTGCGCGTTCGTGTAACCTCGAGCTAGGCAGCCAAGATTACAGTTGGGCACCAGGTAAAGGAAGCAGGGTCCTCGACACCCGCCACCGCCACCGCCACATGGGCTTGAAGATTCGTGCGGCGGCCGTATTCCAGGTACATGTTGCCTGGAAGATTACTTTACAACAGGCACAGGTTATGGAAACCTCGTCGTCAAGTGGTAAGTGATGGCCATTCTGGATCGAAGATTACTTCACCTGGGGTCACTCGCTATTTCGATAGTTCAGGGCACCTATCGATTCTACACTGACAACAATCCCCCAAGTTCCCAGTCATCTCTCCCATTCAGTTCAGTCCACGTAGCCCCGTCAGCTCCGCTCCAAGCGATATCCTCTCCTTTCGAATTCGGGGTCGTCTTCCCCTAAAGACTTATCCGACAGTTGCAATCAATCCATCGGTATGTGGGTCAAGAGAAGGCAACAGTGCAGCGGAAGTGAATCATTCGGGACTTGAGAAAAGTAACCGCAAAACTTCACCGAGAAGTCGGCTCATATGTTTGGTGGAGAACTACGAGTACACAAAGCACACTACTCATGATCCATCAAAATCTCAAAATACAGACGTAGTTAGAAGAAGCAAATTTTCATGCCCATCTAGCTAATCTCTGACCAGACTGCAAATGTTTATTAAGATTTTATCGCTAATGCGACGTAGGTAGATGCTCTGATGCACATACAGGCTTACTCGCTGGTTTCCTTCTTGGCCGCCTTCTTCTTCTTCTTCTTGTCGGCCTTAAGAGGGAGTGCGAGGAGCTTGAGGAGCTCCTCGTCTTCGATCTTGTGCTCGCTCGTGATTTTCTCCAGGTCGATCGGCGGGGGGGTCGCGATCTTAGTGATTCCGGTCTTGAGGATGGCTATGAAGAAAGTGTCAGCGGATGCGCTCAACTTATCTCAACTCAAACTTACCAATAGTGACGTAGATCCTGCTGACCAGCGCACCGTCCTTGTCTCCCAGAACCTCGTATTGCCGGAGGATGTTGCTTCTCTGGCACTCAACGACACCCATCTTGGCGGTCCTCTCATCCGAGAGCTGTCTCAGACCGAAGGGGAAAGTGCCGAATTTCTTCTGGATCTCGTTGTAGGTCTTCCTAGCCGAATCGCGCTTGAGCGAAGTCTTGGTATCGGTCTTCTTGAAGAGAGTTGCGCGCTTTCCGGCAATCTCCTTGACCTTTCCGGAGCCCTTCGACAGCCACATCTCGACACCCCAGACGTCACCGACCTCAGGTGCGCCCTCGGACTTGGCCATGTTCTCGCCAGGCGACAACACGAGCTTCTTCTTTCCCTCGATCTCGTTGCGCTCGATCTGGAACGATGTGGTCGACTCGACGATCTTGCATCCGTACACCTCGGCGATCTTCTGGATGGTCTGAGTGATCGCGTGCGACGTGGGGGGCTTGTAGGGCTTCTCCTCGGTGTTGGAGGGGTGCACTTCGGCGGGGAGCATCAATCGGAGCAGAGCTTCAGTAGCATGGTGTGTGGCCACGAGAAGATCGCTCTGCTCAGCATTGGGGGTTCCGACAACGATAGTGTCCGACACGATTCCGGGGAAACCGTCGATGTGAGCACCAAGCCTGCGTTGTTGCGTCATCAGCAAATGTGCGTCGAATATAATGATCCGTTCCGCATGAGCACTGACTGGATCTTGAGGATATCACCCTCCTTCACGGCGACGGCAGCCTCGGCGATGTCGCTAGCAATGGGGGTGTAGGGAGTAAGGATCTCGTTGGGCGATACAGTGGTGGGGAACGCAATTCCTATCGTACCACACACGGCCACATTAGACACACAGTTTCATCCGTCTCTACCATGCCATACCGCGACTCGCCACTCGAGCCGCAAGTATATTATTGGAAGTTGGAGGAGAAGGTCCGAACCCTTGGAGATCTTCTTTCCCTTGAAGATCTTTGCGGTCTCGGCCTCCAACAACTCATCACCCTTCTGGCACAAGCTCAGGATGGTAGCTCCAGGCACGGCAGCCTTGGTAACCTCAGTGAGAACCCTCAGTGCGATGGCAGCGGCACTGTTGTACTTGGTGAGGGTGTCAGGGTTGTTGAGGGAGTAGTCTTTTCCGATGGAGGATATGTCAGCCTGCAGTTCAATTTGGTGGGGCAGTCTTCAGCAGCCGCAGCAGCTACCCCGCAGCAGCAGCAGCCAGCCATTGGCGTGGAAGAGCGGCGGCAGAAAATCCACGGTAGAACAACATACCAACTTCCTGGGTTGTCTTTGGCTTCTCTTCGGTGTCGGACATGATGAAGTTTTGTTTTGTCGGGGTAGTGGTGTGATTAGGGCGAGAAGTGAAGTATCGCGTTTTGGGTTGGAGCCAGTTTGGTCGATGGAGGTGGGGCACAGAAGAGAGTTCGAGTTCACTGGGGAACGAGTTGATTGAAGCGGGGTTTTTCAAAGTGCCAAGATATATAAAATGTATTTTTCAAGGAGATTTTGACTTTTTTTCTTTCTTCTTTGGCTTGTTGTTTTCCCCATGATGAGTCGATGTAGGGCTCAACATGGCTGGGGGGAGGGGGTCGATGTTGCCGCGTTTGGCCTACCGTCCTACATCATCCAAAGTCGGGCGAAGTCCGGCGAATGCTGGTGTGTGTGGACTGTGCGTGTGTGCGGTCTGTTTTGTGTGGGTGACGTCTTGGACGGACAGACAGGGCACGGTTAGGTAACGAGGTGGTCCAAGTAAGCGACGGCGCCGAATTTAGGTTACTCTTCTCCGGATCGTGGCTGGTGGCCTGGCTGGACGGACCGACGCAGACGAGCCCTGAGCTTGGTATTCGGCAGCACCCGTCGCTTCTCACAACTCGTTATCCCGCTCGCATGTCATGATGAATTCGTTGTCGTTTGCCCTTCGCCGTCAGCCAGTGATCAAATCTCGCTCCGTCCCGATCCCGGGCTCGCTCACTCGACGATTGTCCAGGCCGATCTGCACTAGTCCAGCCACGACCACAGCCACACGAGCAGCCGCCGCTTCCACTAACCAACGCCGACCACGCAATTCCCGCAACGATCCCCGCATCATTGGCACTCTCCAGAGCTGGAACATCGGTCGCTCTTTCTTCTCCACGATTACGACACCAATGGCTCCCATTACCGACCCGAATACGCTGGCCAACCACCATTCCGTGGTCACCGAGTACACCACGATCGATGTAGCTTTGGACTTCAAAGCTTCGTCGGTGTCCGGTGATGCGACGCTGAAGCTCAAGGTGCTGAAGGACGGCGTCGGAGAGGTGGTGCTGGACACTAGCTACCTTGACATCAAGTGTGTGGCGATTGACGGCAAAGAGACGACATGGAAACTCGACGACCGAAAGGAACCATACGGAAGTGCTCTCAGAATAACCTTGACGAACAAGCCAAAGGCTGGAGACTCGATAGATGTCATGGTGCGCACAGCTGATGGGATGAATCCTCTAGTCAACAGATCGCTGATGGCCACAGATTTCGTACAGTACCACCGAGAAATGCACTGCGCTTCAGTGGATGACTCCAGACCAGACCTCCAACAAGAAGCATCCCTACATGTGTACAGCTCCAATTGTTCTCAGATGATGTAGTTAAACTCCGCAGGCATATGTACCTACTTACACCAGGGTGTCAACACAGTCTCACAATGCCAGGCGATCCACGCCCGTTCGCTCTACCCATGTCAGGATACTCCGGCCGTCAAGTCTCCCTTTACGATCTCGATCCGGTCACCTCTCCCCGTAGTCGCCTCCGGACTCTCGACCGGCTCGAAGAAGTTCCAAGCTGGGACACCGGGCACCCTGGTCTACACTTTCCAACAGGATATTCCGATCCCTTCATACCTCTTTGCCGTCGCTTCGGGGGACATCGCGTCCGCATCGATTGGTCCACGATCGATGGTGTACGCAGGACCGGAGGAGCTCCTCAAGTGCAAGACTGAACTTGAGGGCGATACCGAGAAGTTCATCCAGATTGCGGAGAAGTTGGTGTATCCGTATCCGTGGACGACATACAGTGTTCTGATCTTGCCGCCATCATTCCCGTACGGTGGAATGGAGAATCCGAACATCACCTTCGCCACTCCGACGATTATTAGCGGCGATAAATCAAATGTCGATGTCATTGCCCACGAATTGGCGCACAGCTGGAGTGGGAATCTGGTGTCGAACGGATCCTGGGAGCATTTCTGGTAAGATTCCTACCACTAGGTCGACAGGCTGCATGCTGACATTCCCGTGTGTCAGGCTCAATGAGGTAAGACGAACTTTTTGACTATGGATCTCCTGATACAGTGCTGACATCCGCAGGGTTGGACCGTCTACATAGGTAAGTGATCTCAGCTGCCGATTCCTTTTTCTGGTTGGCGCTAAGGTCTCCGAACTCCAGAGCGAAGGATACAGGCTGCCCTCCACGGTCCGCAGTACTTTGACTTTTCGTCTATCATTGGCTGGAAAGCTTTCAGAGAGAGTGTAGAGCTGTTCGGTGCCGATCACGAGTTCACCAAGCTCATCGTCGACCTGAAGGACAAGGACCCGGATGATGCGTTCTCCAGTATTCCGTATGAGAAGGGATTCAACTTCCTGTACTACTTGGATCGCCTGGTTGGACGGGAGAAGTGGGACAAGTTCATTCCGCACGTGGGTGAAAGGACTCTTCAGAGAATCAGATGGCCGACTGACAGGAGAATGAATATAGTACTTCAAGAAGTTCCACCAGAAGTCGCTAACTTCATTCGACTTTAAGGACACACTACTGGAGTACTTCTCATCCGATGCCGAGGCTGCAGCTGCACTGAAGACTGTGGACTGGGAAGAGAAGTTCTATGGTCCCGGCCTGCCTCCCAAGCCGGACTTCGACACCACACTCGTGGATGTGTGCTACCTCCTCGCAGATTGCTGGAAGTCGATAGAGACTACTCAATTCGAGCCCAAGCCATCTGATATTGCAGACTGGGGCTCCGGACAGCTAGTAGTCTTTCTGGAGGCGATCACAGACTTCGAGAAACCACTCACGCCGGCGGTGGTCGAGAAGATGAAGGATGCTTACAAGTTCCTAGACTCGGAGAATGCTGAGATCTTGAGCAGATTCTTGACTGTTGCGCTCAAGGCGAAGGATGAGAAGCTGTACGCTCGCACGGCGGAGGCGTTGGGACAGTGGGGCAGGATGAAGTTTGTCAGGCCACTGTTTAGATTGCTCAATGACTGTGATCGGGAGCTGGCAGTGGCGACGTTCAAGAAGAATGATAACTTCTATCACCCGATTTGCAGGTATGTTTACCCCATGCACCCTGCCCGCGATGGATGCTGACTGTAGTGAAGGGAGGCTGTTCGGAAGGATCTGAAATTGTGATCCGGTTGCGAAATATTCCGACTACGCAGAAAATGCGCATATGGATCGCAAAAATTTGTGTATTTTGTTCATTTACCTTTAGGACTGTACTGTTGTGTTGTAACGTTGTTGTTTCTTGTGTGGCTGCATGGTTGTTGTGGGGACGCCCTTGTTATTGCACTACTGATGTGGTCTAAGTTAAGGTGCGTCTCGGTTGACCTAAACGTCAAACACGAAACCATCAACCCAACAAGGTAGTCCGCTGATCAACATCATCGCACCTCCCCCACCACAATACCCAGCCTGACCCATCACCACCCTCGTTCGTTACCACACCCACTCCGAGACGCCCTCTCTCGCTTCCGTTCCTCCAGTTCCCGAATTGATTCGTGACCCGTACGCGTATCTCATATTCACCTAAAACACACGCGCGGCACAATGGACAACGTCACCGAGCATCCCGCATTCGAGGCTGAGGAGACTCCGGTCGACGGTATGGACGGCCTCGATATGGTCGAATCGATTGCACAAGAGTTGGATCAGGGTCTTGCTGCTGCTGAGGGCAACGACGCCGAGAATGCCGACTCGACTCAACCCCCGACCCAGGAAGCCACCGCTGCGGAGGAACAGGATAGATGGGTTGAGCCGATGGAGGTGGAGAAGAGAATGACGTACATTGAGTGAGTTAGTTGCCTTTTCTTTCGCTGCAATTCAGTTCTGGATGTGTTGTGGGTGGTCGCGGCGTCGGTAGAGCTGGCGTCGGTAGAGCTGGCGTCGGTAGAGCTGGCGTCGGTAGAGCTAGTGTCGTGTAAAACATGTGCTCCGGCTTTGTTGGTTGACTTCACAACCCACACCACGACTACCTCTACCACTACCTTCGCTACCACTACCTTCAAAACCGACGAGTCACGACCCACCACCCCTCAACTTCGATTCTATATGGACACCGCAGATTCCACACAGCCGCCAATCCCCAAAACCCCAAACATGGCTGACATGAATAGCTACCTCAAGTCGCCCGTGATCCATATCATGGTTGGACAGTCGCCACGCGAAACCATACTCTCCGCACACCTTGCGCTCCTCCAGAAGTCACAGTGGTTTGCCGAAGCCTGCTCTAGTTACAGCAATTCTACGCCTCACGACGAACGCATCGTGAAGCTCCCCGACGAGGACCTAGGAGCTGTCGGTTCCTTCCTCGAATACCTGTACGTTGGCGAGTACACACCCCGTTTGCTGCCAGGAGCCTCGGGCAAGGCAGAAGACCAGGTTCTCGAACACACCGACGACTCCCAAGTCGATGAGGCCGGCGACAACCTTCTCAGACACGCCAAGGTGTACACCCTCGCCGAGAAGCTACAGCTTCCGGAACTCAAGCACCTCGCTCACTCGAAGATCCACCGCATAAACTCCACCGCCAAGGGCGAACTACGCTATGCTAAGTTTGTCTACGAGAACACCAGCAAAGACGACGAGACGATCCGCCAGCCCATTGCCAGCTTCTGGGCCCACCGCAGTAAGTTTAACGCACCTACCACAGCCACATCAATCTAACTTTCGACAGGTCACGTTCTCCGCCACGAGGCCGAAGCGGAATTCAAGGCTATGATTCTTGAGTTCCCCCACTTCGCTTTCGACATTCTGTCGATTGTCCTTGACCAGAAGGAGAAGGGCCGGGAGAAGGATAAGGACCACCATTCCAAGAGCGCGAAGGCTACAGCCGGCGGTCCTGCGGACGACGGCGATGGTCCAATCACCGCCACCAAGACCCCCAGGACCAGCAGAAAGAGACTCAGGATGAGCGTAGTGTAGCGCGGAAACATGTATGAGTCTCTGTATGGAACGGGGGCTATAGGATATGCTTTATTTTCTTTTTCCTTCCCCCGTGTCAACAAGACGACTTTTTTATTTCATCTTTTCTGCTTTTCTCCCGTCTGCGTTTCCGGTAGATGTAGGTGGTGTTGGTCGGGTGGTGTCGGTCGGGTCGCGTGGTCGGCGTTTGTTTGTGTGTGTACTACGCTGGATAACCCTGTTAGGTTCAACTGGTTTTACTTTGCGTTTTCGGATTCAATTTTACCTTTTTTTGCTTCTTACATTCATCGTACATGCCCGGAATCTGGCAGGTTGGAGGAGAAGAGATGATAGTGGAGGTCGGATGTGCAGGGGCTCTGCTCATCGGTGATTGACGATCGACGCTCCGTTCGAGTGCGAACTTGTGATTTCTTGATTTTATGCCCTGTCACCGTGATCAACAGCATGGGCACTCTCAGGGTCTAGATGTACGGATCTACGCCGAGCTACGGGGGTATGGATCGGTGGTGGGGCCGTATGTCGAGAGTCGAGACAGCGGAGGGGAGGGGTAGGATCGGTGGATGGATTGCCTTATGGTAGAACCGGCGGGTCCCAAGTTTTGAGATCACGGCACAACATCACGGTTATCGCCAGCTTCTATCGCGGTGCCACCCACAGGCCAGCATCCGCAGCATTACTGCGAATCCGACTTCCACCAACAGTCAAAATCCAACCCTCTACCTACCTAGGCGGCTTTTCAGGGCGCAACGGGAAGACGCAGCATGCAGATCGCAGCCGCCAGGTGCCGCCGTACCAGACCGGTGAAACGGCCATTGACAGCCGTTGACAGCCGTTGAGTCTTGACAGGTGTCAGGCGGGGAAATAGCTAGCTAGCCATGCTGATGTCCATTGCCCAGTTGGGTCTTGACCCGTGGACTCTGGACTCTGCAGGAGGAGGATTACGTCACTTGGGCGTCGCTTGAGCGGCAATCCAGCGGCAATCTGGCCGTTTGGCCACGTGGTTTCTCGCTGCAGAGTTCACACCGCACCGGTGACCGCTCGAGGAAGTAAGTGTGAAGTGTGAAGTGTGGACGTGGATACAGTACGATACAGTACGGCCGGGACGTAGCTTGCGGGCGGAGGTTTGTGGCCGAGTCATGTGTAGAGTACCGGTACTTGTACGGTACCTGTAGGTACGGTGCCATGCGAGTGCTCAGCATACCTACCGTAGACGAAAGACGAGAGATGATCTACCGATACGCCCCGATACCGTTCGTTTCTATATAGATATGGGAGCTGGATCCAACTTCCAATTGCAGGCCCTCTACACACGGTACGGGAACCCACAGCGATAGGTGCCAGTACCGATCCACCGGATAGCGATCCGATCTACCATGCCCGCGGGAGCGAGCAAACGGGCAATTTGAGCAGTACCTACCAGTCTGAAAGCCGATAAAGTCCCCGAACCGCCGCTGGCTGTCGCTCATTCGATCTCGCTCATTCGATCCACTTGGCAACGCCATCTACGGTAGGCAAGGCCTAGCGACCCGCTGCTGCGGGATTCCGTGGCCCAGTGACTTGTCCACGGCCGTACTCACCACGGTAGTCTACGAGTAGTTACAACAACCGTAAGGCTGGCGTGGCGTCGACAGTCGACTCCCGGTTTCAAAGTTCAACGAACGAGCGGGATGGACAAAACGTACGCGGCGTCGGAAGTTCGGAACCCGTGGTGGAGCACCTTTCCGCTGCGGTGCTCCCCACCATCGCCGCTTCCGCAGAGCGGATTTTACCTCCCGGCTCCCGCACACTCGGCCGCCGAGTGACACCCCATGCACCTGCTTAGCCAAGCACTCGCTCGTCGGGAGTCGCAAAGCTGAAACACGCATTCCAATTTGAACATGTCAGAACTCTACGCGGCCGCCCCCCGTCCCCGTCCCCCCCCCCTGCAACTGCGATAGCCTACCACAAGCGGTAAAGCGGGTAAGCCGCAACGCCAACGCCAACCAACGCCAGTCAACCAACGCCATCCAACGACAGCCAACGGAGCACAAACTAACGGAGCCCCAACCGATCCATGCACGATGGATGTGTAGATATGATAGGTACCCAGGTGGGTGTCTATCGATCCGATCCGGTTGCTCCCCGAGGCTTGGGTCCGGCTTGGGTCCGGCGGGGGGTTCGGGATGCCGAGGAACTGACCGCGGCCGACACGGACAGCCTACAGGCGTGCATCGCTCTTGGACTCTGAAGAAGTATTCTGCAGGCTGGTTTCGACTTGAGTACTGTGTGGAATGTAGGTACTTATGCACATGGGAGGTACTCTACGGTATGCACATTGCACGCACGCATGCATGCACGGGGATTGGGGAGGGGGAGATGGGGACGGGGGGGGAGGTGGACGGGAGAGGTGGACGAGAGAAAGGCACGGGCATTTTTTCGGTGCGTGTGCGGTGCGTGTGTGCGTTTGCTTTTTTTTTTCCGACGAAAGAAAAAAGTGAGCAGTGAGCAGTGCGAAGGAGGGGAGGGGGGGATGACGTCAACGCGGGGATGGGAGGGGATGAATGCGATGGGTGGGATGGGAGTGTGGTCCGGTATCCGGAGGCACGATTCTGCTTCGGGAACTGCTAGGGCGGACGGGCTGAGAGGGAGAGAGAGAGAAGGTCGATGCAGATGCCGACGGCAGAGAACTGAGGGTTTCGTACCGTCGATTGGACGGGATACATGGTAGACCCATCACGTGCTCGGGGGTTGTCGGATGCTCTGGGTACGGCATCGTACCGGGGAGTACTTACCTGGTAGAGAGGAGATGCCTCTACATATCGGTAGGCCACAACATTAGAGTTCGGTGCGGTGTGAATCGTCAAGCAGTAATCACCTGCTCGGAAACTATCGTCGGGACCTGCCGACCGCCAGCTCCAACGCGACACGCATCCGATATATATTCCATCGCATTGTTTAAGCGCGGGAGTGGATGACTGCAAAGTGCAAACCTGCCCGTTTCCACTCTCACGGGGAATGTGTGTTTTACGATCCAATCATGGTTGCGGACCACTCTTCCGTCCCCGCCAAAGGAGGGTTGCGAACTTGGGGGGACCACGAGCGCACGGACGGAGAGGCAAGCCTTTACCGCCTGCTGCAGCTAGACTCTAGCTGGACCGAATGCTCCCCTCTAACTACTCTAACCACTCCCGTTCAGACCGCGATAGCCAGCTCTCCTCTACGACGAGCTACATGCGGTAACAAACCAACTCCACACCTCCTACTCTAATTCGCACGTAAGACGCTTTACCAACACGCATAGGTAGCACACGACGATTGGCAACCGCAATCCCCTCTACCACCACCATTACCACCACCACCATTACCACCACCACCATTACCACCACCACCACTACATACCACCACCGCCATCATCATCAGGCACCGGCATCATAACCGTGGCTTGTTCCCCTCGCATTCTTTCACCGCATATCGCTGTTGCCATCCCCGCCCCTCCCCCTCTCCGCATATCCCTTGTCTGTCGGCGGTTTGAGGCTTCCCTTCCCGCCCGCCTTCTGCAACCCGTAACCTCGAACACACGGCCTTCCTCTTACCCTGCTTCGGCACATCAATCCGCTCCGCTTTGTTTGTCTGTTCTGTCCCTCTCTCCGCCCCCCGCCTCCCTCCCCCCAGTCTTGCCAGTCTTCACACTCCGCGCGGCCGCGCATCCCAATCCTACTCGAAGGAGGTATACACCCACACTGCCTACCCAAAGTATCCATCACCACGCGGTCCACTTCACTTCGCCTCCGAAAAGAAAGAAAACCCAAAAAGACAATAACTTCTGTCCCCACAATCCCCACAAAATCCTAATTATCGTTTCATCCTGCCACACACATATCATCGCATCATCACATCATCACATCCACCAAAAGTTTTTCTTCCGCTGCAGGGCCTACATACGAGTCTTCGACTGGAGGAAGGAAAAAAGGAACAGGGGACACACACATACACAACAACCCCCTTGCGCACACATATTCCCGTCCACGTTCGTTCTATTCTTGGGAACTCTCTCACGGACGAGTACGTAGCACTGCTTCTTCTACCCGTGCGGACTGGACTGTCTGTCTGCCCACTTGTTACCACTGCTCCATCCCCTACAACAGAAAAGAAGCCGGGTGGGAGTTTGTATATCCAACAGAAGAAGAAGAAAAAGACGAAGAAGAAGAAGAGTCTCGAACTACCGCAGACTAGACGGAGATACTCTAGCTCCACCGTCACGTGCTACTGACTGGGATTGTTGTGATATCGAGAAGCGGGAATGAGAGCGAGCTCCGAGACACCACACCCCTAACGATCCAAGAAGCAAAACAAGTGGCTTGACTCTTCGATCTATCTACTCTACTCTCTCTCTACCCTGCCCGCTATCTCTCTCTATCGAAATATCTTGTCACCGAATACTTCACTTGCATTCCTACCACCACCACCACCACCCAACACCTCCCTCCCCGTGTAGGTCCCGAAGCGGCTGCCCCCGGCTATCCGCCTTCCACTCGACTGCTCCCTCCCCGTGCCCGCACTATCGCCCAGTTCCCACCCCTAGCAAGCACACCCACCGTGCTCGATACCATACCCCCCCCCACCCTAAACCCCCCAACCCGCCCACCATTCAGTCTTCACCCCCGCAACCAGATCTAGAGAGGCCCGGCAGAAGAGGAAGCACCAGTGCTAGCAGTAGCAGTAGCAGTAGCAGTAGCAGCACCCCAGAGCCCACGGAACGATGCAAAGATAGTGCCCAGGACCATCAACTTCAGCCTTCTCCGAACCGAAGACGACGAAGACGGCGCCAGAACACCCCCCCTCCCACTTCACAATCACTCTCGCTCTTGTCCCCTCCCCCTCCTCCTCAACTCCCACAACCCCCACCCACATCCATACTCCCTTGTCTCTTTCAAGGGACACCCTTCGCAACCACGCATTCGGAGCATCGTCACAAACGGCGGCGTACTGCTGATACACCGCCACCGCCCCCCCATCCTTCAGGTCGCCGAGGACAGATGTCCGCCGGGCCCGTTTCATCGGTCGGTTCCAGCGCCCCCTCGCAACCACAGTCGCAACAGCAACAGCAACAACAACAGCCTTATCCGCCACCACAGGTCTCCTCCCCGCCCATACCATCGCCAAGAACTAGTCGCATCCTGAGTGGTCATCAGTTCTCGTCCGCATCATCGCCGGCCTCCTCCAACGCTACTCCGATACCCGTTCTCGTGAGCGGGTCGGTGAACGCAGCAACATCCCTCGTGGGTCAACTACTGAGCGTGGCCGGGAATGCGGGGTCGGGAGGGGCAACGCCGTATGGAATGATAGTGTCTGCCGGCACCGCCGCGGCGGTCCCTCCACCGCCGGAAGGTCCCACTGAGGACACTGCCCCGCCTGGTGCTGAGGTGGGGAGTATCCAGGTTTTCGGGGAAGAACAATCGGAAGTCCCATCGCAACCGTCACCCGAGTTACGGCGAATGGATAGCACGAGCTCGGTGCCCTTGGCCGAGAAACCGACGGCAATAGATGCCACCACCCCGATGCAACCACTCGAAATCAAGATTCCAGAGGTGACCGGATACACCGATCTAACGCCCGTGTATTCGCTCAATCGCATCCATGTATATCGCGCAAAGTCCTCTACCACCGGGAAAGCGGTCATGCTCAAACTGTGCACCGTCAACCACCTGGACACGCTGGCGCGCCTCCGGTTGGAATGGAAGATGCTCTCGGAGACCCCAACCCCGGGTTCCAAGGTGGCCTTTGCCAACACGCCCACGTCGGAACAGTACAGTACCGGATCCGCCACTAGTAACGGCTCCACTACCAGTACCTTCTCGGCCGCGAAGTTAGCCAGCATGCCGAATGTGGTGCGGCCTTACGCGTGGGACTACCTGCAGGACGGCGGGCTCACACTGATATACTCGGACGAACCCACCAATATGACCGTAAGGGAAGCTTTCCTGCCGGACCGAGATGGCAAACCGCATATTCTGGGTACATCACCAGCTCTTTCTCCCGGAGGAGGCCCCGCAACGCCGGCACCGCCGGCCCCAAAGCCTCGCACGCAGTCTGACCTGATCAAGATCCTAACCGCGTTTTCGTCGGTCGTCGGAGTGCTGGATTGTGCGCACAGAGCTGGGGTCACTCACAACAACATCAACACCTTCTCCGTCATGGTGGCGCGAGCATCGAACAGTACTGGTATCCAGGGGAAACTGGGAGGATGGCATCTGGCGTCGAGGCTGGAGCGTCAAGAGTTGGGTAGGAGTGCCAACGGTGCGATGTTGAGGGGCGAGAATCCTGCGCCGCTGCAGTACATTGCTCCGGAGTGTACCGGAAGGATGAACAGATCAGTAGACTATCGGGCGGACTTTTATTCCCTTGGTGTTGCGCTCTACGAACTTGTCGTAGGATTCTTGGTAGACCCCTAGTCACATGTTTATTTTTATTTATGCCTGCTAACTTTTGGGGTGCCGCAGCCGTTTCGGTCTGCTGAACCGTTAGGTACGTCATCAACGATCCCTGGCCCCCGTCTTGACGTTCTTGATTTTCCCCCAAAAGGCAAAGGCCCCCCCACCTCAAAGATAAGGCTGATGATAGATCCGTTTTCTAAAAAAAGAATTAATACACATGCACATCGCCCAACTTCCAAGACCCCCATCCGAAGTCAATGCTTCGATCCCGACAGCTATCTCTGACGTTGTGATGAAGCTCCTACAGAAGAACGCCGAAGACAGATATCAGACAGCGTCGGGCCTCAAGGCGGATCTCGATCTTATTTGTCAGTTGCTCTCTGAGGGCAAGTCACTGAAAGGGGTCAATATCGGTCAGCTGGATACGACGTCGCAGTTCGTGATTACGGAGAAGCTATACGGGCGGGAAGAGGCAGTTGCGGAACTCCACTCGGCGTACAAAGATTGTGTGAGACATGGCGGATGCGTTTTGGTGACGGTGCAGGGTGGTTCCGGTGTCGGAAAGAGCAGATTGGTGAATGAGATTCAGCGGCCGGTGGTGGAGAATAAAGGGTTCGTTGTGGCTGGTGCTTTCCCCGCTTGGCCGGCCGTGATATGGGACTGAGTAATTGTCTTTGGGGCAGATTCTTCACAACGTCGAAGTTTGAACCGGACCAGAAAGGAATCAGCTTGTTCACCTTAATTCAGACACTGCAGGACTTGATACGCCAGGTGTTGTCGGAGCCACCACAGAGCCTTGCACGATGGCGGACAGAAACGATCAGAGCGTTCGATGGCGACGCGGCGGTACTCATCGACGTGATCCCCGAGCTTAAGTTGCTTCTTGGGCCGGATTTCAAGGTGGAGCCGTTGGCGAGCCTCGGGCCTGTCGAGCGGGAGAGTCGGTTTCGGGATGCTTTTGGGAGGCTGCTCGCCATATGTAAGCTAGGGATTCTCGGGTCATCTGGTGCTGGTTGCGGCCTACTGACGACCTGGTGTGTGTGTGCTACAGTTGGCCGCAAGGGCGTGGTCATGTTCTTGGACGATTTGCAATGGTGTTCGCAAAGCGAGTTCATGCTGATCGCTAACATCGCCGAGGAGGCAAACAGAAAGATGCGCGAGTGGGATGGGTCATCTGTGGATACTCCGACAGGCGAACCCAATTCGGCGGATGGGCCTCCTCGTAACGGCATGAGACAGAGTAATGGCCCATGGGATCGGGGTTGGCAAGCCGTTCCTCTTGTTCATCTATAATCATGCCTACCACTTTCTATCTGGCGGGTATACGCGATAACGCTAACCATGGTGTGTGTGTCCCGGTTCTAGGTATCTTCATATTGGCGGCGTTTAGGGATTCGGAAGTGACGGAGGACCATCCGCTACTGGGAATGCTGCAGTACATTCGTGAGATTTCGGTGAAGGTGGTTGATCTTCGACTCGAACCGCTGAGCCAGGAGTCGGTGCGCCGCATCATTGGGGACACGCTATTCCGGGATCCGTGTTCGAAGCGCGTAAGGGAGGACTCGGAAATGCAGACTCTGGTGGAATTGGTGTACGCAAAGACCCAGGGAAATCCATTCTTTGTTGTTCAGTTATTGAAGAGTTTGCACCGAGGAGGCCATATCGTGTTTGATTTCCGTGAGAACGAGTGGAGATTCGATCTCACGACCCTTGTAGGTTTCGGGTTTCGGCGGTCAAGGTGTGCGGCACTGCTGACGAATCTTCAGGAACCAGACGACCTGCCGCCGACCGTGGTGGATTTGCTGGTCAAACAGATGCTTAAGCTCAGCGATGACACACGGACAGCGATGATGCTGGCGTCTTGCATCGGAACCGAACGGATATCTCTGCGCACGCTGGCTACAGCCGCGGGCAAACGAATTGAGGAGACGGCAAACGACCTCTGGGGTGCTCTGGATGCTGGTCTGATCCTCCCGACGGGAGGAAACTACAAGATTCACCTGGCCCTGGAAGGAGCGAGGCCCGGGAAGCTGGACGGTGGCGGAGCATATCCGGACCCGGACGAGAATGGGCGGAGGCATAACGAATTAGCTGGAATCCCGAATCCGGATGAGGAGGATGCGACGTACAAGTTCCTGCATGACCGGGTTCGTCAGGCAGCTTACAGCCTCATCCCCCCCGGAGAGCAAGCTGGGCTTCATCGCATGGTGGGCATGCGAATGCTGGAGAGAGCGACGGAGGAGGATCTGGATAGTAGCACGGTTTTCGAGGTTGTCAATCAGCTCAACCACTACCTGACACCCTTGGGACCCTCGGAACGGAGAGTGCTTATGGAGCTTAATCTGAAAGCCGGGAAAAGGGCGCTACTGACCCCAGCGTTTGCTACCGCGCTCAGCTACTTTCAGATTGCCAAGCGAGTTCTCGGCGATGCGGAGATGGAGGACGACGCTTGCCGGCATAATCCCGTGAAGCGGCTGTCGTTTGGTTTCAACAATACGGTGTCGTTTGGTCAGAATAACCTTCTGACGCTGAAGCCCCGCCCGGATAACCGCACCCTGGATGAACTTGGCACCGAGATTAACATTTCCCTCATGGAGGCATACTTTGCTGACGTCAAATACGCCGAGTCCATAAAACTGGCCGAGGATATCCTACCGACATGCAGCCAGAGTAAGGACAAGGTCCGGTGCCTCATCAACAAGATGAACTGTCTACTTATTCAGGGCAAACTCAATGAGGCTATCGAAGCAGGATTGACTGGACTTAGTATTCTCTCCCGGGAGGTTCCGCTGGACGATGAGGAGGCGAGGAAGCACGCGCAGATGATGAGACCACGGATCCTCCTAGATGTCAAGCAGATTAGAAATATTGCGAAGATGCACGAGATGAAGGACGAGAATCTGCTCCTGCTTCAGGAGATCATTTCGACGCTGCTACTGCCGATCAACATGAGTCGTCCTTCGCTTCTTCCTGCGGTCTGCTTCACCAGTGTGGCCATCACGTTAGAATACGGTATATCCCTGGCTGGAGCGTACCCCGTGCTGATGACTGGTGTCATTCTGGGATCTGAGGCCACGCAGGATAATCTTGCTCGCAGTCACGCCTACGGACAACTCGCTATAAAACTCATCGAGCACAGTCGTACGCGCCACCCGCTGTCTCCCGCGATCTATCAGGTTTATGCTGGCCACATTGGCGTATTCCACCAGCCCATGAGCGATGTTATACGATGCCTCAAGCAGGCGGTACAGACGGGTTTACAGGTGTTCAACGTCGATTACACTACGTTTGCCATGGTGGAACTGACTTCGTTCGGAATGCTGAGTGGGGAGAACCTAAATACGGTTCATTCTAAGATGTCAGCCGCGAGGCCCAACATCCGACGGTTCAAACAGGAGACGGGAATGTGGTGGCTGAATCTGCCACTCCAGTTTTTGCTCAACCTCAAGGGCACCGGGAATCCGGATCCGTTGTGCTTTGAGGGTGAAGCTCTCGGGAACGCGAAGGATCTGGCGAGACTCACGGGATCTGAGAGTCTTAGCCACATCTACATGTACCACATGTTCCGCTTGATCATTGCTGCGATCTACGGACACTGGGATCTTACCGCTACATTGGCGGTTCAGTACTGCCAGCCGCTGTCTGTCTCCATGACGGGAACGTTTTACGTTGGTCTTACGGCGTTCTACTCTTCCGTTGCGTTTTTGAGTTTACACGATGAACTGTCGGAAGAGCAGCGGGAGATCTTGGACCAGAATATCGTCTGCATCAAGGAATGGGGTATCCGGGCGAAGGCTACGTGGCTGCATAAGAGTGTGCTCTTGGAGGCCGAGGTGATGCGGATATCCGATTGCACGCAGCAGTTGCAGATCCTGGATTGCTACGATCGTGCGATTTCCCTTGCGAACAAGAGCGAGTTCGTCCACGACGCAGCTCTGATCAATGAGCGCTGCGGTAGCTGGTTGCATGACATCTCGAAGAGGCGTGCCGCGCCGTACCTCCAGGAGTCGTATCGCTGCTACAACGCCTGGGGCGCCACGCATAAGGCCAATGAGCTGAGGAAGCAGTTCTCGGAAGAGTTCACGAACCTCAGGGAATCGAGGCCGGCGATTTTTAGGAATCCGAGCGAAAACACTATCCGGGATACGCTCGTTGCGCAGTCGCCGAAGCAGAGTCCGAGGGTTTCGAGGATCACTGTCGAGGCGAAGGATTATGGATTCGAGCCGTACTTACCGCAGGGCCCGTTGTCGTCTGGTGGCGGGACTGGTGGTATGAGAGATATCTTCTCGGCGTCGGATCAGCACGATGATGAGGCGGCGTCGCACTGCTCCTCGATACGGAATAATGATTCGTCCCTGGGGTCGGAACTGGACTTCCGGACGGTGTTGAAAGCGAGTTTGGTCATCTCCGAGGGCATCCATCTCGAGGAGGTTATTGTGAGCCTCATGAAGAGTGTGCTGCAGACGGCCGGTGCGGATTATGGCGTTTTGATCTTGCAAGAGGATGGGCAGATCTTGCAGGAGGATGGGCAGCTCTTCGTCGAGACGGTTGGATTACTCGACGAGGTGAGTATTCTCGAGCACGAACCACTACATAGTCGCCCGGATCTGGTCCCGATTTCGGTCATCAACATCGTTGCCAGCCTGGGAAAGCAGATCCTGCGCAGCGGCGACGACTCGAAGTTCGAGCTGACGTACGGGAGGGATATCTACTTCCGTGGCAAGAACCCGAAGAGTGTGCTCGCCATGCCAATCCAGAATCAGCTCAAGACCATGGGCGTGCTGTACCTGGAAAATAAAGTGCTCGGGTCGGCGTTTACTCGCCAGCGGCAGGAGCTGCTGAATCTGCTCTGCACCCAGGCGGCCGTGACGATCGATAAGGCTAGGCTGTACCGCCAGATGGAACTTGCGAAGAAGGCGGCTGAGGAGGCGACGGAGGAGAAGTCGACTTTCTTGGCGAATGTGAGTTTCTTTCTGAGTGGGTAGTAGTGAGATGTGCTGATTGGGTGGTGTAGATGTCTCATGAGATTAGAACTCCGTTCAACGCCTTGCTGTCGTGCTCGATCTTCCTGATGGATACTGCCCTTACGGACCAGCAGAAGGAGTACGTCGAGACGATTCGAAACTCGGCGGTTCTCACCCTGCAAATCATCGATGGTATTCTGGATATCTCCAAGATCGAGTATGGAGCGATCGACCTGCAGAAGTCCCCATTCTCGCTGCGAGACTGCGTCGAAGGAGCTTTGCTGCTGGTTGCGGAACCGGCGGCCACGAAGGATCTGGAACTGGCGTACCGGAATAAATGCTCCAACATTGAGTTTATTGTCGGCGACATCACCCGCTTCCGGCAGTGCATCATCAATCTCATCGGTAACGCGGTCAAGTTCACCCAGGCCGGATACATCGTCGTCACTTCTCAAGCGCAGCAGCTGCCTAACGACAGTCGGTGGAGGATCAGTGTCTCGGTCAAGGACACGGGTATTGGTATCCCAGAGAGTGCGTTCAGCAGACTTTTCAGGGCATTTTCGCAGGTTGATACCTCGACGAGAAGGACGTATGGTGGAACCGGTCTTGGACTTGCCATCTCGAAGAAACTGGCGCTGATGATGGGCGGCGATATTTGGTTCGAGAGCGAAGAGGGTAAAGGCACCACTTTCCACTTCGCAATCGTCGCCGAAGTCATGCAGAAGGTCTGGCATACGGATCCGAGGCTCGAGGGACGGAAGGCGATCGTTGCCGATGCGCACAAGATCTCGTCGCATATCCTGGCAGATGAACTGGAGGTTGAGGGGTTGAAGGTCACCAGGACCAGCACCTATGAATCAACACTGGAAGCACTGCACAGCAATGGGAAGGGATTCTTCGATGTGGCACTGGTGGACCTGTCGGTCGACAATACCTACAACATCTTTGAGAAGTTCCACACCTTCGATCCCAACATCAAAGTCATCCTCATGTCTCGCTTCGGTGCCACGATTCCTGCGCACGTCCTCGACAACCAGTGCTCGGTATCATTCGTGCGCCCCGCACCGCGGAAGCGCTACGTCTCAGCTGTCCATGACGCGCTGAACCCACAGGCGAAGAAGCTAGAGATGAATACCAAGAAGCCGGAGCTGGAGCTGCTGAAGACGTTGTCGACTAGACACCCACTTAATATTCTCCTCGCCGAGGATAATCCGTTGAATACGAGGGTTGCATTGCAGCATCTGAAGAGGATGGGGTATTCCGCGCAGCATGCCAAGGATGGGATCGAGGTGCTTGAGCTGTGCGAGGCTGCTGCAGCGAAGGATGAGATGTTTGATGTCAGTCCACCCTCTCTCTGTCCAACCACGAGTGTAACTATTCCTGACTGATAACTGTAGGTCATCCTGATGGACATCCAAATGCCGCGCGCAGATGGCATTGAGACGTCCATAGAGCTCGGCCGACGCTACGCTGACCACGAACGGCCCACCATAATCGCACTGACGGCCAACGCCACCGCCAGCGACCGCGAGAAATGTCACGACGCCGGAATGCGAATGCACATCGCCAAGCCGATCCTACCCAACGATCTGGCGACGGCACTCATGAGCGTTACGCCGCTGAACCGGCCACAGCAGCTTGTTACTGTTGCCGCTTGATTTTCTTCTTTCTCACTCGGTCTTTCCAATGAGATTTATTTTTGTTTGTTTTGTGGCTGGGTGGGGGTGTCCCTGCTTTGTGTACCTATGTTGCTGCATCTGCGTGGGAGTTACTTCAGTTATAGTAGTTCGTGTGATTTTGATTTTGTTGTGATCTTGTTTTTGATTTTTTTTTCATTCGATCAGATTCGACTGGATACGGAGGGAGGAGGGAGGTGGCCGTGAGATTTTACAAAGGGGGGTGATGGGATATCTGGACGCGATAAGAGAGAGAGAGGTGGGTATGCTTAGAATTGAGTGAGTCGTGGTGATGAGGGGGAACGAACAGTAACCCATGGTGCCGGGTAAACTTACATTGCACAACTGATTGTATGATGCAATAAAAGGCTAGCCCAATGCCCACTCGCTTGCTCCACCATCCCTGGATCCATCCCACCTCATTTCTCCTACCTTCATTCAACCCCTCCATTCAAATTCACCTTGACCAAACGAAACCAAACCAACAACACAAGCAAGCAATGTCCACCACAAGTCCAATCCCACAACCCGGCCCCGTCGGTCCGCCCGGCGCCTTACCCACCGCCCCCGTCGCCCCAATACCCCCGTCAACAATCCGCATCAAGCGTGCGCGCGAAGACACCCCGGTAACCGCGTTGTACGTCAACCCAACACTCTCGCTCCCCAGCACCTCGTCGTCCAAGCGTCCCAAGCTCTCCACGCCCGGCACTCCCACCAGCGCCACCTCCACCTCCACCGGCACCGCAGGACCATCATATATCTTCCGGCTGGCGCATACATTGCCGTTCCAACCTTCCTCCTCCCCCTCCCCCTTCACCTCCTCGCAAATTCCGGCGGTACTCGACGACACGGGCAAAGCGGTAGACGATGCGGGCAAACCGGGCAGGAAACGCGCGGGAACAGAGGTGGGCGAGGAGGGCGGGCTCCCAGAGGTTAGTGCTGATAAGAGACGGAAGATTGCGCCCGTGCGCAGGTATCAGCTTACTAGGAAGAGGGGGAGGGCACATCCCTACGGTGCTCTTGGGGCGGGGGCCGGGTCGAGGGGGGCGGTTTTTGTTCAACTGAGGGATGAAGAGGGTGCGGGTGGGGGGATGGTGGGGGGGGAGGGGGAGGGGGAAAAGAAAGTGGAGGGGGAGAGGGAGGGGGAAAAGGTGCAGAAGGAGCGCAAGCGCCCGCGAACGCATCCGAAAGAGAAGGAACTTTTCCGCGAGGAGCGGGAGAAGGCTGTAGTCGTTGAGCAACTGGCGGATGGGGACGCGCTCAGCCGGGAGATGGAGAAGCTGATCCTCGAGTACCTCGACCCTTCCACCAACGAGGGGATCCGGAATCTTCCGCCTACGACTACTCCCGCAGTCAAGGATCGGGTCGGCGGCGGTGTTGGCGGCGGGACGTGGGCGGAGAATAAAGATAAAGACGTCAATATGACCGATGACGACGAGGACGAGGACGGGTTCGTCTACGACGTGTATATCCGTGAGGAGGTACCTGCGGGCACAGTGGCTATGGAGACCACCGAGGACTATGGAGTCATCGTGTTCGCCGAGAGCGAGGATGAGGCGTGGTGGTACGAGGGCGCCGAGGAGGAGGATAATCTGAGCGACGTGTACGGGTCCGACGACGAGGACTCTAATGGTAAGCCCATCCATGCATCGTCCACACCACCCCACAATCCTTACACGCAGCTAACCCCCCACCTACAGCGGAGGACTTCCACACCAACGACTACCCGGACGAGCCCGCGGGCGGCGAAGACGAGGAGGATGAGTACGGCGGCGGGCACAACGACGACGAAGGCAGCGACGAGGACGAGGATGACTACGACGACAGCGAGAATGAAAACGGCGGTGTGGCGAGTAAGTGGCGCCCCTGGCGTTCAAGGACCGCACCTGGCGACGAGGAGTATGATTTCGACGATAGCGAGGAGGATGAGGAGCCTACGCTAAGGAAGCTGGTTAGGGGCGCTTGGAGCTTGGATTAGCTAGGTGCTGGGGGATAGATTGGCAGAGAGTGTGTGTGTGTGTGGGTTTGCGTTTTAATTGCACAGCGGGCGGGCGGGTTTGGTTTTTTTTGTTTATAATGTACTCGTTGATTGAAAGCGACATAAATATCTGGTTCATGGCAATGCACACACTCCGTTTCTGTATCCACTGTCCAATCCAACTTTCGAACCGGTCTGATGTGGCTTCAATTGCCCTTCGCTCTGATCTTTACAGTGGGCTTGGAAATTATCATTAAGGTGCTGGTTGACAAGTAGCGAGTGATCAGTCAAGATAGGCACCACTTTGTGCGTCATTTTGGGACGGTGCTTGCCATTATTACTGAGATCTTCGCTTCTCAAGAGGGCATCTTCCATTAAATTCACGGATCGAACTTCCTAGTGGCAAGTGATCACTGCACAACAGAACGTTTTATTATGATCGCCTACTTTGCCCGCAACACCGTAACAATGTCAATACTCCTCATGTGCTATAGATACAACTGCTTGTGCGGATTACCATTTTCCATTTACTTCTTACCCTTTCCTCCTTTGAACATCTTCAACGGATCCCTGCCCTTCCCTCTCGTCGCCGCATTCTTCCGCACCCTCTTATTCCTCTCTCTCGCCTTCCTGATCCTATTCTCGCCGCTCTTTTTCAGGCCCACACCGCTGATATCCGGGCCGGACGTTAACGCCGCAGTTCCGTCCTTCGGCAGCAGATATTCCGGCACGTGTTTCAGATGCGGCTGGATGCGTGCCGCGCGCAGCTCTCCGTCGTGTCGCAAATGCTTCAGGTCCTCGGGGTTCTCCTCGAAATGGCGCTTCAGCTTCTCACTCGCCAGCAGCTCCTGTCGCAGCTCGCGGGTCCGCGCCTCGCGGATGGCGGTCCGTGTTACCGCACGCAGCGCGTCGTCCATGCGGTACCGGAAGCTCTGCACTTGCTCCATGTCGAAGATGTACGGCTTCACCTGCTTGCCCTTCTTTGCCTGCTGGGCGGTGATCTTTGCGAGCAGCTTTTCGTCGTTCGCCGTGGTGGGGATGGTCGTCGGCTTGTGTTTTCCGTGCAGCTTCTCGGGCACCACGAAGGTCATGGCCATGCCGGTTTTTCCGGCGCGCGCGGTCCGGCCTATCCGGTGGGTGTACGATTTTGCGGAGGTGGGGAGGTCGAAGTTGAGGACGCACGCGACGTTTTGGAAGTCGATGCCGCGCGACACGCCGTATTCTTTGTCAAGGCGCGGCTTCTTGCGCTTCTTCTTCTTTTGTGTTGTGGCTTCGGCGACTGCTGCTTCTGCGTCTGCGTCTGCGTCGGGCATCTCGACGTCGGCCGGGGTAGAGTTCTTCTTCTTCTTCTTCTCCGGCAACTCGTCCTCCTCGTCGCCTACTACTTCGTTCTCGTCCGTCGCGATGATGATGTCGTACACGCCCTTGTTGAACTCCTCGACGATGTGCAGGCGGGAGTTGACGGGGAGCTCGGAGTTGAGCACGCAAGATCGGATGCCGAATTGCTCAAGGAAGAGTTTGAGACGGTAGCAGCGGTCGATCTCGCCCACAAAGACAATGCATTTGCCCTTTATTAGTTTAAGCTTGAAAATTACGTAAATGAGCAGGAATTTCTCGTCCTCGGCACACCTATTCGTGGTCAGTGATGGGGTATAAGGCACATTGGAGGTGGAGACCCACTTCACAACGTATTGGCTAACGCCTTCACCCTCTACGTCCTCCTCGTCCTCATGCAGTCGCAGAATCACTGGACTCCGGCAAAACAAGGATTTCAGCGTCTCGACTTCCTTCGTCAAGGTGGCACTCATCAAGAATGTCTGCAGTCCTTTCGGCAGCGCTTTCGCGATCGCCTGCAGGTCATCATCATAACCGTATGACAGCACCAGATCCGCCTCATCAATGACCATCTGCGAAACATTGGCGACCAGAGCTTGGCCGGAGAGGTTGATGTGTAACAGCGCTCTTGAGGGTGTGGAGATGACAATATCGGGGTTCTCGGCGAGCAGCGATCTCTGCACCTGTTCCGACACGTTCTGCGCAATGTTGACGGCGCGGACCGCCTTTCCGCAGAACTGCGCAAGCTTCTCGGTCATCTTGAGGACCTGCTCCGCCAGCTCTTTCGTGGGCACGAGGATGAATGCGCGCGTCGCCTTTTCGTTTGGTGATTCCTGCAGCCACAATTCCCCACGTTTAGTCACCCACCACTCACCGCCCCTCCCGCAAGCACACAGGACTCGATCTCACCTCTTTCGTTTTTAATATGCTGTGCAGAATCGGCAGCAGGTACGCCGCCGTCTTTCCCGAGCCAGTCTTCGCCCTCGCTATACCACCCATCGATCAGCACCGCGCGCCAGCACTCCTCCCCACCATCCGTACAGAAGCCATACCGAGAATATCCTTCCCCTCCAGCGCCAACGGAATCGCCTTCGCCTGCACTAACGTAGGATTCGCGAACCCAAGGGTCGCAACACCCTGCAGCAGCCGAGCATCAAGACCGAGGGATGCGAATGTAGTCTCTGCATCCTCCACCGCCGTTGCCGTCACCAGTGCCGCCGCTGTAGGCGTATCGTCGGAAATCTGTTTTCGCTTCATGGCGTTTCGTGTGTGTTCGTGTGGGGTGGACGTGGATTTTGGGTTGAAGCGTTTCAAAAGTTTTTTTTGCTGTGAAGATGCAGGTTAGCGTGGCAGGGTAAAGGTGTCACGCTAATTATCGGGAAGTTCCGTACCATGGCGTGTCACTCGATGTCGCGTTTGAAGATTGCCGCGTTTGAAGATTGCCGCGTGTAAATTTACACGGCGCGCTGGCGGACCTGCGAGTGACAGAGTTGATGGAGGTGTGAGGAAGAAGGCCGAAATCATTGCGCACAGTGAGCTCCCCTTGGTGGACTTCATTACTACTAGTGAAGCTCGTTCGTGCTTAGGAGGCGCGCGTGGAACCAGGACGCCACACCAAGCCATTCATTTGAACTGTGGACAGGAACGGAAAAAAGGTACGCTGCAATAGTCTAGAGTAAAATAGGCAGGCTAAATGCGCGTATGACAAGCAAGCGTGTGATTCGCGCTTGCCACCACCCAGCTACCTAGGTCACAATGTGATGGAACGTAGGATACGTTATGTACAGTACTTGGAATACCGGTAACATACGAAAGAATACAGAGACGAAAAAATAAGGCAATGGAAACGGAATGCTTGGTGGTGCTACCCACAGTTTTTTAGGCTTGCACAGTCGCCACGGCAGTGGACCAGCCAAAACCGTTGCGGTAAGAGGTCCGGCGGTACACACACCTCCGACAACCACACCAACCTTCCAAAAATGCCAAGACTATGCGTTGGCACACCAAATGCCCCGCTCACTTTGGCTTCAGGATTCATGTGGCGTGTGTGTCCACTCTTTCCGACCGCGGATTGAGTGCCCCGACCGACGAATTTGACGACGATGAGTATGAAGCGATAGAGATCAATCGAGCCTCGGTCCCTGGCCGGAGAACTGCACCACCACGGGTGCTACGTCCGAACCTCTAAAGAAGTCTCACCATCGCTTCCCCGCACATCATCATCCATTTTATCACTCTAGGAGAGCCTGTTTAGCAGGCGATACGGCCACGGCGGGGAGGAGAGTGAACTCCAGGCGGAGAGCTCAGGGCTTGGCCCAGGACAACGTCGACCATGACAACCGGCATTTTGCCAGTCCCGCCTTCGATCCAAATATCTTCGCTGCTATTCATCGGGCCCCGGCCTTGACAGCTACGCAAACCCCGAGACGACGATTCCTTTCGAGCACCGTGCCGTGTGCGCTAGACTGGTTATGTTGAGGGTAGTACCGAGTGGAGGTATCTTTTGGAGAAGAGGAGGGCTACGAAGCGCCGCTACAGCGCAAAACCGACAACCCGAGCCTCTTCGGAGGCTCACTTTCAGAATATTGCGAGACGAAGGGATTTGGCTTGTCGTTTCTGTATGGATTTGGTGGTGGAATTTCTTTGTCGAAATGTTGTATTGTAGATATCTGTATCGACCATAACCTTCGGGTTCCATGCTGTATGAACAATCAATCGATCAATCAATCAAGAGGTCCGGCGGTATGGTGCACATGAACGAGGCAATCGGACACCGAACGCCAAAAACGTATCAGTTGAAGTCTATTCAGCAAAAAGTTGTAACGAGTCCGAGAAAACCATGCGTACTAACATCACTTCTCTCCAACAGATCAACCATCTCAATGGTGCTAAGTATTTCAGGACCGGCTACTCATGGCATTGTTGAAGGTGTTGCTGTTTGTCCATGCAAACTTGGTGCAGTCAATTCTTGTAAGCTCCCAAGTGGGCCCAGCTCTCGCTTGTGGTAGCATTCTCCACATTTTCTGCAATTTATCTGCACACCTCATTGCAACCAATCCAGCAACGCCTTACCCAGCCCCCTCCACCCGAGTAACCTCGGAAACATGCACACACTTGGTAACTGTGGTAGTCAACGATGTCCAATATTCGAGCTCACGGTGAATTACTACTACCTCCTGCGAAAAGAGCGATGTAGTGCAATCGTTCCCATCTCCAAATATCCTAGCCAGTTCCAAGTTTTTACCACCGGTACTACATATCACCGGAAATCACTCGCCCAGGATTCGTTTTCCGTGGGGAACACAACTGGTCCTTTTTGACGAGTAGAAGCACATGCAATGTAACAACGACTTCTGGTTTACTCACCAGCAGTTATTCATGCTCGTCAAACCATACAGCCATCTACGCGGCGGCCAGCCCGAAATAAACCAGGTTCAATCGACCCTTGATGCCTGACGAAAGTCGTATCCTCATATCTAGGAGAATCGGCACTTGAATTCTTTGGAAAGTGAGATAGAGTAAACATTACTTGCTTGCATGATTTTAGGCCGTATCGCGTCCGTCGTTTCGGTCGTGTATTTGGAATGTGTTTCAAACGGCATACGGCGAGCACCTTGCACGTGGTACATACACGCTTGGAACCTAGGTGTATCATCGATCCGGATACACCTCAAGAATCACATGGCTAGTTACTCCAAAGCCCTACTGGTTAGCCGCATTCTGCACTACAGTTTCAATGCCTTTCAACATTAACACATGTCACATAGCACACCCCCGGGGGAAACGAAAGCTGCGTCACGCTCCCGCACTCGAAGGATCGACGCGGGCCGGTATCGCGACGGATTGGAGAATATCCCCGCAAAGGCGCACTCCGTACTACCGGACGTTTTATACGTCGTGGAACAGGACGTGTCGCTTCGGATACGGTAGTGAAAATAACGTTCTGGGTTATTTGATTGACCAAGCCTCGTATTTCTTCACGATTGTGGCACGCTGAGGCGAAGATGGTATCACCATGATTGTTAATGGATATTGCCTAATGGGATGTGATATAAATCTTTCTTCTTCTGAAACTATCCATTACCTAGCTGGTTGGATTGAGACATTGTCTGTACGTGGACGACCTATTTACCTACGCCTACTGGCTATCTTCACCAATGAAACGTACCATCAGTGGTAAATTCAGATGGACAGACGTTTTAAAATTATAGAGTCTGTTAAGGTTTGCGCGGAGACGTTATTCAAATCAATCGCCGGCTGCACATGCATACAGGCCCCCCATAACGGTTTCCGTGATCAACGATGCTCGATTCGTTTACTACTTTTGTTTAGCAAACCCCTTGGAAAAGATTTCCAGCGAAAGTGCAACATGCGATTTGATACCTCAAAGGCTGGCCGCTTCCCGTGATGCAGGGAGCGGTAACGGCTGAACCTGGACCTTGCGGCTGCAGGTCAACATTGTATGAACGATTGATCCCTTAGGTTTTTTATTATGATATGGGAATCTCATATTTCGGCCTATTGTTGCATCTTGAGGTAGATAATCCCAGTTATCACTTTTCAAGGCTTCCGCTGTTTGTATCCGAGTTCCTTCCTTTGTCAGAGTGGATGGCTGAGCTCCTCCACAAGCATGGACCAAAAGACATAAATAGCCCTCCGGTCTCCACCCATGGCTTCCGTCTCAGTCCCCCTCACTACATTATCCTTATCCGCTTACAACTATCTCGATAACAGGTGAAGTTTCCGCCACCGAACCATCAGCCCGGAACTCCATTTCTGACTTCACCAGATAACTCCACCAACCGCCACACCCATGTATTTTACCACTCCGCTCCTTCTACTCACGGCTCTTTCCATGAGCCTCGTATCGTCACACCCATCTCCCGACGCTGCCGCCATCGCCGAAGCCGCCCCGGGCGTCAAGGTCGAGCGTGACGCCGCAGCCGTCCCAGGCGTGAAGCGTGAAAACATCAGCCCAATCCTTGCCCGCGACGACGACGACGGCCACATGCTCCAGAAGCGGGCCTGCAAGAACAACGGTTGCAAATGCCGTCCCGGGACGAAGCAGGGCCAATACTGCTGGGCTTGCAATGCGGTCAGGAGCGCCGGAAATCTAAACGCATATCCCTCTCCCCATACCGGGTGGATCTTTGAGTGCGCGCCCAGCGGGGGTTGCTGCGCGTATGGTCCTAGGGGTAGTTGCGCGGGAGGTAAAGCCAATCCTTGTGGTGCTTGAGGGATAGTGCTTCCACCACCCCCCACCGTGCAATAGTTGATGTGGTGGTTTTATTGAGACTTAGGGGAAGTATTTAGCTTGGATAGGTGGATTGATGGAAATACTGCGCTTGATTGGTGATGTACTTTGGTCATTCTTTGTAGCTGCCTTGCAGCCTCACATCTTCGAATTCGAGTATGCATGATCCTTTATCACGATAATGCAAGCAGCGCCGTACACATTTGGTTGACCTTTCGAGTAGTCCACTTGTTGCTGCTGAGTAAAGGAGCCCCAGCACCTTTCTATACTGGCTGCAGCCAATGACAGCTGACAACTAAACGATTCTAAGAGGGCGATACGATGATGCCTCCAGGCGACAAAATTTCCAGAAAACTTCCCAAAGTTAAGTATTATTCGCAACGGGCCACACCCCGAGGTGGAAATGCCGCTAATAGCTCGATAAGAATTTCTTTTACCTCCAGAACAGTACTAGTGAGTGATGTCGTGTGGTTACAATTTGAGTGATCGCTTGTGATGTGAATATAAGAAATCGTCAAAGGCGTCCCTTCCAAGCTACGATGCTTGTGGCTAGACCCGCAATTGAACCTACCGTATCCGTAACCGAATGGTGTCTTGAAGTCTGCACATCTCTACTACAACACTTCGCTTCTCCTGTACCATGTATCAACTTTATTCAACTTTCCATTCACCGCACAGCTACAGTTGATCCAGACCGTGGCTAATGCACAGCCGTTTTCCATCACAAGATGCCGCAGGTGACTGCCTTGGTCGAGCGATACCATTAGCCGCAAAGTAGAGATAACGAAGGAAGAGATAAAGGGAATCCCAATTCCGCCCGAACCAAATTACCGCCCCCGATCCATGCCAAAGGCACTCAGCACTTCGCTCTCCCTCCTGCCCCCGTCCATATCGGTTGGAGTCAAGCCCCTACTAGAATCCTCCACATACCTATCGTGCCGTTGTCCCCCATCTCTTCACCCTAGCCGCCTCGCTGGCAGTGTCCACCTCCAACACGTTGGGTACTAGGTAAGAGAACGATGTACCGTGTATAATGTATATATAGAGAGAACATCAACTATTCCGCATACGGCATTATTCGATAATGACGACCACAAAATCCGACCTTTCCTGCCAGCTCCTTGGGGTGAGAGAGCGCTCTACCGCCGCGGCTCGACGCTGCACCGCTGCCTACCAAAACAAAGCACCACAAAAACAAAAGCCCACGCTCATTGCCCGCACAATCCATAAACACAGTACCTTGCTGGGCACTACTAGTGACACTTCATGCAGCAACGCGCACCGATTGGCTGGCGTGAAGCGAATGATCTGACATGACGGCTCCAGTCACCATTGCGCTAGCAAGTACGTTCGAAAACAACGTGAAGTGCCTTACAGGGCACACAGGTAAACAGTACTTTGGATAAATATAATCATTGATATCATTAAACGTCAACGCCTTACATCATATATACCAACAGAAAAACAGTTACAGAACAACGCGGCAAAACATTCTAGTCCAAACAGTTCTAGACTCTAGCTGTTATTACAGCCCAATTGCTCGACAATGCGTATGTACCCGATCCCCCGCTGTGACCTGAATATCCTCTCCAAATCAGTATCCTCTCGCCTTCCCACCCTTCCTCCACCAATCCGCAACACCTTCCATCATCCCGGTCTCCGGGTCCCTCCAAGCGCCCTGCATAACACTGCCACCAGCGGCTTCTCCCCGCCGCTTCCGGCTGACAACGTGCCCCTTGCTCTCGAGCTCCACAAGGATCCGATCTTCGACGGCCTCCTCGCAGTACACAACCTCGGGGATGAGCTGATGGTGAAGTCTTGGAGATCTGATCGTATCGAGCAAGCTATATCCCCACACAACCTTCTTGATGATAGCCTCAAAGACCCCCGTGACGATCCGGCTTCCGCCAGATGCGCCGATAACCATCATGGCGTGGCCATTCTCGTCAACGATGATCGTAGGTGCGGTGGAGGATAGCGGGCGCTTGAACGGCTGGATGTAATTGTACACACTCGGCTCGAGATGGTAGGCATTGGAGCGCCCCGGGATCGAAAAGTCGTCCATCTCGGAGTTCAGCACAACACCAGTCACAAGGTCATGGAGTTTCGCGCCCCAGTACAGGTTGACCGTGGTAGTGAGGGCCACGGCGTTGCCGTCCTTGTCGATGACCGAGAGGTGAGAGGTACCTTTAGGGTCATTGGGTTCATATGCAGGGTTATAGTGCTCCCAGGAGTACGTTCGCTCTGAGGAGATATTAGCGCGGACAGACTCGGCGTATTCTTTAGTGTTGAGTTCGGCGATCCGGACTGCATTGTCCGAGACGATCGAGTCGAATGGATCGCCAAGCTCGGTGCGTCCGGCGGATAGCCATTTCATAACCTCGATAAGATAGTGGTGGGAGTTAGGTGCCTTGGGATCGCTCATAGGAAGGCCTTCGGCGATGTTGAGGCCCTCCAGCATGACGGGGCCGGAGCAAGGAGGAGGACATGTGAATACCTCGTTGCCTAAGAAGGTCGTATTGACAGTATCAGATACGACGGTGTAGTACTTCGAGAAGTCGGATTCCGTGACGATCCCATTCGCTGCTTGAATCGCTTGTGTTAATTGCGAGGCAAGCGAGCCGTTATAAAATTCGTGAACGCCATGGTAGACATCTCCAGTGCCGTTTCCGGCGATCGTGGATAAGGTAGCAGCATATTCTGGGCGCTTGACAACATCGCTGGTGACTACCAATGAGCCAGCCTCGGAGAAAAGGAAGGGCCAATCCTTCTTATTGTCGTAAAAGAACTGCTCTTCCTTAAGGATAATACTCTGGAGGGTTGGTGTAACCTGGAACCCTTCGGTATTGAGGTTGATGCTGGGTTCCCAAACATCCTTCCACGGCAGGGCACCAAACATCTGGTGTGCAGCAGCAAAACCGTGGACTTCTCCGGGAACTGCGACAGCAAGACCCCCGACCTGGGCGAGCAAGGCGTTTTCTGTGGACCCACAGTCAGTTTGATTCAGCATTTGGTAGAGTCGTGGTGGCGTACCATTATACATGTCTCGCGAAGCCTTGGCTGGCGCAGCTTCTCTGAAGTTGAAGCTCTTCGATGTACCGTCCGCCATCCTCACGACCATGAAGCCACCCCCACCGACACCACTCGCAAACATATTAATGGTTCCGATGCAGGCCGCGGTAGCTATTTGCATGCATTAGCACTACGCGAGCTGCAAGGCGTTAAGCTTACCGATGGCCGCATCAACGGCATTCCCGCCTTTTTTCATGGTATCGACTCCGATCTGACTGCACACATCGACATCCGAACTGACCACACCATGCCTTGCCGTCACAAGAAGCTCCGGGTCGTCGATAACAGGCTCGGCTATTAATCAATACGTCAGCCCCCGCACCTGAAAGCGACAGACATAAGAAATCGAGATGAGAAATCCATGTCCTGCCTGCAGTGAAATACCAGGAAAACACACATAGCACATGACAGAGCTTTCCATCAATGTTAACCACATGCTGCAGCACGTCGCCTTCGAATTTGAAAATATCCTCAAGCTCCCGCCCAAATCTCTTCACCAGCCCTGAATAAAAAATAGACTCACAACCTCCCTCGTTCTCCCAAACGATCGTCCCAAACCCCACCGACAACACCACCAAGGCGGTGATCAAGACGGCGTTCCCCCAGTTGTCCCGCCACCAGCCACGGTAATTCCGCCGACGTGTTGCCCATCCGACGGGCTTTGGTAAAAGAGAGGCTTTGACATCGTCCGACTCGGAGCCGGAGCTGCTGCCGTGACCGTTGAAGTAAGAACTGCGGTCTGGCGAGATTTCGCGTGACGATATCGCGGGCGAGAACCGTATACGTGGGGGCTTTGGGCGCGAAGCTTCCGAAGAGCTAACCTCGGTCATGATTGCAGAGTTTCGAGGTCAGCGCGGAGTAGGTGTGCGGATTGCCGTCGAGATGCGAGTGAGAGACGTCGTCGGAGCTTATGAGCTGAAGGAAAGCGAGAGTGGACCTTCGAGGTCGCGTGGCCGCGGAGTCGCTGGTGTTGGGTGCAAAGCTTTGGGAGCGGGAAAGCGGGCTCCGCAGGTCTTGTGATAGGGGTGTTCGCAGGATAGGGACGGGACAGGGATTCAAAGAGCAGGACCGGCTGGTGTGGGGAATGATAAGCCTTATGCTAAGGGTTAGGGTGAAGTGCGGGAGACACAACGAGAAGCTGCAGGCGTCCGAGTATTCGTCTGGACGGCTTTCGTCGGATGTAAGGCGGGGTGTTGGACAGATGACTTGACTGCTGGAAGCTCACATTCAAATACAACCAGCCTGCGACTTATAGATTGTTGGCTATGAGTAGCATATGATCATACAAACAGCACGTATAGGACGTAGACCGGCCTCACGACGTATTTTATAGGTTCCGTGAGTCGTGTACTCTTCGCAAGCTGGAATCGACATCTGCTTCGACAATGGCGTGCTCAGAGTCTCAGAGCGCGCATCGATGTGTTGACTGTTGAAAGGATGAGAAGATTATGTGAACAAGGGCCACTTGGGGCTTGAGCATCATGGTAATGGCTCGAAGGAAAGATATGATAAGATAAGAGCTGGTGCGACGCCCGCCCGGGCGAGGAAGCGAGAGCGGACAGTTGGCCGAATGGTGACTAAGGACGAGGCTGGCGGTGTGGTCCAGTAGGGTTAGCGCGAAGGAAGATTTGGGTTGAGAGCTACAGGAGGAGCTTCTCACGCTGTATAGTAGCTGAAGCATCAACCTTTTCTCACCCCACATCTTTAGGTTACGATTTCGCCGTATATCACAACGCTTTATACCCCAAGGTTTTGTCAGAACAGCCTTTATGGCGTCTTCGATGGATCTCCGGAACCAAGCGCAAGACCAATTGGTGACCCCCCTCATTGCGGACCGTGATCGATACTGCACCACTTTGTCTAAACGGTGATCAGTTGGGCATCAAAGAATCTGCTTCGTTCATCCACGCCAAAGCTAACCGTGGACTAGGGAAATGATCCCGCAAGTGGGCGTTCCTCACCTCGAGTTCGAGAGCGACAATTGCGATCGTCTCTCAGAAGTTCGTCGATAGGTCTGCACGGCTGCAGTAGTTGAGAGACATGCTCGATCTATGCGACGGTGCCAGGTGTTGTCAGAGCCCATGACGATGGCCGTGGTCCCCAATGTTCACTGCATCGCCTGAGGTGATGATGCACCACGGGTGGATTTCTGGCAGCCCGGGTGGTGATGTGGGCTAGGTTTGGCGGTTCCTAGGAGATATTCGGTCTTCATTCCTGAGCTGAGCCAGCAACCAAAATGAATCAGCTTCATCCTGCTCTGTCAACGGGACTTTGCCGATATTGAACGTCTTTCTTCACCTCCACTTTTACAACGTTGAGGCTAACGGAAGCCTGATCGACGAAGAGGCAAGGAATTCCCTGTCGTCGCCAAAGCAGACAAGGTGCGGCCAAAGCTGTAGTTGAACTAACAATCCGGCTTATAGCTGTCTACATACAGATTACCGTGTCAGATATGGTGGAGAGCAGCATTGATGGTACTGTCAATACAATGTTCATGAAGTAGCAGATTTTCTCGATATACAGCGGATGCTCCAAAGCCGCGGAGCTCCAATCCATGATTCGGCCGTATGTACTCCGGTAGTAGGAGTACGTCCTCCAATACCTCGTATCGTCCTCTCCATCCTTCATCTCTGGACTCCTAACTCTGAGATCTCCCAATGCAACGGGCTCAGGATCACCCAACCCACTAGAAGCCAACTCCGAAGATTGATTCGGATACAGACATGGGACAATCACTCGATTATGAATGGCAACGCAAATATCAGTCAATTTCAAAACCCTCATGTGGCCAGTGATTGGTTTGATGCCTAATATCGCATTCACCGAAACTAGGCTCAGGTTCAAGAAAGTGCAATTCCGCTGCAACAACCGAACACTAAGCCGCTGCCACCCAACGTTCTAATAGCTCCGGATGCATAATCACTATTACTGGAGGTGACATCTTATAGTGAGCTTGGCAGCTGCCATTGATCGCATTCTTCAAAGTGGAAGCAGAATGTATCGGCGCATCAAATGCCGCCAAGGAAGCGATACGAATCCGGTCCTCACACGCTCGGGTACTGTACGGTGAGTGACCATAAGAATTTAGAATACTGCTCCTACTACTTGTTCTCAAACGATGGCTCCCTGGCCATTGAACTCCAGCAGCTGTGTGTCGACAACCAAGGTGCCATCCATCTTGCTAGGAATCCGACGTTCCACGAGCGCAGTACGCACATTGGCACTCGATAATAAGTAGCCCGGAATGCTTTCCACTGCAACGTCATTTATACGATCCATCAACCGACATCGGACGAAAACGAACCTCTGGAGAGGTATTGGAAGCATGTGGAGGGCAATGATTCGTACGCTGGGAATCCGAGCCCTGTCCAGTCCAGTGTTCTCCATAGTCTGGACTCGACGGACTGCCAAGATCCATTCCCGTCCGTGCCTCATAGAGGACGGGATAAAAGTAGTCCGTCCTGTCCGCCAATTTGCTGGACGGGGTTGAACTGCAGTCGACTGCAGTCCGGTAGTGAAAGAAAGTGCCACTCTTTTCGACAATATTTCCTATTATCGTGTGTTCAATTTCGTCCAGTATCAGCAAAGCTGCGCCACAATCGTCGTCCAGTACCAGCAACGCCGCGGGGTCATCTTCAGCCCGTGCGCATACTACACTCATACTTCTATCAGCCACTACCACCACCGATAATATGCGTGGAACCTTTTCTCTTGTAATTCATGTCGCCTTATGATTTTTGTCGGTCTTGGAAGTCGACTGCAATCCGTCCCGTCCGACCTTACCGGTTGACCAGTCCGTCCGACAGACACCTCCGGACAGAGTGGATGATGTATGTAGTCCAGTCCCGTCCATGGGTCCAGACGGACTGGACTGGAATATGGTGAACACTTGTCCAGTCCCGCCCCAGCCCGAACGATGGTGTCCAGTCCGGATGGACGGCTAACTTCTTTGCTCGTCACCGTTAGGTTCCCAACACAGTGGGCCTCCGCGATCGCCGATGCTTGGAGGAAATATTCTCGCCTTGGTGGTAACGCATTTGCCGTGGTCGATTCCGGACGAATCCTCATCGTATGCGGAGATAAGAGCACCGCAACAATGCGCATCCCCATTCCGACACGAGCATCAAAGCGACGACATGGACAAAAATTGGACAACATTCGCTATCCAGTCCTCCTTACGCGAGGTATCGACAAGCGAGGCCAGACCATGAAGTACCCGCCAAAATCTCCCGATGCTTGCTCCACAAGCGCAGAAGTGACCGGAATACAGCCACTGCTCTCCATCGTCCGGTCCGACCGTCCTGGGGCTCGGACGAGGACGGATGGCGGGCCTCCCGTCCGAGGCTGGGACGTGACTGCCAAGGTTTTTTCAGCAAACGGACAGGACGGACGGCCCAGGACGGCCGTCGACGGCCGTCCGCCAAGGCTTGGGTAACAACCTGATTTCGGGCGTGGACCTTGGTGGCCGAGTGAGATTTGGTGTCTAGAGCGCTGTGATAGTGGCCGGGCACCGCACCTCAGGCGTCCGAGTCAGAATACTGCCACTTTTCACAGCTTGTGGAGCGGTGAGGGATGACTGACGCGGTGGTGCGTGCATATCGGTGCTAAGAAATCATCAATTAGCCGAATAGTATTCACGTGACTTGGACGGTCGTCCTCCACCGTTGGACGAGGACCGACCCGTCCGTCCGAGGCTCGGGCCCGCCGGACAAATTTTGCAACCGTCCATCCCAGGCTCGGGCCGTCTGGCATTTTGACCCTCTGGACTGGGCGATGGAGAACACTGAATACAGCTCTCCCCATCCGGTTCCAAATACCGGTACGCCCGACATCCGCCGCGATAATCGCGTCAGCCTCGAGGTTGTCGCACTTGCCACAGTTGAACCCGACTGAATCGCCATCTATTCATGAATGGTGCCATCACTACTCTGAAACACTGCAAGCTAATGTATACCTATATCGAAATTGTCGTCGAAGGAACTTGCTGTGTGGAGGACATAATGGGGGCACAATGTTGATTCAGAGAGACAGAGAACATGAATTTATTTTCGCATGCGGCCATTACGAGACTATGGCGCCCACCAACTTCCCGACCTTTCCTGCCAGCTCCGCGGGTAGAGAGAAAGCTCTGGCGCCTCGGCTCGGTGCTGCGCCGCTACGTACAAAACAAAAACACCTCCACGCTCATTGTCCGCCTACTCCGCTATCTAGTTCAGCCTTGGTTTAGGGAGAGAGAGAACATCAATTTATTGTCACATGCGGCCTTTACTAGACGATGGCGACTATTAGCCTCGATTCCTCACGGCAGTATGTGGTGGTTGGTATTGCAACCGAGTGATACATATGGCATCGCGATCAATTTATGACATACTCTCCATACGCTATGGAAATGTCGGATTTCGAGTAGACGTAATGAAGGGTCACGATCAATCCCCGGAAAGTCAAACATGGGCACGTCAAGAGCTGACGATCCGCGGCTGTGACACAGTATGCTGCCTTACCTTCAAATCACTCGTTACCACTAAAGAGTGTGACGAACCCACCAATCGCGCTGTCCCCCTTGGAAAAGCCGACGACCAGAATCAAAAACCCCTTTGAGAGCCAACTGATCGCCGTTATATGCGGTTGTATGGTCTAAGACTTCATTGGCGGTTGTGTGGCTCCTTCTGGCGGCGCGAGGGGTTCTTGGTAGATTGCTGTCTTCCGCTATTGCTTTTGTCTAATCATCATAGCATTTGACCTTGTTAGATCATGGCCGAGTACACACTCTGTTACTCCCTACTACTAATCCCCACGTGAGCGTGGGGTGAGACGCAGGTTGCCTTTGCCCTTCGCAGAACCTGTCCTAGAGAATGAGAATGTACAGGAGAAAGGCGAGAGTAGAAAAGAAAAAAAGAAAGGAAAGAAGAAAGAAGCGTCGACAACTGCATTCTATAGTATTCTGGTTTCTCCGCCCGTCCTCGGATTTCCTTGGGTGGTCTCCCAAACGCCGCCGGCCATGGTTTTAGCAATGTCTCGCCCCACCCTTTCCCTAACTCCTCGTCTACGGGCGTCGTTGCCGGGCATAACGGAGAGGGAGAAAGAGCAGGATCTCTCTTCCCTTAATCGCTCTGTCCTGTAGGTAGTGTATTGCACGCCTTGCCGCTTCTATACTTCCTCTCGCTTTGTCTGGACTGACCGGGTATATTTGATCTTCTAGTGATGTTTCTGAGGTTCGCCTGCTCAGGGTTTTTCGTCTGGTTACAACGCCGAACGGGTGGACCTAGCAGCCCACATCTATAAAGTCGTGGAACTGTAGGAGAGGTTTGCTATTCCTCTGACATGGGAAGAGATCGCTGATCTTCATTCTCTCCTAGCCTCGTCCTGTTCTCTCCTAACCGGCGTCCAAGGGAATTTTCCCTGATTTCTCTATCGCGGGCAATTTCTGAACAGATGTTCCCCGGTTTTGGTTTTATACCGGTACCTACCCGCACTTCGCTGTCGATGAGCTCTTGATCTGGGCTAGATACTAGCCGGTGGGGACAGGTCCTGACTTCAGCCCTTAGTTTCGGGTTGCCGATTTCTTGCGGGATCCTGTGATTGCCGAGTCCGCCCCTGCTCTCCTTAGGGATGGAAGGGCGGAACTTGACTCTTGCGGTTCCATCTGCCGCTCATTTCCAGGCTTCCTACCAGTTCGTTTCTGGCGCCTCTCTCTTCAGCGACAGGCCTGGGAATAGAGGGGTTTTGCAGTCGAGTTGGGTATGTCAGTTGGGAAAGATATTAGTGCGATTACCCGTGTTGAACCCCAACTCCTGAAGACGAGGTTTTGCAAATTCAGAGGTGGGGATGGGAAATAGTGTGCCGCTAATGCAGGACTAATTGAGTTGAATGTTTCCACAATCCTGATTATACCCGCACTCTCCTGTTCAAACTGGTCAACTCACATCATGACCGTACTTAGCACTGTTCAACGGCAGAGTTTCATGATCATCTACAGCCAATTGGCAGCTATGATGACTGCGAGATGGTACTTCATACACTTGTCCCAACGAGAGGAGAATGTCAAGGCCGAGTGACCCGCTATGCAGCATCCCTATCGTTATCACCCGTCGCTTCAATCACTGGATTGACCATAGTTCAGTCTCCATGAATGACATGAAACCTACTGTGTGGAGTTTTTGCGGTAACAATCCTTATCCTCAACCTATAAGAATATGACATCTGTTTACTGATATCAGTTTACACACCTTGAAACCTGTCAAATGATAGAGCACCTTGCTCTTGAACATATGGTTGGGGACTCCTAGAGCTGATGGTAGGGAACATTCCTTTGGAAAAATCAATTACTTATTTAATTCCCAAAGCAGTAAATTAATTGTATTTATTTTTGGTGTGATTTTGTTTTTGCGGTGCTCGGTGGGGCGGTGGGCGCTAGAGGTCCTCAAACTTTGCCGGGTGATCTGGCCGGCCGGAAACCCATCAAGACAGATTGACCAATAACGATGTCTAGCCATGAAATTCGGGTTTGAGGACCTTGCCCTGCCGGGCTGGCCAGGTAAGTAGCTCCGAGTACATTCAGGGTACATCCCTGACTTCTGAGCCCTTTTTACGCCACCCAGTCCTCCTACGCACTGCCTGGAGTCAATCCTGCTCGGTGACTAGAGTCATTACTTTAATGACTCTAACTGTGCGAGTTGATTGACTCTTGCAATGCTTCCTGCGTAACTGCCAATCGTCTAAGGCCAATGGTATCTGTACCGCTACTAATGTACTCCTATGTATATGAGGTATAGCGCCAGCTTGCTAGGTGTAACACTCCGTCGCTACATCCTCTTCGCCATAATCGGGTTCGAAAATGGAGTCGACTATCATTTGCACGTGGATGTAGGAGTCGAGCAACTTGAGCACAAATTTTCTTGTAGATACAGTCTAGTTCTTGATCCCGGAAACTACTCACAACCCACCTACCCATTTCGGCGAACTAAAGGCGAGCTAGAGACGAGCTAGAGTTCCTGAAGTCACCCAGACAACTTTTTCTGAACTGGAGGAAGTAGCAGTGCCGGGAAACCTGGAAGACCATCAAACCAATAGAAACACCTAATCAGCTAGCCGGTCAGGTCACCCAGCAAGGTTTCAGGACCTCTACTGGACAGCATACGCCACCGGGCGAGCGCCGGGCGCGCGGCGCAACAATACCAGCTATCTCACAGCCAGCTATCTCACCGCGAGCCATCTCGCAATCGGCCATCGTCTCGCAGTCAGCCATCTCGCAACCAGTTACCTCACACCCACCACCAGCTTCCAGTCAACAACCCACTCGCTCTCTCGTTCGCTCGTCCGGTGGTCCGCTCGTTCCCATTCCGGCACGGCCGAAAAAAAAACCCGTTTTCTACGTCCCCACGCTGGTTCTGTCTGTCCTGGGTACGTGGGGGGGGTCCATCCTTTTCTCTGAATACTGACTAACAACAACTCCCAGTTCATAGCCATCTTGCTCAACCAATATTGGCCCGGGCCATACCAAAAAGGGTCCGTTTTTACCGCGTCGACACGCTTGTTCTAACCGCCGCACGCACGCCTGAACCATTGCACACACGCCGTCATCCGTTACCGACACCGTAGCTGCCTCCCAGCATGCCTATTACTGGAAAGCAACAAGAACATATGAGAAAGGCTCGAAAGGAAAAAAAGGCCCGAGAGGAAAGAGAGGCCTGTCAAAACAGCGGAGGAGATTTAGAAGCACCTGTGAGTTTCTTAAGTGGTACCACAACGCTGTTGAAAGCGGTCCCCGGAGCAGTACACTGGAAAGGGTTGTCAGATGGGGAGGAGGAGGATGAATGTGAATTCACGGAAGGGGAGGAGGATGCAAAGCGAGGCTGGGAGGATGTACTTGCGCATCTGATGGCTACAGCCGAAGAGTTGGGGAACTCTCTCTATGATAATACCACATTTCATTATCAGCGAGTTGCAGAAATGAGCAGACAACACAAGAGAAGGAAACAGAAGGCACAGCCAGAGTTGAGACTGGCAGCTGTAGGATCACGGCCATTGGATGGTGGGTTTCTCACTGTGCGCTCGACAGTCATGGACCCGGGCGTTGGAACTTCAGCGTCCGGTATCAGCCGGCCCACACAGCAGAATGAAGAGAAATCGCTACAGCGATCTCAAGCCATGGACCTGCTGGAAAAGCAGTTGAGATCCAAAAAGATAGTGGATATGCTCCCTCAGAACCTCATTCGACATCAGGCTGTTTTGTACTTCTGTAAGGTGCAGAGCTGTAGGAAGGCAAAGGAGACTCGAGAGGGAATGGCACAGCTGGTAGCCAGATGTTTTGGAAAGAAGTTATACTTTGCGCAAAAGGTGGTTACGTGGGAGTTACAGTGGATCCGGGAAGGAAAAATTGAAGAAGGAAGGCGGGGGTATTTTGTAATGACTCGCTCCTGGTTTAATGATGAAGGGGTACAAATGGCAGTTCGGGACTGGGTGGCTGGCATGGGCGACAGTACGTTCCCAACCTGTTTATGTGGCAGATAAAATACTGACATGACAGCGGGGTAGAAATCACCGGACAAGGTCTAGCTGGCGCAGTTGGTGAATACTTGGATTCTGCATGGGCGAAAGAAACGATACATCACTGCTTAGAAATTGCGACTACAATTTATGATGGTGGTAGTAGTGCTGGACCAACTGGTGGACCCAGTCATCTTATCCGTGCCCGTACAGCTCGTCGTTGGCTCAATAAGATGGGATTTCACTGCGGTGTTGTTCACAAAGGAGTTTACGTGGATGAGCACTGACGAGAAGATGTGGTGGACTATCGCATGAATGTTCATTCCCCAATGGAAAGATTTGCAGCGAATGATGATCATCTGCAATGAAGATGGTATTTGGGAGGTATCGCCAGGTAGTATACCAGT